AACTATAAGGTTAATCTTTCTTTAAACCTGCTATTTGTGCTGAAATTTCTTTAACTTGCGTTTAACAGAAACTTGTGGTCAGTTTGGTGCTGTTTTTGCTTTTGTAAAAACGTTTGAAATGTTAAACTACAGCATTTTTCACAAAATTTAAACCTATTTCTGCGATAACAAATTATTTTAATTTTAAAATTTTTAATTAATATTTTGGTACATACTACAAAATGAAAAAAAAATTAATTCAATTATTCTTTTAATGCATTGTTTGCAACCCTGGTGCCATTGTATGATGAATAATAAATAAAAATGTAATATAAATAATTTGCTACATACATACATATATAATTTTCATTAAAAATTACATAGCAACCCCGCTACTTCATATTGCTCAACGTATTGCGTCGTTTACTATAATTTCGTTTATATTTTAGCTATAAGAACAACGACTACTTGTCAACTCACACTCTTAATCAGTCATTATTAACCTTACTTTACGCCAACAGACAAACAATAGCGATAGTGTTTATAAAGAATGCCAACAAATAATAAAAAATAATATTAAAGAAATGACATAACACTCTTTAAAGCGACTTTACTCAAACTCTCCAAAATAAATGAACACAAGCAAGTGCATATACATAAATGAAAATTACATGCAATTTCACTATAAACTGTAGGCGCGCAAGCAACGTCTGCTATATAAGAATCAGTCAACGAGCGATAATGGTTCACAAAATACACGATCGCTGAATAAACAGATACACGTCGCTGAGCATACGTCGTATAGTCAGAAAAAGCAACGATTTGAAAAACAATTTGCTCAAACATATAGTATACACCTCAAGCACTTTGCGGGGTAGTCAGTGTTAGTGTGGTGAATAAGTGGTAATGGCGCGCAAAATAACACACGGTGCACACCCCCTTTTAACGCAAAATTAAAAAACAATACATACACACATACATAGATGTATATGTATATATATGTTTGTATGCACTTGAATATGGCGAACGTGATCGCCGTGCAATCGCTCAGATATTTGCAAAAACAATAGACAAACGCTGCGGAGGGAAGTGTTTAGCTTATAAAAAAATATGCTTACGTTAAGGAAAGTGAGTACGAGTTTAAGCGGCACAAAGTCTACTCATGCTCACATAACAAAGATTTTAATAAGTTTTTTTTACGAGCGTAATTTTTTTTTCAGCGCTTGTATGGCACTTGTCATTAAATACGGTTTTTTTTAACTTTTTTATGTTTTTGAGTTCGAAAATTGTAAAAATACAAATGCTCTCTGTCAAATTGGAGCTACCCTTGTTCTTATGTAGAATATTAAATCAAAAATACACAACAAAAAAATGCATATAGTAGTCCATAAATTAAAAGGTGCTAACTACGTGAAAAACCCGTTACTTGTGCTGTTATCTTGTCATTCCCATGATAGTTGGTTCTACGACAGCAGAAAGCAGCTTGTTTTTTAGCCCACTTAATACTATCTTCCAAAGATTTTTTAAACAATATAAAGTGCTGCTACAACTACAACAACGAAAACTGTAATAGTTTCCTTACTAAATAAATCGTGAAAATGCTGCGGCGCGGCGCATGTTACTTATGTGTTTCTACCATAATGTAACAAAGCAGTTGGTTATGAAGTTATTAATTAACTAAAGGCCTGTTAGGCATAATGCTAAAATAGTTATCGCTAGAAAAACATATGTACGATATTACACGTGCACAAATTCATTAATACGCAGCATTATTAACTCATGCTTTGGCTATAAGAAAGTTCGAAAATATTTACAGTTTCAATTAAATGAAATGATAAGAAACAAATAAGACGGCATTACCAAAAACATTATAATGAAATATATTTTTTATAAAGTTGCGCCACAGTGGAATTTACCACTTATTTTACAGTTGAAGCACTTAAAACGTTTTAATGTTAGTAATTTTTTTAAAACACCCGTTATATTTAGATTTTGGTTCCGTTCATATTTATCACTCCTAAAATTGAAACTTTAATGTCGGTGACACGATTTCTAAAGTGTATCAAAACATAAGTATTTTAACCAATGTGTTTTATACATACATAAAAACGTAAGAAGAAGCAAACACATATGTGTAGTAAATATATTATATATATAGGTATTTGTCGGTACCAGTTGAGATTGAGTCATGGTAGTGGAAAAGGTATGCCAGATCTTCGTGTACACGATTGTATTCTATACAGACGAAATTTTCGGTACACACATACAATGGTAAACAATTTTTGGCGCCATTTCTACAAATGTTGAAGAGTGCATGTGGTAGCACATGTTGACGACTTCATAGATATAATTAAGGAATTGTGTTTTATTTGCTGATAGTGCTAAATTTTATAAGCTTATCTTAATAAATATTTATAATATACGCGTACATTGCTAAATCTAAATATTTAAGATATTTATCTTAATAAGCAATTAATTATATTTTTAAATAAATAAATAATATTTATTAAACGTTTGCTGGGTATAATGCTTGAAGAGTTAAAAACTAAAATAGATTTATGCATATATTTTAATGTTGGCAATAACTATATTAAATATAGTATTATATTAATGAAACAAATAAGGAATAGTTCTCCGCAGTGTTGCATTGCAGGCTTCGTGAACAATTAGTAGCGCCAAGGTCAAAATTTCATAATAATTTGTATACACAATTTCGACTTTTTGTTTATTCTTTGACCTTAAAAATGCTTTAAAGTATTTGTTTAGTTTATTATGTCATTAGATGAAATCTTTCATGATAAGGTTGTCGTTAGCATATTAAGTAATAAGTTTATGCGTTTGCATATTGTTTGTGTAATTTGTAATCAATATTTAGTCAATAAAAAAATTTGTGGTTATAAAAATGAATTGTTGATAGATTGCTGCCAACGTGAGTTGCGCCATCAAAATAACCGCAATATTTGTGTACAATAATACTATATGAAGCATCGGACTGTTAGAATTTTGTGTGAAACTGTTAACTAATTTATTTAAATTTATTTTATATAAGTTATTTTATTTTTATTTACCTTAGCAAGTTTATATCAAGAAAAATACTACTTGCAGTGTATTATTTTTTTATATTTTGTAGATTTGTTTGTATTTTTAAAATGCTAGTTATTTATACTTATTTATATTAAATTACTTGTTTTTTTCGTTTTATTAGGTCATTGTTATTTTCATTAAATAGTTTTTTAAAATTAATATTATTAAATAATAATTATTTATGGGAAACTTTAGTATACCATCCCACTATTTCAGGTTTAAAAAAAGTGGTATGGTTGGATAGAGGAGAATCTCCAGATCCAAAATATATATAATATAAATATCCAAACATACCCCTTTTAACCTTGAAATCGTGGATTGATATACTAAAGCCGACCCATTATTTACTACATTATTTACAATATTTCAATTAATTTATGAACATTTATTTTCATATCTTTTAAATTTTTCTCTAACAATATATATACATATGTACGTATGTATATGTTGTCAAGTAAATATGTGCATATATTGTACATACTTATGAATGTATGTATATACAAGCATCTAGTTAGTAATCGAAAAGTTGCACCAACGGATGTAAATTTGTATTGACGTCTAATATCACAGCAATCAATATGTGCAATAATTTATAATTTTAAATATAATTTGAAAATTACAAAATAATTACTTTTCGAGATTTTACAAGTCTCATATTTATTTAATTTTTTTAGTATTTATTTGTCATAATTTTGATTAATTTTTTTTCAGTATTTAGCATATTGTCAATATTTTAGCTACATACTTAATTTAAGCATTTATTTTGCAATATTTTGGTTACTTTTTTTAGTAGCTACTTTATATTATTTTAACTAATATTTTTTTTTATTTTTATTTTTGAAATTTTTATAAATTTTTTTTTCAGTATTTATTTATCAAGATTTTAGTTAATTATTTGAGTATTTATTTTTCAGTGTTTTGTTTATTTTGTTTAGTATTTTTTAATATGTCAGCTAATTTTTTAGGGCATTTATTTTGCAATATTTTAGTTAAATTTTTTAGTATTATTTTTCAATATTTTAGTTAGTTTATATTTATATCTCAATTATTTGATTTACAACTTTTTTAAAATAAAAATGTATACATTAATTATAATTAGGTAAAACTGCAGGACACACATTTTGTATGTACCTATGTGTAGATACATACGTACATATGTTTTTCTAATTTTCAGCATTTTTTTTATTTTTGTGTTTTGCTTAAGCGTATTTGTTTTTTTACCAAACAACTGTGCGCATTAATTCAAATCTGTTGATACTTTCGTTGTTGACGATAGCGCCATTGCGCCAATATGGTGATTGGAATCTGTGCAATTGCCATTGTAAAGCGATACTTTCGTTTCCAACGCACTGTTGTTGCAACAAATATGTGCTGTTTTTGCATAAAACTCGGCTAGAAATGTGCCAGTGTGTATGCATGTAAATTTTACTTACATATACATATATGTATATGTATATATACATGCAAACTCACATACATCGATACATACGAAATTAAGTGCAAAATTAGCCTTCTAACTTGCCATGCATTCTTCCTGACATTTGCAATTTATTAGAATATTACAAAAACCGTTAATGCATTTCAATATACTAAATTGCATAGTTGTATGTATGTATGTAGGTGCACATGCCTAGTTTTAGCACAATCGCTATATAGTCAGTACACATGAACGCGTTGCTACTCATTGCTCGCCAACATATGAACATATAAGTAGTAGCTATAGTATGTATTATTGGCGCACAGTGTAACAAATAACTTTAATTGCACTTAAATTTAGTACACCACACTTTCTAGTTAACTTCTTAATTTGTTTAAAGAAAATGCAAATAATTTTTAATAAACTACAAAGGCACAGAATACTCTACAGTTATAAGCACAAAATGATAAAACTTGTAAAATTTTCAGTAGTGAAAAAAAAAACAAAAAAAAAAACTCACTTGAAGCACTGCGTGTATTCGCCTAGCGTTGAGATCAAAACGACAAAACGTACTGTGCCCACGGTGGCTTAGGAGACTTTCGTACTGCCTTGTACTGGCGATATGAAAACGTAGCAGCAGCAGCAGCGCCAGTAATACAGCAGTAGTAGGAAATACACTTGAACACAGCGAGTATATGCAGGCCACCACAGTGGTTGATTTCTTCGTCGTTGCTTCGGTAGCTGGCTATATGGCTGGCTGGCTGGCGTACGTTGCTACTTCGACGCTATTATCACTTTATGGCGCTGTATGGCTCTGGCTTGCTTGTTAGCTGAGTCGTCGAGTCGATTCTCACACAGAACGACGAAGCAGTAACGAATACAGTATGAAATACAAAATACTTTGGTTTGCTTTGCTTTGGCGTTAGCTGTGCTGTGCTTGGTTTATATGAACACCGAAGAAAATTTTATACACTGCTGCTACTGCGGCTATTGCTACTACTCTGATTGCTGCTGATTGCCCTGCTGCCTTGGCCGTTGTCGTTGTCGACGACATCAAACGATTCTGCATAGGTACATACACTTGGGCTGCCTGCGTGCCTTGTGTACTGCGGCAGCAAGAACAAGCAGCTACACAGCAATACACAGTTGAGTAGAGTCGAGTCAAAAAGCAACCACTACACACGCCAGCAGATACTCGTGCATATGCCTGTATGTCTGTATGTACACAGTCGCAACTAGGCGTACGGGCAGGCAGCAGATACAGCGCATACACACTTTCATATGCATACAGTTATGCATACATACATACATGTACGCGCTGATGACGAGCGACTATAGCGGAGAAGTGACATACCATACTAAACATATTTACATGTAGAGGCCATCAACAAGAGCAGCAGCGCCGTTAGTAGTAGTGGCAGCTGCAACAACAGCACCGGCAAAGCAAAAGTATAGCTGACATGCTTGTGCGATATAGCTGCCTGCCTTTGGCTGCTTTTAATATGGCTGCCATACGAACGAGCTAACGAACCAGCAAGCCGGTGAACTAACGAATACGACAAACAAACCTACATAGATGTATGTATGGATGCGTACATTTGTAACGCTGCTGACTGATTTCGATACATTTCAACTCAATTCAACTCGTGGTAAAGGCGATTGCAGGGCAAAGCACCAGTGCCAAAACGAAATGGCGAATCGGCTGGCTGACTGCCTAACTGGCGGTCTCGCCGACCGTCTGTCGCACCGTACAGCCCAACAAATTGACGTTCCGACTGCTTTGACTGGCTGGTTGGCTGTACTCAACGGCATAGTCAACGACTGGTGTAGATACAAGCAGTCAGGCAGTGCCAGTAAAGCAAGTAGATTTCGCTCATTCATTTACAAAAACGGTTGGTTTGTGGTGTGAGAAATGGTAGACATTTGAGGGGTATTATGTGAATTTTAGAGGGGTATTGGATTGCAGTGGTGGGGCAAGCGGTAGCAGTGTGAGTTAACGAACAAATGTGTGAGCCAGCGAGCAGGCTGGTTAATATTAATAACAACAACAATAATAACTGCAATAACAACAGTTTAACATAAATAACAACAATAGCAACAAATATACCAAAGTAGCAACGCATACAGCTGTCATATAATCAGCCGCCACAGTACAGTACTGTAGTCTCAGCAACGAGCTGACTCAAGCAAAGGTAGCAACAATAAAAACCACAAGCGCATTTCGCACGAAGCTCACAACTACCTATCTACATATGTACATGTATAGCATATATACATATCTACATGTACTATATAGAATCGACTCAGACGAAGCGTTCGACGACCGCCTATCTACCCTCACGCGGCAAATGTCCCACAACGTCGTGCAAATAACGCTCTGTACTGAAAACTCAGCAACCAGCTGCCGACTCATTGACAAAACGAACGAATAAATACCACATACATGTATGTTTGTATGTAGCTATGCTCACGAATGGGTGTCGTTTTGGCTCTGCATGAGAAAAATATATATCTGTACGCCGTTGCTCTTGCAGTGCGTTGCGCGTTCGTCGTTAGCTGTTGACGTTTATCACACCGGTGGCGTGTACATTAGGCGTTCATTTTCGTGCGAAAATCGGCCATTGCACTGTGTGTCGTTCATATGAAATGCTTGGATAAGTTTTTATGACAGCGTTCCAATATCCTGACACGTTAGTGTAAAATCGTTTGTTGAGTCGCCGATATATTTTAGGCAACCAAGTAAACAACCAGACAGTCGACTACCAGATAGGCAAGTAGCCAGTTAGTCAGCTATCGCGGGAAAATCTCTAGTTAGCGCAGCAATCATGTTCATATGTACTATAACATACAGTACTAGGTATGTGGGAATGTGGAGAAGTACGCATGCACATGAGATTGTTTATTAGTTGCCGGCATCGGTACCGGTAGTTCGAGAGCAACACATGCTAATGATTTCATACCGGCTAAGCGCGTGTTACTCAGCAATCCATCGACTTGACTGGCCGACATGTGGAGTTTAAAGTCTTTGGCTTGTGAGGTTTATGAGTACTATATCAGGAAATTTGTGTCACAAACGCTCAGTGGAGCGTGTATTCTTAAGTGTATTAATGGCAATAAGTAATTGCATGAAGATTTGTTATTTTTTCAGAAGTTGTTGGGCTATTCTTGGTTATATTAATGGTACCAGTGCTAACGGAAATCGATTAAATTTGTGCAAAATATCTATGTACATACATACATACAAATGTACATCTGTATGTGAGTCAATATTCAGGAGTGCAAACCTTTACGGAATGTATGATACTAGTTTTTCGTAAATAAATTGTTATGGTTTTGATATAATTTGTTTATACCACAGGTATTTATAATACCTACCATATATAATATTTTTGTATATGTACATATTTTAGTTTATTATACAAGATTTTCTTCCTATTGGAGATGCCCTCAATATGCTATCCGAAATATGGATATGAATACAAAAAAATGTAAGTTCTCTAGTGTGACTGCTTTTCTTTATGCTATTCGTCAAATGGATATGGTTGAAAATAAAAAATTGAAATGCTCTCAGAGCGACTGCTAGATTTTATTGCAAGTTTTTTGTGTTAAAATAAGTATACTCCAAAGTGACAAACCTGCTGAAATATCTCTGCTCTTAGAAAAAAAAAACTTTTATTAGCAGTTTTCGATTTTGCTGCTATAATATTAGAAAAAAAAACATAGTACTGTAAATTTGGAATATGCTTCAGACTGATTGTTCTTAACCCATAATTTCCGGTTCCACGTTATCAGAATTGATAACATACATATGTACATAGTTACATATTATTTAATGTTTCTTTACAACTTTTTGGGACTTAAAAAATATACATACTATGTACATACATATACACATGTAACAATAAATATTTATGACACAATTACTTCGTATTTATTTATACGATTGATCACTAAATAAATAAATACAGCAAGTCAAATATCCATACAAACTAGAATATACACGTTATTTAGTATTCTATTGAATGTAGGTCAAGGTGATATATTAGCATCAATTAACACTAAGCCCATATGTGGTGGCCATGCAAGGTATTACGTACGCACATGTGGCGCAAACGCCAATTCAAATATTTAAATTCATAGGTACGTAGATTTACAACACAAACGATGCCAATCGAAATTGCATACGCACATAAGTATGTACCGACAACTGCTCTATTGCCCTTTGACCGGACTGCAATTGTAAGATGCACATTCGAACTAGCTTGCCTGGCGAACTAGCCATTTGGCGGAGTTAACAATGAAGTGCGTATTGTCATGAAGTACTACTCCTACATACCACATTTCCAAACCCAGGACAGCAGTTGGTTGTTGTGTATGGCTAAAAATTTGCGCGCGCAAAGTATTTCGTATGGAATTGAAATATAGCCGTTATAGCATGTTGTGTTACAGTGGCGTCCATATTTTCGTCCATATGGATTAGTGTAAATTTTGTCGCAACTCAGCATAAAATTACATACGCATGGGATGGTAGTTGTTAGACACGACTGTAGTAGCGTTCAATGGCGAGCGTACGCAGCGCTACTAGTCGACGTTGCTTTTGCTGCCACTGTCACTACACTATGGGTGAGTACTTTTGTTTTCAACAGCTCAAATGTACATATGAATGTGTGTGTGTGTGAATTGTGCGATTCAGTTCCATATCAGTGGATTTGTGCGTTTGCATAAAAGCCACAAAAGTAGCAACGCCACTAGAGCAAGAGCGCCAAGTTTGTGTTATCGAGGGAGGCTTAGTGGCTCAGCATAGCAGTTGTAATACATATTGGCATTCGTAGGGAAATCAGCGCAGAGCTTTGTCTCAGATTTGCTTTCACCCTTTCGATATGAATTCACAATAAACACATTTGTATGTAAATGTTTTAAGATTTTCTGCTTATGCGCGCGCCCATCACTTCTTGCGCTTACTGGTGTATGTGTGTGTTTTTTGGTGTAGTGACGCGCGGTTCAAAGCATACCATCGGACGCCGCGCGCGCATAAATGCCGTGAAGGCGGCAGCAACTCATAAAAATGTCGCTACTTCCTAGTGATGTTTGATTTGGCGTACAACGCTGCGAAACGTTGTTTGTGCAAATTTTCAGTCAATAAATTATTAAATTTAAATATTATGTATGTAGCTAAAAGCGGCATGAGAAATGTGGTATCTCTATACATAGCCCGCGCGCGCCCTCTTTACGTTTATTAAATAATCATGTTGGTTACTCGCCACTCAACTCTACACATAAACATACTACATATAACCCTGCTAACCAGAATACCGATATTGGCCTCCTTCCCTGAGTTTCATTTGCTGTGCTGCAAAGTGGCGCCCTCGTTGATAGGCAAACATTGACGTTGCCGTTGACGCAGCCGTTTACGTTAACGTACGCTAACGCTGCCGCTACCGGTGCGAACAATCAACGCTCTACATTGCTTTCGCCCGCGCTGTCGTCGCACTGACCCCCTCGCATTAAGCCGCCCTCCCCAATAACCGCATAGTCCCTTACCGCACTTACTCCCGTTGCTCACCTTTACTACTAGTACATACAAACTTATGTATTAAATATGTACATACAACGGTATGTATGTATAGCCCCTTGTACAGCGCAGCCCCCTCTGCACTGCACCACACCGCTCAAGTCCCTATACTCTCACACCATCTTACAGCTAAATTTTTAATACGACGTAATTAACCACATATTTCAATGTGCATTTATAGAAAATCTTCACATATTTGCTGCATTTTTTCAAAATACATTTTAAATTTCGCTTGTAGCTTTCAAAAAATAACGGTCTCTTTCAGCATTGTATGGGAAAATATGAAAAACGCGCGCGCTTAATTTTCTTACAGTACAAAATACAGCGGAATATATCAGAAACGAGAATATAATGCCACCATCAACGAGCAACGGTACTCGAACGAGACATATAACGAACAAACCCGCGCCAGTCAGCCACCTAGCCAAGTATCGCCGTCCATGTTGAAATCTTCCAATATAATACGGCGGCGAGTATGAAATTTTCATAGAAAACCCACGCCAAATTGGGTCGTTTTCTTTCGCAATTTTTATGTAATAAAATGCAGCAAATTTGTGCGGTTTTATAAAAATTAAACACCTTGAACAATTTTCAATCGATGTTGGAAAAGCACTTTTCACTTACCTGTGGAAAAAAACGCTGAAATTTCGTTTTGAATTCACGCACTAAAATTTAATATTTCTTCTATACTTCCACTAGCTATGGCTGCCTTGTAGTTTTGCCTTGCGTGTTCACTTTAGATTTTATTCAATGCAGTTTAGTTGAGTTTGCCTTCGGTTTTTGGTTTTGCTTGCTTGCTTGCCTTTAACAGATACCAAGTGTTTCGTTCGCCAGTTCGCTAGTATAAAGTCGTTGCTAGTACCAGCCAGCCTATAGCAAGTCATTGTATCAGCCATACGGCCAGCCAGTTGAGTTGAGTACCAACGAAGGCAAACGAACGAGCATACGAACGAATGAAATACTCATCACACCACAGTCAAATGACCAGCCAACCACCAGCCCAGAGCCAGCCAATGTATGTTCGTACGTATGGGACCATTCGCATATATATACAATCGTTGAGGCAGCAGTAACGGGTTCACAGGGGAAGTGACGATATAACGTCACAGCAATATAAAAGTAGGCGGAGGGATTGGAGGGTTGAAGTGGGGGTTCATATGAAAACGCTCAGTGTGCAAGTACAGCATTTCGTGTGTTGAAGAAGAAGAAGCAGCTATATTAGAGCTGCACAAGCCCGTCAGGCAGTGAGCTAATGGAAACAGCAACAGAAACAACTTTTTAACGAGTGTACGAATGATGGGCCCGCTGAGCAAAAGCAACGGGGTGTTGAGGGTCGGTGTTGAGTAGTATGTCAAAGCAAAGTGTTTGTATACTGTGTAAGGCCGTATAGGCCGAACAGTGTTTTTATGCGTTGTAATTGTTATGAAAATCCAAAATTATAATTATGTATTAAAATGTAAGAAACTTGTGCTTGATAAGTCGCTTTCGTAATTGTATGTTCTCCAAAGTCTGGATATTCATAGACGTTTAACAGAATAGAGCTGTTTAAAATTACCTTACTACTAACAAATCCAAACATTTGCGAGATAACAGCCTTTTGACCGGATAAAATTTGGCTCTCACGACAGTTGGGTCGGAAGGGGATAGGTTTTCGTCCACTCCAATAATAACAACAGCTATTTAAATTGTTTTGTTGCGCAGGCCATAAAGTTTCAATTATTATTGCTTTTATCAGATAATATTCTGTTCAGATCCCGGTTCACGATAATTTTTGTCTAGCCTTCAAATAGAGGGAAATATATGACTTAAAAACTATTACCCATAATTTGAATTAATATATTTATGAATATTTCAGTCCAAAATTATATTTGATTGCATTAAGGGGTTGTATCCACTTTCAAATCATAAAAACGCGTTGTTTTGTGATTTTTCCTCTGTACATTTGCAGAATATAAAGTACTTTAATAATCGGTGATTCGTTATGAAAAATTTTGGAATTTTCTTGATTTTGTAGCCGAGCTCCAGCAGGACCTCCGAAAATAGGTGTCTGACGGTGACGAAGTTTATTCTGCTTAGACTTATTTTAAATCCAAAGATCGTAAACATTTATTATTACAACAGATGAATACAGTTAATGATCGAAGGACTAGTCAAAATATTGATTTTTGACAAAATGGCGACTTCCCAAAAGATTGGGGTTTTGTGAAGAAATTTACATTTCAGAGTGATCGAATTTTTGATCGTTAACTGACAAATATATCTAAGAAAGTCCTTTCGGAGAAATTTTACTCACCGACTCTGAAAATATTTCGAGAAAAAAGTTTTGGGAGCCGATTACTTTAAGTTAAAAAATTCTTACAAATACACTCACGTATCCGAAATATTTTCCGTATCAACTTTAAATATTCGAAGAATTCAAAAATATAGATATATTGTTCATACTATTGATGTCTATGCAGTAAAAAGATCGATTTTTGGAATTTCATAAGTGGATAAAGCCCTTAAACCAAGCAGCAATAAGAAAATGGCCCACTGTATCCTTTACTCAGAAGCATCTTCTAGTTAATACTCGAATATGTATGTGCTTATATATGTATATGCATCTGTTTATAAATGTATATACATACATGGCAAATTTTTACTTAACATATGTACATATACGAACGACGCATTGTATAGAGCATACCGTACAATAACAACAATATAATAAGCAATATACAGTTCACTACTGGGAATGAGCAGTGTATATGGAAGCCATTATTAAGAGAGGTTACTTGATAGCTCAGTTTTTGCAACATGGCAACTCTAAGTGTGCTGATTCAGCAGCATTTTTTGTGCAGTTTTTACGCGTAAATCGTATTTTTTTTAATAATAAACTTTAACATTATAGATTAAAACTTTTTATATTTTTTATAAACACAATAAAATAATATATAATTCTTTTATAATATCATTTAAATTATGAAACGCAACTCTGGCAACTCTTAGCACTTCGAATCCCATGCGGTAGTAAAATATATAATTTAGCGCAACATATTTCTATAAAATCTACTCGTTACATTATTTGATGAAATTTCGTTAGTTTTCTCTTCCGTTTTGTTGAGGCACCTTACACACGTATGTAAATAGTAAGTATGCGCTCGTATAACTGCGTTGCCAGCGAGTATCAGAACAAACGAACTAGTACGAATATTCGTTGACTCATTTACATCGATACTGTCGTGAAGAAATTAACTCAGCGGTATGTCTGCTAGCATAAGGTTAACTCAACACAACAATACAACAAGTTTAACGAGTAAACCCATTAACGAATACAATTAACGAATTAAAGTGATAAAAGCTTACTATTCACCATGAGCATCGACATTGTTGTCTCTTGTACTCGTTTAAATGCATTCTCTCCGCTGTTGCAAAATGTCCATTAGTGTAAGATAAACGAAGAAGAACAACACATGAATATATAACTGTCATTATAAATTGGTTGTTTGGTGTGTGCCGACGCTGGAAAAGTAGTTAGTTGAGTTTCGTAATATTATATACTAAGTATTTGGTTAGTGCTTGCTATTTTTTTATTTAGATTTCTTTGATTTTTGTAATAAGCCGGTGATAATGATATTACTTGAAGGTTATTTCTAAGGAAACGAACGTAACGAATATATAAATATGCGGCTTACAGTAGTTAAAAATACCAACAAAGCAGATGAGTAAACATAGGAGCGTGCATGCACACAAGTGCATATATACATATGTATGTGTGCGCATTCGTTACTAGTGCCATTAACGTTATTAGCGAGGAACTGCCAATCATTATAAAATACGAGGGCAGTTTTTTTATTTATTAAAAATTATATTTTTATCACCAACTTTTTATATATTGCTAAAGATTTCAGTAGCAGTTTCAAATAAGAAGAAAATACTTACATACATATGTATATAAATTTTAATTCATCTGCGTTGCTCTTATTTGAGTGCGGCAGTAGTCTTCAGAAGTATTTAGTGAATTTTTTCATACTGCTCGGCTCTAGCTCAAGCTCTAATGAGAGCAAACGACCTTAAATGAAAACGCTGTAAATGTTTAGCTTGTGATCTGTAGCACTGTGTTAGACCTTGAAATGTGTGGAGTCATTAAGTTTAAATCGAAAATGTGTTTAAATAGTCAGTGACACTTCGTAGCTAATAGTATGTCTCATGTTATGAATTTCATCGGCAATATGCCGGCAATCTAAAATTACATTCATATACATATACATACATACATTAAAAAAATATTTGTAAATGAACTGTTTGATTGCTCTCTCAATCAGGTGAGTGTTGCCTTTTTCGTTGACGAAGCGCATCATTCACGCACACTTGTGACACTTAGTCCACCAGTCACTCAGCCACTCAAATTAGTTGCCAATTTAATGGTCATTCATTCGCCACTCAACTGCTTCAATAGCTGTGAAATATATGCACACACATATACCTATGTACATGTATGCATACGCTCTCATGGGTAAACAATTTAAGTGAGGTGAGTTGTGTTGGCTAGTGACGATAACGTGGAGAATGTGCAGATGTTGCCGCTCACGCATTCGCCTCTTTTCTACCTGCCTTAGTAGCCAAATCCACTCGCAAATCATCATCCTCCCGCCTTGCTTATTCAGTTTTTATTCGTTCGTTTATTTCATATTTAATGCGGCATATTAATGCCAATTTCTTTGCTTCACATGTTTATTTATGTAAATACATGTGTACATATATACTTGTATATCTATATACATACATGTAATTATTTAGCACATACGTTCGTATATACATACAGCATATGCATTTATGTGCAGCAGTTTGCTTTAGTACAGTAGTGTTTGCCTTGGTTGCGTGTGATTTGTCTCACTTGTTGGTTGCCTGCAGTTGATGAAATCGACTTCCTGCAAAGAAGTAACGCAGCCGGTGTCATCAGGCTACATTTGAAGCTACATGCATGTGCACGAGTATATATGTACATAACCTATGTAAATAATCTACTTATGTATGTGTATGTACATATTATACAAATAAATTGTTATGTTTTATATTGCTTAAATATTTATTATTTTAGTTATGGTAATCAAAAATTACATCGGTCAACAAAAAAAAAATTTATTTTGGGTTTTTGTTTTCATGCTCAAATTCTGATTCTAGACATTGCAAAACATTTCGATTTCTGTTTTTGTGAAGCCGCCATTTAGTCAAATATCAAAATGTTACTAGTTCTTCGATCTTTAACTGTGCTCATCTATTGTAATAATAAATTAGTTTCGATTTATGACTAAGTTCCTGTGTGGTAAACGTTTTTAGATGACAAGATATCTTCTCTTCAAGAAATTTAGCATGGATTAATATCCAAGGCAAGGCTATTATATCTGAAGAAATTTTGTAGATCGAACCACTATATCATATAGCTGTCATACAAACTGAACGATTAAAATCAAGCTCTTGTAAGGAAACTTCTTTATTTGCGAAGAGTATTTTAGCTTTGGTGCAACCGAAGTTAAGGTTTTTTTTTCGTGTTTTGTCTGCTCTGTGTCTGGGTTGATGCTGAACTGTAAATGAACATGTCAACATCTAACGCTATTGGGAATATAATGTCAAATTGGAGGTTATCAACAGCGCATACAAATACATCCATACACACCTCGTTTAAGTGTGTATTTATCGTGTGTACAATCGACTATTGTGAGACTCAACTCAGCGATGGTTGCTTCTATTTCCCAATGGGTTAATTCTATGCTCAAAGCAAAATTGACCGTTCAAAACACAACAGTTTCTACAGATTGAGTTGTTGTTATTGGTGGTTATGTTACAACGCTGATTTACTAACAAACTCAGACTGCGGAAATGTAATTTTGTAGGTGATTTCTTGTCTAAAAACCGTGTCTGGTATATGCATACATCTACATAGAGCCATTTATACATATGTATGTATGTATGTATGCGGAAACCCGTCTGTTCACGTACATATGTATGCTTTTGCATGCCTATACGGCGCTTAATATTTTAGAGCCAATTACTAAGATTTGCAGCAGGTCGTCGAAAGTAACAACAAATTAAGAATTTGCACATCCTAACGCCAATGCGGATGACATGTGCTCAGCGCCTCCAATATGTATGTATGCATATATGTGTGCCGTTTGTGAAAGTGAGCGGCATGAATCGCTAATACTTTGTTGATAGAGTAGTTGTGCTGACGGTTAATTAATTTTCAGTTGACCGGGCATGGAATGCTGCCTATGATGCAGTCAGCTTTATGGACCACTTGGACGATGTTGAAATTATTGGCCAATTCTGGGCATGTATCTAAATATGTATGTATGTATGTACACATATTTACATATGTAAGCGTTTGTAGGCGAAAGAAGAGCTTCATTACTATTTTTAAAACAGTTAGTTGTCTTGCTAAATTTGGTGAAGTGAGTGATTCGTTTATTGGTAAAATTTCATAAATTATTTATCGGCAATAGTCGTAAAAACTCATCCGTTGTTCGTAAGAGAAACATACAAGTACCTTATGGTCGCTAACTGCTGAAGAGCTTTGTCTAGCTTCGCAAAAATATCGATTACATTCAATCAAGAAATTTTAAATTTCAGTGAGCAAACTATGAATAGTTTAGATAGAAATAAATTGGGTCTTGCACCGCGATCTACTCTATCCTCCCCACTGTCACAACGAATCACATAGGCCCAGCATATTGAAACATTTCAGTGCTATGTTGGGTGATATTCAGGCGATGTGATTCCCATTCGGATATATGGATCCAAGGATCTGGATCCTGCGTCTACAGGCTGCTGTGGAGTCTATCATCACATGCTCTGTAGTTTCCGTCTGCATGTCGCAAAACCGGATCAAAGACCGGTAATTAGGCAGCATTCTTCAAAATAATTTGGAGAATGTTTCGTTTTTTCATTGCATAAACAATGTTATGCATTTCCTTGCGATTATACTGAAAACGGGCACGTATAAATGTCTTATCAGGAAATAGTTCGGTACAATCACCCGTAGTGGACGTAGGCTAAGGATCAGCATCGCTGCTGTGCTTGAAAAAAACTACAGCAATGTGAAAGGCTATAACTAGAATTGATTATATTTCACGACACTAGACTTCGCAAAAATCTCCGCCTATGTTCGCAACATCGGTGAAGAAGCTTACAGTATTTTTCGCTCAGGGTTTGTTACAATTTTAATACGTATAATATTCAAAAGATCCGTGGTAGCTAACCATCTCATGAGCAGGAGGTAATTTTGGTTGCCGGCTGATTTGTCCTCAGCCTTCAGGACAATAGGGATCGGCGTTTTTTCTGTCGAAATATATATGTATGTCAATGTATAAATTTGAATTTAAATACGTGAGAAAAAAGTATGAACGATAAGTAAAAAAAAATAACAATTTTAGCGCAATTTTTTTATTCTACCTCCTTTCCTTTCTTGGCGTCATATCGAAAATTTAAATAGAACAATTTAAAGTGTCAACCTTTGACCGTAATAAAACTAGATGAATTTATTTTGCGTTACTATTTTGCTTTATCAAACACAACAAACGAATTATCAGATACCATTTATGCAATAAAAACGTACAGCCTTCACCCCAATTATTGCAACAAAAAGCCGTTTACAATTGCACATACCAAAATATGCAGTGTCAAGTTTAACGGCAAAGGATCTTTTCATCGTAGGCAATTTATGCACACAACAGCGTATACAATTACACTCGCCCTGCGACATACATACATACAAACATGTGTATATGGATATGTATGGTTGATGCTTCGATTTGGTTTGCTTACCACGTTGCTGTTATTGTTCCACTTATTGCACTTCCATAGGCACGTTTCCAACAGTTGCAACTGCCGTTTATCCTTTTGACGCGCCTTGCCACTGCTCAGAACCCGAGTATTCTTCTGAAAAGTAGCAGCGTGCATTGCCGGTTTTGCTATCACACGCTGCCTACACAAACATACATACATACATGTGTAGAAATGTATGTGTATTCATAGTTGTCTCTGGGTGTCCTGTATCTGAAGGGTAACCTATAGTTTTCAACCATGCGTGCATACACACATACACACAATTGTGCATTGTGGCAGTTTCTGTCAGCGACGGTTGCAAATATCCAAACAGAGGTAGCTCTACCAGCAGTTAAATAGTGTGCTTATGCGCAAACACACACACGTACATATATATAAATATCGAATGCGTTAACAATGAGCGATAATATCGGTGGAAGAAACAACAATGTCAATGTCCCGTATTATATTTGAAATTGTAATGTTCCATAACTTGATGCTTCTCGCATGTTATGCACACGCACACAAGCCCATGTAAAGTTGTAGCAGAGCACGCCTGCTCTACGTGGATCCTTGCCGCAGGATGTAGCCGTGTATTTGGTGTGCAAACGTGCTTGTTTGGCCTATTGTATGATTTCTTAGATTCGAATTTGGTGTTGGTCCTTTCAAAGGCCTAATTTTCACCTTCTTATATAATATATGTATATATGTATATTTATGGTATTTGTAGGTCGGATCTAAAGAAAGGGAAACCAAGCGGAATGCTTTGTAATGCTGCATGCATTGGTGAATTTCGAATTAAACTTTCTATAAGCGTCGATAAGTAAATACTACAGTACTTATAACGGTACAGCTTCGTTCAATTACTTATAAACGATGATATCAGAGTCGACTTTTGAAGCTTTTGCCTCAGATCAATTAAACTGTGTGAGAGTATTTTATAACCCGAATAATTTTGCTTATAGGAGATCCGTATTAAATTTTAGCTAAGCCCCTTAGATTAGATTAAAGCTTAGCTTAAAATTTACTGCAATCTGTGGCCAATAGTCTCTTAGTATGATTCCTCGCATTCTTTATATACTTTAGAAAGCTTTCCATTTTGTATCAAAGCACATGTTCTTGTGTCTTATTTTCCCTACTGCATTTATAAATGGTGTAAAATAATCCATTGAACCACGTCTCAAGTTCTTAGAAAACTCTTGTTTATACTCATTGGACGCAATGGGCGTAATGGATATTGACACCTCCAAAAAGTATGCCTTCTTCACTATCAATCTGGTCGTAATTGTAGATGTTCTGACCGGGCACTGTCCAATAGGTTCACACGTGGTGCGACTAAGTATTTTGTCGGATGCTTTTGTTAAAGCTGTATGGAGGAAGCCGAGGTGGCATTTTCGCCTATTTCCTGGTTTTTTCCAGATTAAAATTTAAATATATCGGTAGATACACTTTCGGCGCACATAACGAGATGTTCAAAACTATCCTGACTATCGCTCTAACCACATGGAATTGCTTGCCATGCGTATGAGTTGCCTATGAACCAATTTTCCCCTGGAATGCCTTCTATAATATTAGTAAGAAATATCTTAAATGCTCATAACTCTAGTAAAAGCTTCAAGGCTATGGAATTTTATTTAGCGCTTTAATGTTTTTTTTCGGTGTTTCCCGCTAACTTTTACTAGATAATCTGCTCAAAATTACGTATTATTATTAACGCTTTCATTTCAAGGAGGTTGTTTTAAAGCATAAGGCAAATTAGAACTCTATATAACAAAAGATAACCGGAAATTGTGTCTACGGCAATGAACTTGAGATCGTCGGCCACGTAGCCTTTTCGAAATAATATCAGTTATATTACAGATGGAATTTATCAGTTTGATTGACTTCTGATCCTGAGGGGATAAAGTAAGAGTTTTTGAAATTTGTAAAGCATTTAAGATAGCGTGAACCAGAAGTGAATATATTTATTCTTTGAAGTTTTTTTTTACTTGTAAATATTATGGATTGAACATAATTCAGCTATGCTAAAATTAAATATATTTTTATAAAAAATTTAATGTTACAAAAAGTTCTATCACAACAGTGAAGGCCCCGGCGAGATTCGAACTCACGATCTCCTGTTTACTAGACAGGCGCTTTAACCAACTAAGCCACGGCGCCAGTTCTTTACATCTTAACAAATGACAGAATTTCAACACCAATATAAAAATGTACATACAAGCATTATCCACCACGAGAATAGAACAATGTGGTCAATTTGGAAATAAATCCACCATCATTCAGACCGTACGAGATTTCGTGCTAAAAATAATTCCGCGAATACTTACAAACATATACATATGTGTATGCATGTTTAATGATATACGTTCTCTGGTAAGAGTGTCAAATGGGTGAAGAATCAAATATGATTCTTTTATGAAAAACCTTTAATTAAATTTTTTCAACTTAGTCGCAGGCTTCAGTGAGTCATGGTTTGTCAGAAAGTGAACCCCGAAGAAGATGTTCTATAGATTAAATTTCAAACTTTTATGTGGTTCTATTGCTTTTACCAAATAATAAGAAAAATATATGTACATGAACATATGAAAGCAGCAACGAGGTATTTGCCTTGGAGAGTTTTTGAATATTCATTTTATTTTTTAGTTGTTAAAAAGATGTATATTCTATTTTAACGTTTTAAGAAAAACTTCTTTATTTTAACTTGTATAAAAATTATATTTATTAAAAAAAAAAACTTAAAAATAACAGTTATTTTTATTGCACATATAATAGTGAAAATATCTGCAAAATGGCTGCTTTGCAGTTATTTTCACTTTCTTTTTATATTTTTAACAAAATTTATTATAAATTCACATAAAATAACAGCTAAGAGTATTTTCGGTTTTATAAGAAATGGCTAAAAAGTTATAATTGTATATAGTTTAAAAACTTAACTTACAGCAATTAAGTTACAAAATTTGTTTATAAAGTTTAACTACAACATATTTATAATAAATTTTTACTTATTTTATTAATTATTGCATTTAAAAATATTTTAACTGTGTTTATTATTATTTGTGCTTACTTAATTATATATGTATGTGTATATATTTTGTTTATTATAAACTGAAATATTTTTTATTTTTTATTAATGCAAGCTACATTTGCAGTTTTTGGTTTTAAAAAGCTTTTGTTACCATAGCTGCAAAATTGGCATCCAGTTATATATATATATTTGTATATTTGCAGTGATCAGTTAAATTGCAAAAAATATATTAAACTATTGCTACACATTCTATATATATTTGTAACTACACGCTTATAAAACTGCTAAATGTTTACTTACAACAATAAACATTGGAAAAATAACTGTATTGTGGTATTTATATTTTTCAAATTACGTATGGAATATATATTATATTATATATACTATTACTTGTATGTTTGCAAATAGCATACTATGAGCATTTAATTATGTACATATATATGCTAATTAAATGCTGCAGTACAACAAGTTGACAATTTTTTTCTCCCAAATTTTTTTTTACAGTTAAAATATTTTTTCTATAATAATGTTTTTAAGTATTATTTAACAAAATACTATTTCAATTATTATTTTTTTGTAATAAAATTCAAAGTAGTTATTTTTTAACAAAATCATTTGAATTTTTTTTCAAAAAATAAATTTTTTAAAGCAAAATGTTTTAACAAAGTATTATTTTGAATATTATTTCAAATATTTTGTTTCAAAAATTAAATTTAGCAAAGTGAAATATTTTAACTAAATTTTAACTCTTTTTCTTCTTTAATATAAGTTTTTCCAAAAATTTGATTTTTCAAACTTAAGTGTGTCAAAATATTTCATTATTAATTATAATTATTATTTATATTATTAACAAAGAATTATTTTAATTTTTTTTAATACAAGTTTTAAGTAAAATTGTTTTAACAAAATATTTACATAACTATTTTTTTGCATTTTCTTTTTAAATATTTTTTATTTTAAATATTCTGATGAATTCGAATTTTTTTTTAAATATTATTTAATTTTTTTGCATACATAAATTAAAAAAAATATTATTAAAAACATTTTATTTTAAAAATTAAATTTTGCAAAGTAATAATTTTTTAATAAAATTTTATATTAAAAGTTTTTTTTTAAATTGAATTTTTCAAAGTGATTAATTTTTAATAAAATAAGTGTCAAAATACGTTTTTAACAAAATATTTATTTATTACTTAAATATTTTTTTTTAAAATTATTTTATTTCAAATTATTATTTAAAAATTTTTGTATTAAAAAAATTATTTTATGACATTTTTTAATAAATATTATTTAATGTTTTTTTTTCAAAATATAAATTTCTTAAGTAAAACTTTTTAATAATATATTTGCTATAAAATTTTTTAGCAACTTCTTTTCGCATATTTTTTTAAATATTCTGATGAATTCGAATTCTTTTTTTGCTAACAAAATATTATTTAAATAAAAAAAAATACTTTAAAATATTTTTTTTTAAATTACAGTTTTCAAAGTTTTTTAATAACTTTAATTAATAAGTAAAAATAAAATTATTCAAAATAATTATCTTATTAAAATTTTAATTTTAATATGTTTTTTCAAGAATTTAATTTGTCAAAGTTAAGCGTGTCAAAATAAGTTTTTATTTAAATATTTAAAAATTATTTTTCAAAAATATTTTATTTCTAAATATTATTTTGAAAATTTTGGTTTTAAAAGATCAATTCATGAAATTTCTTTAACAAAATAAATTTTAATATTTTTTTTTTCAAAAAATTTTCAATAAAATGTTTTACTAAAATATTTACTTTAATATTTTTTACCTTTTATATTCAAATATTTATGTTATTTTAATATTCTTAAGCAGAAATTATTGCATACATACAAAATAGTTTGCTGTATACAATTTTTCTTTTTCTTCTTCTTTTTACTTTTTTCTCTTGCTTACACTTGTTAAGAAAATTTAGCAAATGGCTGTTTTGCTAAATTTTCTCTGCCTACAAATTTACCACACCACCACATTTCTAGAAATTATTTCTTAATTACGATAACAACAAATTGCGTCACACTTAATTTCATTTTAGTTACAGATATTTTTTTGTAGTACTTCGCATATTTATAGCACATAGATAATTACTGCGTTTAGCTAAACCAACCATTCGCTGGCAAATGAAAATTTAAGCGGCTTGCAACTGCTGAGTATCATCGCATAGTTATTGTCCTCAGCAATTTCGTGAGTTGTATTTGATTTACAAATGTTTTTTGCATTTTGCATACTACTAACATTATTACAATTAACATTAACATTAGCATTAACATTAACATTAGCATTAGCACTACAAGTAACATTACCGCTATTATTACTACGATTACTGACAGTGGCTGTGCAACTGTCATTGCAATTAACAGCTGTGCTTGCAACTTCAACATTGTTTGAATATTTATAACTTAAACTATTAATATCAGTATTTTGGTTTGGGTTATTGTGTACAGTGTCTGTCGCATATAAATCTGCTATGTTGAGTTCCTCATAAATGACGCTATTTCGCTCCTCAACAACTTCGTGCCTATTTGGACGAAAAGTCCATTCCAAATGCGGTACATTACGCTGTATGCTTTCTGTTCCTGTTGCTGGCGCATCTATAGCGCTATACGGACCTGCCTTAATGGTACTTTTTGGCGAAATTTCGCAAATATAACCGTAATTAAGATTATTTGTGTAATATGCATAATAACTATTTAAATCAATTATATTATTTGTTGTTGTTGTTGGTGAATAACTCTCTCCCACACCAGCTAAACGCTCGAAGCTACACATATTGGTTTTAATAGTTTCTATAAAAGTTTTATTTACTTCACTCTCCTCGGCTGCAGTTGTTTGCACATTCAACTGCTTCGTCCAAGTGCCATCAAGCAATAGTTTGTTTGATGGTTGCTTTGCTTTTTCTGAATCATGTCACACTGTGGTGCCCTGTTGGCCCGGCAATACTGAGCCACAATGCGGTGGCACTTTGAAGGCGTCACGATAGCGCTCACGACAATCACCTTTGGACGCAAATACGAACTTGTAAACGATGTACATCGGTATGCAGAGTACCGATGAGCAGGTGACGGCCCAGCCGACTTTAATGCTCCATTCGGGGTACTGGTATTCCTCGCCCAACATTTCCTCATAGCCGAGTATGGAGAATATAAAAATGGCCTGAAAATAAGCATTTTCAACTTAGCTTGTTTATACTTTAAGCATTATATAATAAATGCTTATAGTTGTTTACTAACCAGTAAAAATACCGGACTTATATAAGTCCAACATATGCGCCAGAAAATGCCCGGTTTAATGCCCAACATCTGTTCCACATCTTCGGAGAAACGATCGACGCCGTAAAACCAAAAAACGCCAGCTGCCTCAACGAATACCACAAATAATATGGCCAGACCAGGTCCGTAAACGTTCAAGAAGTTAACCAAGAACACGCCGCCCTAAAATGTTTTTTATTATATTAAAAAAGTGAAAATGATATATTGTTTACATATGTTTTAAATATAAACTTTCTTCATATAGTGTTCGTCGCTTGCTAATCAGCCATAACGTCAAATTGCTATATCCATAGGTAAAGTAAGTAAAATCTATTTTCCTTTTTAAAACTAGATCCTTATTAGTGGGTTTTCAAGCTATGTTATTTACATATTACTATTTTCCGAGAGTAAACTTTTAGATGAAGGCGAACTCTAATGAAGAAACTACAAAGTATTCCCATTCGAAGCTCCAGGTTCTAAAAACTTGGTAGAAGTGACGCCGTTACTTATATGTTAGTTAAAAAGCTGGGATATACAGCGTCTACCTATAGGGATGACGTGATTTTGACAGCTCGTGGCGGCTATGTTTGTTTACGGATTTGTGTCAAATTGTACCAGTCTGTTGAGTAAGGTTTGTCATTTCATCATATCACGTATCATTATTTTATTTTAACACCACGTCGTTCTTATTGGTAGACCCTTTATTCGTGAAATGTCTGCAGCTTCAGTATAAATATTCCCAAGCCGTCAATCAAAGCAGTTATTCTCATTTTAGGTTATTCGTGGTTGGACATGGCGTCTCACAGTTATTTCAGAGATAAGCACCTATTGTAATAGGTAGTATTCTGAACTAATAATTTAGTGGACCGCCTTTTTTATGAGTTTCGCATGCTAAGTGGCTCATATTGATAATTTTGTAGTGATACCTATAACCCAGTATTTGGTTATTATAGAAAACACTTTCCACTCTCTTCGTGAAAACATAAAAAAATTAATATTTGCTGTTCCCAAGAAACCTTTCAGTCAATTTGAAATATTTTTTGCAAATATTTATCACATCTCGATTATTTTTATTTGTTGCCCCCAATATACCTAAATGTCTAAGTAGGCACAGAACGGGCTGGCGTCAAAGAGTAACTATGTTACACTGATTAAGCGCACATCAGTTGAAACACGACTAAATGCGTGAAATTATAATTTCTAATGTAATCAAAGAGAGTGATAAGGTCCATTATCCCTCCTTTGCCATACTCTAGCTTAAAGTTGTTAAGCGGCGATGCGCTGTTAGTTGTCTGTGGAGGCAAGTGGTGGCCAATATAAAAGCAACAATAAATAAAATCAACAATCACTGATGTTTACCAACGCTGACAGGTGTTAAAAATGGCGCTAAAGCTTGAGACGTTTGGAAGAAAGTATGGCAAAAAAGGAAATAAACAAAAGCGCATGTTAGCTGACAGGCGGACATGCACACACACACACCCAACCGGAGGCATAACACAATTGGCTTTACAATGGAAGCCACTTAAGTTGACCACCTGGTTGTGGTGGTGTTGAGATATAAGCCGAGCAATAGCGTTACTGAACCGTAAGGCAGAGACTTATCGGTTGCTTATGGATAAAAGCTGGCAAGGTGGGGCCACACACATAGTCAAGTGTTGAAGGTAAGTGTGAAATTTATTTATGCAGGTCAAGATAGAGTTAATACACTGCGAATAAGCATGAAGCAATAACTTATGCGGCGCAAAAAGGAAACAAAAAAATAAACGAAACAAAATCATTTATTAAATAAACACCAGAAAGCTTTCGGCGTGTGAACCGTTTAGTGGCTGATTGCGACTAGCAAGATAAATGAATAAATGTATTTGCTAAATAGTTTAAGAATTGAGTGGTGCCTGATGAAATTACGCCAAATTAATTAATGCAATTCTGCGGTTCATATCATTAATTCCATTTGATTTAAAAATGGTGATTTTGGTTTCGAAGAGGAATAATGTCCTAGGCGGTCAAAAAAAGTTTGAAGATTAAAAACGGGCAGCAATACTCGATAAAGTTTGCCCCACACAAGAAGAAACCTACAGAATCTTTGGGAGTCACTCAAGCAGCCTATTTAAAACGTTTAAAAGCAGCCGGATACATTCAAAGCAAGGAAACTGGGTGTCATATGAATTAATGCCAAGAGACGACGAAAGATGCTACCAAAAGAAGTAGGTTTTGCATCGGATTGTGACATCCCCAAACTTGGCCAAACAGACAAATCAACGGCAAAGTGAATATTTATAACGGCCATGTAATTCTCTGTATTTAGGGGGCGTGTAGTATTATGAGCTTCTAAAGCCGGATAAAACTATTAATGGAGAACGCTACTGACAAAAACTTTTGAAAATGATGCGAACGATTGCCGAATCGCCCGGATTTGCGACTAAACACGAGGCAATAATTTTCCATCATTCCGAGGCTAGGCCTCTTTTTGCAAGACCAAATAAAAACTATTTCGAGAACAGGGGCTTGGAAGTTTTGTTTCACCCGCCTTATAGCCCAGACCTTGCCCCTTCGCACTATCATTTGTTTGGTCGATGTAGAACGCTCTAACTGGAATACTGTTCAAATCAGAACAGCGAACAAGATTCATTCTTGGCCACCAAGCTGGTGCAGTTCTTTTGGGATGGAGTCCACAATGTTAAAGCTTAATAGCTATATATGGACAATACTTTGAATAATACTATTGTACAAGTCTATCTTAAATAATATTCAAATTTTGTAGAAGAAAAAAAACACGAATATATGTATACCCTATATATATCCATGTGTTATATACTAATCATATATACATATACGCTTAGCACTCACATAAGTCATAGTAGGCAGCGCACATAAGTAGATGCAAGCCAAAAGTAGCAGCACAAATATTTCGCGACGCCGCCCAATGGCGCGTGGATATTCATCACAGAGCGCCGTTATCATAGCCTCCAAACCGCCAAATGTACTATCCAAACCCAGTGTGATGAGCATGAGAAAGAATATAATGGACCAAAATACTGAGCCGCTCATAGTAGCTATGGCCTCCGGATAGACAATGAAGACAAGACCGGGACCTTCCAGACCCACCTTATCGATTGAGGTCTTCTGCACATGTGCCATGTAGCTGTAGGTGAAAGGAAAATATTATGTAAAAATATAAATATAAAAATATATATTTTTGATTATTAAAAAAAAAAAAGTAATTAAGTATTTTTCTTTAATTTTTCTACGCACCCTAATACAGAAAATATCACGAAACCTGCCAGGAAGCTTGTCAAACAGTTAATACTACTCGTTATCAGCGCGTCTCGATAACAATTGTTATTGAATTTATTGTAACTTGATAAAGCGAGCAATGTGCCAAAACCGGGACCAAGCGAGAAAAATATCTGTGAGGCAGCATCGATCCAAACCTATCGTAAAATTTTAGCATTAAGCAAAATTACCATAAATAGCATTTTTTTACAGAGTTACCTTTGAGTTCTGCAGTTTGTGCCACTCTGGTGTCAGATAATATCGAATACCCTCCATTGCGCCCGGCAGCGACACACCGCGTACCAATAATATGAAAAGCACCACATATGGCGCCAATGCTGTTACCCACACAACCTTGCCAGCGCTGCGCACACCCTTCCACAGCGAAAAGTACACTAAAATAAATACGCCGAAGACACATAAAGCCAATGTGGGCTTAATGGGACCCATATAGTCTAGTCCATCCGATTTATACTGCTCAAGTACCATGCGTCTGCGTTTAGTTGAAAATAAAAACTCAAATTTACAGTTGTTTTAAATATTTTCGCTTAATGACTCACTCAAAGAACTCTTTGGCTGGTGTGGTCGCCTTTTCTGTGAAGTTTTCATTCGTTACTGGCATGCAACTATTGGTGTTCCACGAATTGCCACAAGACGTCCACGGTAGCGTTGATGTGAACGATGCGAATAGGTAGTACACCGCCCAGCCGATTATCGTGTTGTAGTACATGCCCATATAAACATCAATTAGGCAAATGGCGTAACCGACACCTGTTTGGATTAGATGAAGCGAAAGCAATTCTCTTGAGCTCTTGAAAAAATAGATTAGTTTGCTGGACCAAAAAAATTATGGTGGAATTAAAATTAGTGCAGTCTTTTTGGTAATACATATGCAAATAGCAGAAAGCCTCAATCTCTGAAAAAAAATTTTGTTAGGTAAATTATTCATCTATCAATAATAAATTAAATCGACTGTATTAAATTTATTAATTTAATTCTCTCGGCAGCCGGTTCAGCATCACCAGAATTGACCTGGATTTTATCCGACCTAAGACTGCTCGGTCGGCGATTTAAACCTGTTTAAATCGGTAATTATTGGTAGTAATTGGTTAAACTCGTTTCCACAACAGTCGGGTCTCTGTAACCGGACTGAGCCAGGATCCTTATCCTGCCAAGTATTCTTTACTGCATTACACAAAGTTATTATATTTGAGGAATATTTTCTTACTTTACAATCAATCAAAAACAAACCAGTTTTTAAAACTAACTTAACCTCAATATCACTTTATTTGTTGACGTAATTTGAGAATTATAATTTCTAGTGATGTACCATAAACTCTAAACGGTATATTGTCACGAAGTTTGTCACACCCAGAAGGAAGATTATTGTCCAAGACAACGCTAACAATCTCTGAACATATTGTTCTGATCGGATCACTATAGCATATAGCTGCCATAAAAACTGGTCGATCAAAAATCAAAGTAAAGATCTTTTTTTACCTCGTTGAGGGAACAGCCATTTAACCTAACCTTCAACTATTATATTCTATATATATAGGGGTATTATAGCTTCGCCATAGCCGAAGTTAATGTTTTTTCTTGTTTTTTAATTCACTTGTGTTGAAGTAGAATGCTGCTATTTTTTTAAAAATAATTTTAAAACTGAAAGAGTTTGGGAATAGAATAAATATTTTTGTTTAGCCATCACTGTTATAAAAATGCAAACTTTGTATCGAAAAATAATCATGTACATACATATGTATATGTATACATTCTCGTTATTCCTCGTTATTAGGCAATTTCAATACGTTTTTAACACCACTTTATTTTATATAGCATTTTATAAAGTTTCAAATAACACTCAAAATAAGGACATATTACTAACATTACTATCGCAATGACATAACGGTAAAATATGTGCATATATGTATGCCTGGGTTTGTGTAATCAGACATACCCGCTTTTACCTAAGTATGTACGCTTACGGTAATGGTTTCCTTTGTACTTTCTTTGCCGTTCGTTCGTTTCCTTTCAATCACTTTCTACTTGCACTTTGACTATAGTAGTTGATTTAATAAAAGTTGACTAAGCAAACACTTGTTGAGCAAATACCACAAAGCAGTGTCAACGGGGATTTCCTCGCAAGCCACTTGAAACTATGTGAACTATGGATGTATGTATGAATAAAAAAGTAGTAGAACCTTAAGTGATAAGGTATTTGTCTGAAGTACATTTCGTCTTTTATGTGATTGAAGGAAGCCAATTGTACTGTTGGCCATTTTTTCATAAAGCAGGTTAATGTATCAAAGTGAAGGGTCCAAAAGTTGGAGTTCTGCTATTAAATATTTACAAATTCAGAGTATTTCGGATCATACTAGGTACCAGATGCGTGGAGTAATCTTTATAATATTTTTTAGAATAAAAGCTATGAAGTTAGTAGTCAAGTTCGGTAAACAACCTTTTAAAAATTGTAACTATCGGTCTTTAAAGGATTGTGAATGTTATATATATTGAATGTACATATATTTAAGAATATTCTCCGAAAAGTTAAAGTTGAAATGTTGTTTTCAGAGTCGGTGATCAAAATATGTCCGAACCCCTGAAAAAATCGACTAGAAAATTTCACACAACCTTTTTAGATAAATATATTTATCAAGTAGTGATCGAAAAATCTTATAGATTTTTGATAAAAATTTGAATTTTTTAAACCATTCTGAGGTGTAAATTTTTCCACAAAAAAAAAATAATTTTTATTTGCGAAACCGTCATTTTGTCTAAAATCATAACTTTGACTAGTCGTTCGATCATAAACTATATTCATTTATAGTAATTTTATATATTGTTTGTGTTATTGCATTTGAGATAATTTTAAGCAGAAAAATCTTCCGCACTGCCTCACTGATTTTTTTTCCGAGGTCCTTTTAGAGATCGTCTACGGGATCAAGGAAATCAAGAACTTTTCAAAATGAAGCGTCGATTAGTAAATTATATAAAATTCTGTTATTGTACATTTTTCTTATTTATTAAATAAAATAGCTCTTCAAAAAAAAATCACATAAAACTTTTGTTGACTTTCCGCTTACAATGTTATTTTTAAAAAATTATCTCGCGAATCGTTTCAGATACATATCTTTACTGGAGTTGCCAACTAATTACATATTTAATTAGCCAGCCGATGTAGTTGAACAGTGCTAAAGGAAAGATATTAACTCTCTAAAAAGTATATACAAAATGCTGTACCGGGTCATATAAAATGAATAAATCTTTCACTTAAGTTAGATCAATATCGACACACATACATACATACAAATGTCGGTTAAAACACGTCAAATTTCAGTAGCGCTTATTTGTTGAAAAGTGCTTTTACATACAACAAGTGTGTTTACAGAAAAGATTTGTATTAATAAAGCTAATTTTTACAGTGAATGAAAACGTAATGATGAATAAGTAATGAAATTAAAACTATATATATACATAAATACACATGTTAACAGCGAATGACAGGCAACCCTACACGTTTAAATATTTCTTATAGCGACTTCAATTCAAATCTAATAAATATACGTATATGTACTTGTATATATTGTCTATGTATGTATGTATGTTTGTTTGTATGGATGGATGAATATATGTATGTACATGTGTACGGATTAACACTGCGCGTGAAACTTTCATCTACACCATGGATTGGCTGCTAATTGTTAGCTAAAGATGACTTGAAAGATATGGGTACAATCGCGCTGACAAATATAAATACAAGTGGAACGAGTCAACAAGGCGTAAAAATACATAGATATCCATATTGATATATATGCGCATATATCACAAACACACATAAAACTCATCTGCCTGTTTGAGCTTTCAAAATATGTCAGTTGCATGTTGAACTTGCAAATAAAAAAAATAGATGAGGCAGGACTTGAACAAAAACAATAGAACGCTGAATATGCAGATTAAATCGAATTAAAAATTTGTTATCACAAAAGTTTCTTAACTTTTGGACTTGTTAAGACTTGTGGCATAGAGACGACTTGGCAGTGTGTTTTCGAATAGTAATATATGTTCCTGGATGCATTTGTATATACCATATATATTTATATGGGCATAAACATAGATATGTATGTATGTATGAATATCTAACTGAAAGTGTTCATAAGTTTTTGTACGACACTGCTAGTAAGAACTAGAAAATACGTTAACTGCGGCTGAACCGAAGCTATAATATCCTTTACAGGTCCAATTATTATAGAATGATAGAATATAAAAGATCTTTATCTTGATTTTGTTCGATCAGTTTGTTAGGGCGCTATATGCCATAGTAGTCCAATTCTGATAAATCAACTGTTTCTGGGAGAGAAAAGCACGTGTATAAATTTTCTAAAATACTGTTGTATTTTTAATTATCTTAATAAATAACGGTATTTCAATAATATTTTCCTTGTATTTTAAATTAAAAAATACAATTTTATAAAATTACATAACAATAATTATTATTTAATAAAATAATTCATTTGCCATTTGAACGTGAATATCACGCTTGGCGCTTCTCGGTAAAAATGTAACCCTAAGTTTTGTTTAAGTTCCGGCGCCATTACGCTCTTAACATCAGTTCCGAATTATTTTCACGACGCGCCTCACGAAATCTATGAAATCGCATATTTTAGTAAATTTAGTAAAAGTGATGGTTTTGGTCCTAAATTCTCAAGTTGGATTTTTTCTAATGTGTGATTAAGTGAAATATATGTCTACGCCGTATTTTTGTGCGGGTCTTCACAAATGTCCAAAAGTATTGAAGTACTTGCGTCATAGCAAATATGTGTGTGTGTAGAAGTGATAATGTAGTGATATCAAATATTGAAAGAGGCCCTTCGTTGTATCAAAGCGAGGTATGTAAGTCTCCTCAAAAGAAATTCTAATTTGCTTTTTGTGCTGTCCCTAAACGTTCCTTTTATTTTTGCTTAAGTTGCGCTGATTTTAAGCAAAGCTTTTGAAGTTTCATAATAAGCTTTCAGTTTGAGAGCTTGGGTAGTAAAATTAGCTGGAACATGATTGTTATAACAAATTATTTCAAGTAAAGGGTTTTAAAGTAAAAATTTAATTTTTTTCATTTTATATATTTACTTACTCGTATATTTATATTATATGCATATAAAAGTATATACATATATTATAAAAATAGTATAATATATATTTCGTGCTAAATTCGCTATAGATGTTTGTATAGAATGTTATTCTTCGTGTCAAAATTTTGATATTTTTTATGTAATTGCTTATTTTTGTACATACATATGTACGTATGTATACAAACATATATTTATTTTTTAGTGCGTCAGGGTAATTGTCGCAAATAAATACATACAATAATAATCCGCTTTACAAAACCAAAGCAGATATTTTTTATTACTAAAATAAATACATATATAATTGCTGTAAAAAAACGAGTATCAATATTAATTTGTTGCTATTGTCAATAAGATTTGTTTATTGGCAATAATCATGTTTACTTGAGTTAAGTGAAAAATTTGCCCAAAAGCTATATACAAACATATGTACAGAGTCTACCAATAGGGATGACGAGACTTTGACAGCCCGTAGCAGCTGTGCTTGTTAACGGATTTGTGTCAAATTGTGTCAGTGTGTTCAGTAAGGTTTGCCATTTCATCATGTCACATTCAAAGCACAGTAGCCAAAATTCCGGCCAAAATTCTGCACCGGATCATAGAAAATTGGCGCAAACGAGTGGAGATATAAAAAGTGAGGCGTGGTGTCCATTTGGCCGACATTTTGTTCAAATCCTAAATGACATAAAATTATCTGCATAACAAAAAAAAACATAACCCATTTTGACCAAATTTGAGTGTTTTATTTCTTTTCAACACAATGTCGTTCTTATTGGTAGACCCTTTATTATGTACGTAAATATGAAGGTATGCAAATATTGTCGAAATATTATATATATACACATGAGGATATGTAAATATGTACATATGTGATGTATACACCAACACTTGACAAATAAATGTGTGGAGGTTAATAAGCTTGAATCAAACAGGATAGAGGAATAAATCTGGCAATAAATACATTTGTGATTAAAAACATAAATTCGCCGGCAGTCATTTAATACATGCATTCATACATACTTGTATGGTATCTATATGGAGTTTAATTTGTGTTTGTTTGAGTATGTAAATGACATTATCGCAATGTGTTTGTTATAGCCTACAATTGAAGAAGCTCAACATATTTATACATATGTACATATGTATATACATACAAAATTATGAAATTCATGAAACTGTGAATGTTTAGTACTCGTAAAGGGGAAAATAAAAAATTGTTTAATGCTAGTAGCCAGTAGTCATTTAAGTCGCTCATCTAGTATGAAATAAAAATCTAATTTTTACATATTTCGATCACTGAGGATATATGTATGAGGTACATACATATATCTTTTCAAATACCCGCTCAGTTCAATCAGCTCCATCAGTTTATCATTAAAATCGTTTTTCTCGAAACAGCATTTTTCGAATCAAAAAATCGATTTTTTAAGGCAGAGACGACCAAAATTTCAAACGGCGCCGTTTTGTCAATTTTTGAATTTTTTTCGACCATAAGGTCATTGTAATTATTGTTTTAGGTATAATTATAGGAGAATACCGGTACTACCCTTGGAAATTGCGTTTAACTCTAAAAATATTTATTTTTTTTCTTCACAAATTTTACTGTGTATTGTTAATAAATAAATATACCCTTAAACATTGCAAATATTTGATATACAATAGCATTTTTTTAATTCCCAAATATCGTATTTTTTAGTCTGTTATAATAGGTGCAACCTTAATCACCTTAAAACATATACCATGTATGATCAAAGTAGTATCTGACATTTCAGTTTTATGTTTTTAGGTATATGTATATTCACGTATAGTACCTATAACTTGCATAGTATTATCTAGTGATTTTACGAGTCTAGCTTGAAACACTTACACAGAGACATTTAAACTGATTTTCTTCATAACATTCTATATAAGAATAGTTAAATGGCCACTGTACTGTCACTGACTATCTGAAGCGCTTGAGTTACTACAAGATTTCTATTATTTTTAATTATAATTGGTCATTAAAACGGTTCAGAAACAGTACCATTGCCTGACATCTCATATTTTTCGCCCTTTTCAATATTTATGTATATAGTTTTTGTTTAATTATAAAAAATACTTTTCTTGCTTTTATATAATGCCTATGTACATATATCTAGGAGTCGACTATGTTCTCAATAATATCTTCCTACAAACATATGCAACATACTTATAAAAAAATTTCTGACACGTTCAGGTAGACGAGATAAACAAGCGAACGTGACTGATTAGCGTCATAAGCGTCGATAAAAAATCACTGAGGACATATTGAGGTATATTGAATTGAAGCGAATGGATGAGAATGCAAGTGGTATTAAAAAAAATGACACTACAACAAGTTATGTAATTTCAGTAACGACAATGAAGGATAAAATCTTAAGAATGAAGGAATGCAAAAGCAAAAAAGGGTAAGGCGGAGTACACAATCACCAGTGGAATTTGCTTGATTTGTGAGAAATCGACACGCAGCACATTTGTAAATCAACAGGTTGCCAAGTTTTTGTTTATTCCTGCTTTTGTTTAGGCCCCTCAAGGCATATTTCAATTGTTTGCTTACTACTTATTCTAAATAGCGCTTAAATGTATTTTTATGAATACGCCTGAGTATTTGTGTTATAACAAATGTTACTTTTATATGATTTAAAATTAAATATTTAGTGGCTTATATGCATTTTTATATAAATAATAATTTTTGTTTCATTTTATTGAATTTACCTTTCAATGCCGGACAAATGCGTTTCCAAATGCTTAAGCAACCGCAACGATGAAATTGCCCCAAAGCCAATTCCATGTAGAAGAGCGGTAGGCCACCGAATATTAACATCACACAGTAGGGTATAAGGAAAGCGCCGCCGCCATTCTGATAGCAAATATAGGGAAAACGCCAGACATTACCCAAATCGACGGCAAAACCAATAACGGCCAATAAGAATTCCGCCTTTTGACTCCACGTTTCACGATTGCGTTCGGTGACAGAGACGACCAGAACGCGCTGTGGGTGAGATTGTAGAAAAAAAGTCACTTTATTACCTATTTATTTAAAAAAAATTACGTTATTTAAAAAAATAAACGGATCTTGATTGCGGTAGCGTTTTTTAAAGCTATGAATTATGTGAAAAGCTCACGTGTTTAGTTTGTGTTGATCTTCGAAACAAAGAAAATTAATGTATTTTGTTTCAAAAATATGTTGGTTTCATTCTTTCAGCCGAAATAATATGCTCTGAGAGTCATGTAAAAATAATATATCTAGGAAATTTGGTGTTTAAACAATCTGCCCAAAAATCGTCTCTAAGTGTGTCCCCGACTTTTCAAAGAGACTGTGACACTAATCAAACTTTCAGGTAACTAATGAACTACTCACCTCATTATTGGCTAGTTTGGGCGCTAGCGGATCGGTGACCTTGGCGGGCGTGGCGTTATCAGCATCATCTTCTGGCGAATCATCCTCGTTGGGCTGCGCTGACGTTTCCTTATTATTAGCCCAGGGCGCTGACATTGCGGCGGCAGCAACAGCCGACGCTGTTGTATTATTGCCAAATTCTAAACTATTATTCTTACTACGATCCATATTCGATCCTAAGCAATTTTAATTAATATTTGCGTGCATAAGTGGCAACTCCGCTGACGCCTCAGTAATGATGATAATATTGTTTAAAAAATTATTGTGGCGAAAGTGTGTGTGGTTTTTGTTATTTATTTTGGTGTTGTTGGTATGCTGGCAGTTTTTGAAAGCATTAAATGGGCGCTGTAGACGGTTGTGGGTGGAGCAGCGTGATGGGCGTGTTGTGCAGATATGGATGCATATGTTGTATTGGCAGGTCACTACAGACGGTCCGTGGTAATAACAATATTATTTGCGCACTTCCTCTACATAAGTATGTTTGTTTGCAAAAATATACTTTGCGCTTCTCTCTTGAACTTTTAATAGCTGCAATGTTTGCTCGTTACGCTGATATTTCACATCATTAACAACTCATTAATGCAACTGCGAAAGAGTGGTGAAATAATACATTTTAATTAAATCCAATATTAATATGTTATACTCTCGGCAATTATTAATATACACGCAAATTTGTATCACTCCTTTAATATTGTAAAAAATATGTATGAGAAAAGGATATGCAAAAAACCGTCGGCAATTGCGACCAACCCATTAGCTGGGTGAGTCTGTTTTATCAAGCGCATATGTATAAAAATATGTATGTAAGTGCATCCCCAAGGTGATGACTTTTAAGTTTCTTTTTATGCATCGCACATTTGATCAACACTGTTTCGACCCGAGTCCTGCTGACCGGCCACTGTCAAGGTGTGTGGACATCGTCAGTCTCATTTACACACATGCAAATTTGTATATATGAATATTGTACTTTTACATGCATGATGTTATTGCAAGTACGCCAATGTCAATGTTATTTGAGTTATCAACACAGTTAAGAGATTATCTTTTAACCTTCATATTAATGCTTGAATTATTTTTGCATGGTAATCCTTACAGAATGCTCTCAAGCCGAGTGTAAATATGACATATGTATATATTATATATAAAAACCTGCTTAATAAGGTGGAGTGTTTGTAAACATAAACAAGAAAAAATGTTAACTAAGGTTGCACCGAAGCTATAATACTCGTCACAAATACAAAACAGTTCTTACAACAACTTGATTTTGATCGGTCAGTTTGTATGCATATAGTAAATCGATCTGAATAATTTCTTTGGAGATTGTAGCTTCCCTTAGGCAATAATCTATGCCAAATTTGGTTAAGATATCTCATCAAATGAAAAAGTTTTCCTTACAAGGACTTGATTTTGATAGAGTATTTTGTATGGCAGCTATATGCTATAGTAGGTTATCGGCGGTTCTGACAAATGAGCAGCGTTTTGGGAAGAAAAAGACGTGTGCAAAATTTAAGATAGATATTTCAGAAACTGTTGGCAAACTAGTCCGTATATACATGGCTAAATCGACTCAGCTCGTTATGCCGATCCTTTCTATATATATTTTATAGAATCTCTGACGTTTCAGTCTGAGTATTACAAACTTCGTGTCACACTTAATATACCCTGTGCAGGGTATAATTATACGCGTTATGAAGAGTCGGCTCGTCTCTAGGCAATAAAATGGTTTTTGTGATAGCTAAGCCTTTAAATGATATTTGTGAATTTATTTTGTATAAACTAGGGTGGTTCGAAATCGTTTCTGGTAGACCTGAGTGCAGTTGTTTTATGATTAATGGGGACGAAATAACAGTTTCTTTCTAATTATGGAAAGGAGCAGAATATTAAGTTTATCTGAGTAGAAATATATATTATAAAATATATCATATATATTAATAAAAAAAAAATATATGGTATTAATAGCTACTAACCCTGCTAGGGCAAACAATATACTTAACAATCGAACCCAAGTAAGTTTAAGTATTTAAACAATAATCACTTCCGCCTTCGATTTCTAAAAGTATTGTCTTAAATGTGGTCTTTTCCCGTGGCTTTTGACTAATTATACGAAAATGAGTAAGTAATTATTTAATAATTGTGGTTGTAAACATTTCTTTGCATATGACAATAATAAGATGGTTGAGAATATCAACACCGACGCTAATGAGAATATCATTCGCATTATATTTGGAGTTAAGAGCAATACAGACAACAGCACGACAAACATTTTGATTACATTTAAATTCAAATTCTTATGCTTACGAAGAAGAAGGGAGAAAAATGTAAATGTTTCACAAATGTTTAAAAAATTACTTATTTTCGTAGGTATAAAAAAGGGAGTCAAAACTTTACTTTTTTGGAGGAAAATTTATACAGTGCACCCGTATTTGCATATAGCATCAGTATATAGTAAAAATTGCTTACGAGTGCGAGAGTGAAGCGAAATTTTATGTTGAAGAAATTTTAAGAATAAAAATTTTATTATGCAATCACTATTATTATTTTCTTTAATATTTTCAGCGTTGTTCGGGATAACTTTTCAAAATTTATTAAACTTGCATTTTTAGTATTTTCATTACATGTAGGGTTCTTTACTTTTGGTACAATAAAAAAATAATGATCTAAGCCTTTAAAAAAGTAATAAGTTTTTACTTTTTTCTTGATACAAAATATTTCAGCGATATTGTGGTCAAAGGCATTCTGAATGCATTTACCTAGCTAACAACTTGCAACTGAGAGACATGCTTTTCAAGCGTGATTTAATTGCCTTGAACTTGCCATATTATGTCAATCTACTAATTGCCAGTTCCGCTAATGTGTATGGCATTTACAGTATATAATTAATACATACGCGTGGCTATAATTAAATCTAAGCTAAATTTATTGAGTAAATAGTCAGGAATAGCATACAACAATTAGATGAAGAAATTATTAATACAAACATATGAGTGTGAGCGCTTGAGATGATCGGTCAAATGTCGATTAGCACGTGATTAAATATAAATATAAAAATTCTTGTAGAATGAATTTAGTACATAAAAAATTACAAAAAAATTAAAGTCGGTAAAAAATCAAGATTAAACGTTCAGTAAAAAGTTTTCTGCTGATTTTAAGGGACACAAGGGCATGTTTATATATATTTTAAGAATCCACTTTTCTACTGGAACATATGCAAGTAAAAAAATAATAATAATTGAAAACGGCGTTGTTGAAAAGAAGTTGAATTTTACCCAACGTTTTGGTCGTTTTTGTCCCGACCTGTGTGAAGGCAAAATTTTAATAGTGATCGGCTGATTTGTCTCCTAATAATTAGTCAAGAAAATTTGAGAAATTTAGTTTTGAGAAAAACGCATTTAGAAATAAACTGAGCGGTTATACTTTAGAAGACAGTAACTCAAAAACTATTTGAGATATCGATTTAAATTTTAGTATACTTTTTAAAAGGTTTAGCCCATCGAAATATGAAAAAATAATTTTTTTTTTAATTTTACACTAGGTGTGCCCCTTAAGCGGGTCCTCCCGGTTTCAAAAAATCGATTTTTTTTTTTGCAAAAATCCAATCTAGAGCATTCATAAAATGTGCTGGTAAAGTAATTTTCCGTAATTGAATGTAGTTGGAAAGTTACAGTAGTGAGAAAGTAAGGTCTTTAGAGCGCGTGGCCGACTGTTAGGCGTTTTCACACGTATTTTTTCTCGAAACTCTATTATTTAAATTGGCGTTCACGATTTCTCAACAACGGTTCCATCTATTGCTTTAAAATTTTAATGGCATATTCATCACACATAAGGCTACCGTCCGAACTAGCATTATTGAAATTTATGAAATTTTAGATTTTAATGTTTAAAAGCATTTAAAAATTGAATTTTCTAGATTTGTAAAAAATCCTAGTTCCGGCGCTTTACACGTATAGATTAACATGCAATTTTTTTTTTTTTTTGTGATTTTAGGTTAGTCAGGCTGCTGGTATCTTGGACGTCGTTTGTCTACGTTTTTTCTACATGGGTGCCAATGGAGTGATGAATCTCGCAATTAACATAATATTTTCACTTGAAAAAATTCAAAAATACAGCTAAAGTCTTTATAAATATATAGTTAAAATTTGAAAGCTCTATGTTTTTTCAATTCACTATAAAAAATTCCGAAAAATCTTTAAAAAAAACGGCCATCACACAGGATGACCGTCTTAGGGCGGCAAATCAACGATTTTTCGCCACAATTTGACATTTATTTGTACTGGAAAACGCCCCATGGAACGATTGAGGCCTTAAAGAAAGGCAGGAACTAAACGAACTAAAAAAACAATAACAATGATTTGATAATTTAATAATGATTTTTAGTGAAAAAGATTGTTTTCGTTCTCATCAATAATATTTTTTGTGGAATGAAATTTATATGCAATGTTTTTATTATGTATGTAATGTTTTATTAATATTTAAATAATCTTAATTTAGTGTCAGAAAATCAAAAAATAATTCCTTAAAATGAATAAATAAAATTTTGATAATAAATTTTAAATTTTTTAAACTAAGGGATTGAGTTTTGTCTTCTGAACATATAACATTTGCAAACTTTTTATCTATTTACAGTTTGAATAAAAAAAAAATAGTTTATAGTGTTTATAAAAAATTAAATAAGTTTATTTTATTAAAAATATAAAGAACTTAAGTGAATGCATGTGAATTTACTTAAAATAAAATATTTTTATATTTTTGGTACTGCATTATTTTAACTGCCGACGGTTTCTCTGGTTTAAAACATTAAAACATTAAGCAAAATATGTTAAATTGTATATCTTTTATAATAAAAAAATATTTTCATAATTTTGGCTCTAGAGTAGTTTAACTGACAACAGAAATTAAAATTTATATAATTCAAAATTGACTTACTTATACTTTTTTTTGTACACTTCAATTCACTGACACTTAATAAATATTTACCAACCAAAAATTTAACAACAACAACAATTATCGAAAAAAAAACATTAATTATTCAACAATACCAAGTGTAAAACTAAAATGCACAAATTTTTTAGTTTTCTAACACAACTCAGAAGGAGTTCAACACTTCAAATCACAAATCAAAGTATTTATCCACTTTATATCCGTTTCCGTTCCGCTGGTTATGAAGAGTGTTTTGAGCGCATCGCACGGCGCCGAGAAAACTGCAAATTTTCAAAATGCTACGCGCCTTTTTATACCCGACATGGAATACACTACACACTCTATGTGCGATACGATTGCGTTCTGTGCGTAGCAGTCCGTCGTTAGCGCCTTCGTCGACGCCAGCTCCTTTACATTGCCACTTCTACTTCTTGTTAGTCTTAAACTTCTACAAACCAAATGCAAAAAAAAAAAAAAAAACAAATGTCCAAAGAACATAGCGGCTAACAGTAAAGAGATACAGTGGCAGCAAAAATCCACTACAACAAAAATGATATTTATGTATGCAAGCAAATACGCCAGCAGTCAGCCAGCGAAGTCAGTCAGTCAGTTTGTTGGCGGCCAGTAGCTGCTGGCTCGTCTATTTGTCATGGCTTTGTGCGCACAAACTGTTGCGCGGCCAACAAGCCGACAAGCCTCCCAAAGCAGACGCTTGCTTACACACACACGCTTCGACTCCACCCTCAGATTTGCGAATGAGTAAATGTATTTCTTTATTTTTTTGTTGTTGTTGTAATGTGCGTACGATGCTATCTATTGGTGGTGCCATCAGCCCATTTAGTACGCATACGTATTTCACCTATAAATGCTTTGCAAATGTCGACGCCAACATATGCATTAGCTTCAATAGCGCAGCGCCACGCGCCACCCATTATTGGCGGCACATGCTCGGCGCTGCAAGGCTCGTTGTGGAGGTAAAAGCGAATGCTTGCAATAAACTGTTGCTTTTCACGTGCGCGCACACACATACACTAGCACATCGGTTCCTCGTCTTTTCCATGTACGAATATGGATTCATTTATGTATGTGTGAGTTTTACGTGGCGCTGCATTACCAACTTGTTGCATGAGTATCGTGTATGAAGTGATGGATTTTCAATGCCAAATTATATAATGTGGTTATTGCAAATATAAAAATTTTAAATCAATCTCAAAAAGTGCTCTTTAGTATTGATAAATTAGTAGATTCATAGGAATCAGCGCTAGGGCTAGGTATCTGTGATCTCTTTTTTGAACAAATATAATCTTATCATCACTTTCTTGTTTTAAATTTGTGTTTTATCTCTTTTTAGTGTTTTGTGTTAGAGAGCATCGCACTGTAGCGTAGTACCGCCTTGGCTGTGGATGGAAAAACTTATGGGAAAAACTAGGTTAAATGGCTGATCTCTCAGTATTGCGGACGAAATCATACTTAGACTATTATGTACAGCCCTTTGTGATGTCAAACGAAAAAAAAATCCTGTAGTCGGATATCAGCTATCGGCAAAAACGGCCTGAAACTATCAAAAATCTGCTTAGATGTTTTATTTTTATTTCCGCTATTTCTCTTGTATGTCTAACAGTATGACATCCGAGGTTGCTTGATCTAGCAAAAGCTGGATATTCGAGAAAGCAGTGTTGAGATGATTCTATCTCATTTTCTTCCAAACAGCTGATACAGCTGGCAGCTGGTAAGATATTCCATCTTACTGCATGAATCGTGATTCGACAGTGTCCTGTCGGAATTCCTACAACCACTGAAAGGTGGACCTTGCTGAAAGCGATTTACCCTGCGCCAGAACGACTTTGCGTCTGCACAGCTGCTGGTAGTCGACCAGCGCTTGTTGATTTGGTCTGAGGCCCAACAGCCGCAGAAGCTCCTACCCGTTCCCATTTCGCTGCTATTGAGACTGCAGTGTCTGTCCTATCAAGCTCATCAGCTTCACAGTTGCCTGCAATACCGCTATGACCAGGCACCCAAACCAGTCTAATCAGAAATAGCTCGATGCTAGAGATAAGGAGTCTAGAGATCCTTACACTAGTTTCGAGCGCACAGTCAGCGAACTCGCTGCCCTACTATCGGAGTGGATAGTCACCACTCTGAAGGAGGCTGTGCTCCGAAGCAGTACATCTACTGCTACCTTTTTAGCAGCTACCTCTGCTTGTAAGACGTTGCTCATTTGTCGGAATCAGAGATATCGAACCACTATAGCATATAGCTGTCATACAAACTAAACGATCGAGATCAAATTTTTGTATGGAAAGCTTTGGCACGGATTATTATCTAAGAAAAAATGCAATCTTCGAAGAAATTTTTGGAAAGGACTGCAATGGTATATAGCTTCGAGTATTATTCGGTGCAGCCGAAGCTAATGTTTTTTCTTGTTCTTTATCTCCCACAACAAGGTGAATCATCTTAAGCTCGCATTAACCAAAATTTGGATATCAGATTTATTTTTGATTAGAAACAGTAGATTTGCTTGTTTTTAAACATTTTATATAAAATATGTATGTGAATATATGTATCTAAGTACATAAGCCATATTATGTCATTATGTATGTTTATTTTATAACTTCAATTCTTTACTAGCACATTTTTATTACAGTTTTTGCTTAATCGTTGCTTCCATCCAAGTCGGATTTTAACTTTAATGTTCATTTTTAGTTAAAATATTTTATTGTTTTTTAAAAATATACATTTTTGCATTTAAATACCCTTATTTATATTAATTGTGTGCCATAAATATTCAATTATTTATAACTACAAAAAAAATTCTGTCCATTTTGTTTTTAAAATTTACTTAAAAATTCACTGCACTCAGAGAAATTTCCCGCGCTACTAAAATAAACCAACACGCGACGCGCACAACATCATAACAACTGTTTTAGTGGATTAAGTGAACGCTATCATCGTTCTAACAAGCAACCATGCATATTCATGTGCACTTTACGTATGCACTAACGCGTTGCAAACACCTATTAAATGCACAAATGCACATACATCAGGCAGTGAATATACATACATATATATGTATGCACATGTGTTCACTTTTGTATATACACGTTGCCGTGACGAAAATCAAGTGCTCGAGCAGCAACAGCAGCATTGCTTAGACAATGTTGGATACAATCAACGGTACCAATTTGTGGTTTGTGTGGTCATCGATTCATTCATATATTAGAATAAGCAAATTTAGTGTCAATATGTTTATGCATGCGTGGGGGTGTGCACTATATGTGTATGGTGCTTGCTTACGGTTGTCGCTACAAAAACAAAGTTTCAATGTATGTTTACATTTTAAAAAGGTCTTTGTTGTTCAACTAACAAATGTTGCTCATACGCCGTGTGTGTTGATCATACGTTTGCTTATTGACACTAAGCTTTAGACATGCACGATTGACACAAGTCATGACGTTTGTGATACTTCACATTTCTTCTTTGATGTAAGTGCATGTGTGTATTAGAGTGCGTAAAAAAAAAACAATTTTTTTGTCTTTCGCTTGGTACTGAGGAAAATATGTTCTAAGAAACATCTACAAGTATGAGCACTTAAGTGCACTTGGAGACTCTTTCTTAGAGGTGTCTATCAACCAATTTTTTTAGAGTACGAAGCGAAAAAAAAAACTCGTTTTTTTTACCCATCCTAATATCCATAATACATATATACAAACAATATGCTATGTGTTCAGGTTCCAATGCGTCTGAAATGAAAAGAATACGGTATGTATCGAAAAATCTGGCAAATGTTCATGTTAGATTACCCAAATCAAATAATTCAAGCTATATTTTTGGTTCCTAAATAGAAAACTTATAATTCACATACATATACATATGCGTTTTATAACTCCTTAAAAAGTCTCAAAATTCATTGGCGGTAGTGCCTCGTTATTTAGTGTAGTTAATACCGTAAAACCGTTGATTTTAATTAACATGGTCAATACCATGCTATCAATCACTTAAAATGTTTCAAATTACCGATCAGTTAATAACCACAAAACTACGTCATTCGGTTTGCATTAGCGGTAACCGAAGTTTAATATTAATCATATCTGTTTGGAAACACATAAATACTTACATATGCGTAATTATCTGTTTAATAAGAAAGAAAATATATTTATGTATTTAATTATTTATATATATATAATATATATTCAAATATTATAAGATATAGTAACTTTCATTCTAAAACTGAACTAGTTGTCAATTATTTTATATTTTAATTTACAAATAAAATTTTATCGCCTCGGTTATATAGTATGTTTTATGCTTTTGACTAAGCAAAATCATCATATCGCTAAAACATCCCTTTAAAAGGTTATTCCTTGTACTTGTGAATTTCAAAAAATCGATATTTTTTCTGCATATACCGGTGTGAAGTGAGCGTTAATATACAAATATTTTTGTAGGGAACATTTGTTGTGAACGAGCCTTCATTTTTTTTCTGTTTGGTTGGCATGAGATCTGTCAAACATATTCAATAACAGTCATTGAACAAACAACATCATATTTTTCATTGTGTTGAAAATGTCAAATTTTGTACCGGTAAGTGCTGATTTGCGGAAAGCATTAATTTTTTGTTTCCATTTGAAGAAAAGTGCTGCAAATTCTCATCGATTGATTGTCGAGGCATATGGTTATCATGCTCTATCAGAAACAACATGCAAAATATGGTTTCAACGATTGAGAGATAATGATTTTGATGTGAGAAATGAAGAACGTGGAAGACCACCAAAAAAGTTTAAAGATGTTGAACTGCAAGCAAAATTGGATTGGATGCTCGCTATTATAGTTAGCTTGTATGTTATGCGATTTCATGCATTGTAATGCTTAACATTCCTCTGGTCGGGAAGTTTTCAAAAAATAATACTTTCATTCTTTACTGGTAATACAAGACTCCATCGGCTCTATACATTAGGAACATGTAATAAAAGCTATTAAAATATTAATTTAACTTAATAAAACCTTGCAGCTTTCATCATATCTAATGCCTGAAACTCCTTCTAAACAGTTTTTAATGTGGAGATAGTTTTTGTTTATAAACAAAAGCAATTCACATCAGCTGTTTCTCACTTGCCATTAGAGAACGTAAAAATTGAGAGCGTACGATCTCTGACAGTTGATTAAATGTGTCTTGCCAATCGATGTACACCATGAAAAAAAATGTAGTTGGCAGCGCGAATTTATAATTGTTTAAGATTTTTATTAATTAAATTTTTACTTAATTTAAATTATTATATTAATACTGTGAATGGTATTAAATTAAAATAAATGACTACCGTACTTATATTATGAGTATATTATGATTACGCATATTCATCAATTTTTTTGCTGATGCAAGATACAGTGGTGGTAGCAAAAGATTTACTTCGTGAACAAATAACAGTATATTTGCTATATACAAGGAAATTTTATAATTTTATATACAATATATGTGTACTCATGATTTTGTATGAAATTTGATGTTTGATGATGAACATTTTGTAAACGCTTAACTTAATCGAAAAATTATACGAGACCAATCTGTAGAACAGTAAATTTCGCACAAAGCTATGAGTTTTGCAATTTTAAATGATTTTTTATCATTGAGTAATAAAATTAAAAGGAAAAAAACAAATTTATTCTGGAGGCAATATTTTTAATGAGAGCTTGACGGGTACTTTGTGAAATATTTTATGTTTCTTTACCTGATAAATACATTTAAGAAGGTCAGTGAAATTTTAAGCTAATTGGTCCAGCCGTTTTAGAGAAATTTTGTTCACCGACTCTGAAAAAAGTGCTTCGAGATAAATGCGTTTAAAGTTTTGGCAACCTATTACATCAACAAAACTCCGAAACTATTTGCCGGATCAACTTTAAATTTTCGTAGAATATGTTCAAATATATGTAGATTCGAAATATATGCAAAAACAATCCGATGTCACAAGTGAATATAATCCTTTAACTCAATTTAAAATTCTATATGCTTTAAACATTATAGACTAACCGAAAAAGTCCGACAGGGATAGTGAAAATCGAAGCTTGTTTCAAGCTATTATTCACTTAAACTTGAACTTGATTTGCTTAGGTTTTACACACTTTATGGACTAAGTCAATGCACGTAAAATAAGTACTAAAGTATGAAATTTACACCTTTTAATAAATTAGCAACTGTTGCGCATTTACCCATAATATTATAACAGAAACAGGAATTATTTCTAATTTACACATATGTCGATTTATTGAAGCGTAACAAAGCTGTTTGTTTGTAATCAATATTTAAAATGCTTAGCTTTTAGAATGTTCTTGATATATACTGTCGACAGTGACTTAAATTCTTTAAAATGTGTGTTTTAAGTTTGAAAGATCGTACTGGTTTTCTCCCACCCTTTCCCTCATTTCCGGCAGCCTCTCGGTAAAAAGGTGTCTCCGTATTAATAGCAGAACTTCTTATAGGATCATTTGAAACAAAAAAAAAAAATACTATGTGTTTTAATTAAGACCATAAACTAGGTATTAAACGAAGGAAAAGGGTGTAAATTGTATTTTTGGCAGACATTTTTACAAAAAAATGCAAATTTTGGTAAACATTCGTCGACCTCTTTTTTTTTTAAATGATTGTAATTGCAAAAAATTCGTAATTAAAAAAAAAATGTTTGCTCCCCACATAAAAATAAATAAAAACTTAAAACTGCGAAGTTTTATATGAATTATATATAAGTTCAATATTTATTAAATTCACAGCTTAATGGTACAAAGCAATATATCACTATTACATACATACATACATATGCGCACGCATGCTTATTTGTACAGCCCTACAAATGGACCTAATAATTTTTACAAACACTATAGATATCAAATCGTCATGGATTTTCACAACCCATATTTTAAAAGTATAAATACAATTTACAATAATACCAGAATATCCCACAGATTAACTGCACATATACGCAATACTTTTACAGTTTTATAGTTTCGTGTTGATGGTGTCATTCTTAGACGATTTCTTATCGGCTTCGTTCCATTTTTGTATTTCACCCGAACCGAACACCCAAAATATCAGCGCAGGTATTATGTAGACTGCGGCGCCTATCAGAAACACATAGTGCCATTCGTTAATGGTGTTCTAGAGAGTAAACAAAATGAATTCATTTAACCAATTAATAACGTTAACGCTTTTAAATAATAAGCACTTACACTTTCTTTAGTAAAGGCAGCCACAATCATGGGCGAGAAAATACCAGGCGTTGTGCCAATACAGTTAATGATACCGTACAGTGTGCCCGCATAGTTGGGTGCGAGATCTTGAGAGTTCTGCAGATTAGATGCTGTCGCCGCACCATTGAAACCTAGTGAGATTGTCATAATGATGACACAAATATAAGGATCTCTGCCGAAGTATGCCAGTATGATTAGCATAAGGCCAGGCAGAATATGCGCTAAACGAAAACAAATAAAAATAAAATTTTTTAATGCAATACAGTCAAATTACTAAAATGTCAGCACTTACAAGGTAGACAGAAAGTTTTACGCATCATCGTGACGTTCAACCAACTCTTGCGACGAATGAAATCGGCGATGGCGCCAAAACCAAAGGCGCATAGTAAACGCGCCAAATGCGGCAAGCTAGCGAGGAAGCCGGCTGAAGACAAGTTGAAACCGAGCACCTTTTAGAATAGATAACAAAACATTTAAAATTTTACCACCTTAGTCAATAAGTAATAGTGTAGAGCTCACCTCACTAAGGAACTTAGGTGTAGCGGTAATTAGGAAGAACAGACCCCACATGCTGCCATAATGCAACAGGAGTAACGACCAGAAGGGTAAAGAGAAGATGAGACTCTTATATGGTGGCCAGCTCTGAGAAATAAACAATTATTATATATATATATTGATATATTATATATATTGTATATATATATATATATATATATATATAAAGATAAGAAATGTAGAGGGCAAAGCCACGCCATCAATATAGATAATACCAACCTTCGACTTTGTGATGGTTTCGCCTAGACTCTTTTCAATATATTCACGCTCCTGCACGGAAATGGAACGATGTTGTGCTGGACTGTCGGCAACAACATAGAACCAAATCAATGTCATGATCAATACGAATAGACCAACCATATAGAAAGCCCAATCCCAGCCCATGCTCTCGATAATTATGCCACAAATGGGAAAAGTTATCATTGTGCCAAATGTACCGCCCATTAAAGAAGCGACAAATTTTCCTTTCTCATCAGGTGGCGACCATTTAGAGACCAAATCTGCATTAAAGTAAACATGACAAAGAATTATTTAATATTATAGTTGAAAACTAGTTCCATTTGATCAATTACTTACTGTGGCAACAAGGATAAATCACGCCCTAAAAATAAAATAAAAAATTTTTAATTGAAATACTTCAACTCTTAAATAATATTATAACTTACGCTAAAGAAACCAATGAGAAAACGTAACACGAATACAGCCCATTTATCCCATGCTGCGGCGAGGGGTGTTAGTGCCGTTAGCACGGCTACGCCCAAACAACTCCAGCCAGCTACCGGCTTGCCACCAAAATTCTCGGCCAGCATACCCGCCGGCAGTGAGGTAATCATATAGCCATAGAAGTAAGCGCCTAATAAATTGGCTTGATCCGTTTGACTCCAGTTGTAGCGTGGACCGTACTAAGTTTTTAAAATATTTTAGTTAGAACCTTTTAAAGATGAGATTTTTCGTAACACTTACATTTGGCAGCGGTTCGGTGGTATTGGGGTTTGTCTGTTCGACCATAGCTATAATATTAATACTTAGATTGACACGCACCATATAGCTCACAAGACATGCCACGAACAACATTACCGCTATGTTGAAGCGTTTTGGAATGTTAACTAAAAGTGATGAAAAAGAAAGGGGAGATGATTAAGTGTTGAGAATATTTGACTCGGAACGTTTTAAGAGTGTTTTATTTGACTATTTTATATAAAATATTGAGTTCGGTTCGAGTTTATGAATTTTAAAAATAACATAATAAAATTTTAAATCGATATCTCAAATAGTTTTTGAGTTACAGCCTACTTAAGTGTAGCTGCTTAGTTTAATCATCTCCATCAGTTTATCTTTAAACATTTTCTTTGCAAAGAAAATATCTTTTAGTAGAGAATATTACATTAGGTTTTAGCTACGAAGAAGGACGAAATCATTGCAGCAAGAGGACGACGTATTTTTTAGAGCCGTCGTAGGTTGCGTGTAACTCAAAAAATATTATTGTTTTTCTTCAAAAAATTTGACTGTGTATTTTGAAATACTTGATACAGTAGTTGTTTTTATAATTTCCAAAAATTCGTCTTTTTTATTCTGTCACACTAGGTGTGCCCTTAAATTCCTTAGAATTTTGGTAGATAAGAGAATCAAATATATTTTAACTCAATTATTGACTCGCAATTCCAAAAAAGTGTATAAATTTAGATTCTATATAAAAAGTGGCGATCGTATATTTTTGAATTCAAGTTAAACACAGCTTTTGATCTGACTTGAAAACAGTTTTATCAAAATTTCGTCTACTAATGAGGTTAGGTCTGTCAAGAATCACGTGTAAGCACCGACGTGATGGCAGCATACATTTTCATTGTAAAATCGTAACTAAATTTAATTTTTCATTCAATATCTAAATATTATTTATATAGTATACAGATTTCGTAGTTCACTGTCATTTAGCTGATATCAGTTAAACAAACATAGCAGAATATCTACAAAAGTCATTAGTTAAGCTACCTAATGCTTAGACATTGACACGCCATTATAACAAAATATTGTCACGTTGTAAAATTTGCATAATTACCCTCAAAATTTGATAACGGCACATGCAATGTTAGGTTAAGCGGAAACTTTAAAGGCCCTTTGCAATGCATTCTTTTTTCATTAGTTGTATTTTTTTTAGTTAGTAAGCCTGTCACGCGATCTATTTCTTCTATTTTATTGCTGAACCTAGTTTATTATGACAAATAGTTATCATTCAAATTCTAAGCCTTTATTATTACTACATATGACGGCACTAACACCTACGTAAGTGTTATTTGTTGCAGGTTTATTGTATTATAAAATGAACTACTGTGCTTTACAGGAGCTTTACGTCAGATAAAAGTTTCGTTCGCTATGCATTTGTAAATTTCATTAAAATTATAGCATTAATGATGGGATTGCAGCCTCATATTAATTACGCAAGTCTGACCTATAATAATGGTAACAAATCAGTTAATGCATTACCTCATTTCTCAGCCTCAATATACGATAATATATTCTTGTCACATATGTACATATTATATATACTAAGTTTGTTATGTAGTATGTAACACCCAGTAGGAAACGTCGAAAACCCTATAAACTTTTGTTTGACATAATATCTTTATGAAATTTGGCATAGATCCTTATCCAAGGCAACGCTACAATCAGCAAACATGCTGTTCAGATCGGATCACTATAGCATATAGCTGCCATACAAATTGACCAAATAAAATTTAAATAATAATTTTTATACCCATTTAGGCTATAAGAAATGCAGCTGCGAAGGGTATTATACCCACGGTGCAGTCGAAGTTAATATTTGTTCTTGTTTAGTATTAATATTCAAACTGATTTCACAGCTTCTAATAAACTCAGACTAAGTTAATTTCTAAATCAGTGAAGCGCAAAAAATAGCTTGGAAAAAAATTATAGCAAACAAAGTTAATCATAATTTGTCTTATAATTAGCGAACCTGTATCGAAGTATTATATATCTGTGTGTGCATATGTATATATCTACATCTAGTACATGCGAAAGTATCTACAATGGTACATACTCACAAACATAAATATACATATATTGTATAGAGGCCCCTCGATGCCTTAACACTTGTATGCCTAAATGACAAAATGTTTATTCTACTTACATACATATATGTATATCTAACATAATTATAGAATACAAACATATGTATGTATGTACATATATACAAAATTGTAGAATTGTGAATATGGCTGCATACAAGTACATAATTCACTGTAATAACTTTTGTTGCATTTGCGGTTTATTCGCGAAAAATGTAAATATTAAACAGCGTTAGAGGTTTCATAAAAGCTTTTCAAGGAGGTTTTTTAGAATTCCGATATAAATGTGTCTGTAGTTGCTGTTTTGTTTGTTGTCTGAATTTATTCACGCCTCATATGGATAGTACATATCACCGAGTTTGCGTCAATATGTATCTGATTCATAATTTTGTGAAAACGCAAAAAATATGAAAATGTGATACGATTTTCTAACTGAATAAGATCAAATAACGTTGAGTTTTTTTAATAAATTTTCCAATGGTTCAGGTTTATTTTGTCATGAGTGGTGACACGATGGTATAATTAATTTAACGTTTGGTTATATTATTATTCTCGGAAGATTTTCATATAATTGATTTTGACTACCAAGGCACTGCCAGCTTTTCTCGAAAGCTATTTGCAAAATATTTTTTATAGTTACAAGAAGTATAGTCTATGTATACTACAACTTTGCGAAGCGTTTGTTTATTATTTGTGATTTTTTTTCTAGGATTTGCGCTTTAGAAAAACTAAGTGCACCAAATTCACTTTTGGATTGGCGCTTTTTTACTGGCAAGCAAATTGAAGTGTTAAACCCCCATAAAGGTATTCGGATAACTATTAGCAGCAAACATTTGTTCAAAATTTGTTTTTTGTTAATAGTTATTTAGGAACATTAGCTAAGTTTACATTGGACGGATACCGAAACTATTTTAAATATTTCGAAGACAAATTCGAGCAAATGTTCGAAAAGTATTTCAGTAGTGTTTTATGATCTAAAATGTTTACTTTCTTTGGCGAAACTGCAACATTCAGAGACTTTAAAGCTATAAACTCTATTCGAGAGATAAGTGATTATCTTGAATGCTCTTGTTATTAATGAGTATAATAATATAATAAAGAACACTTTAAACAAAAAAAAAAAACAAAAAGAAAAAACATTTTTAGAAAGCTAAAACAATATCTCTATATGTTAATTTTTGGAAAGCTAAAAAAATATATCTATTTACATATAGTTGCGGTCAAAATAATAGCATTGTGCCAACCCTAATATCAATCTACAACATTTTCTTAAACAAAAATTTACGCAACTCTTCTATGCGTCAAAATCAATATTTAAAATTTTTTCGTGCAAAATTAGTAGAATTTTTCAACATTTATTCGCTGAAAGCTCCAACCCTATCGCAGCTAGTTAAACGTTACATTGATGCAGCTTTTTGACGGCGTTCGTGATGGTATGTAGCCTGAAATTCTTTTATTAAAACATAAAAATTATTTGCACGTTTTTATTGTTACCTGTAATAAGAACGTTTGAGTTGACATTGCAAAAAAACTGCTTCAATCAATTGGAAAATGCCTAATAGTTTCAAGTGAAAATAGTTTACAAGGTCGAATATTTGTGTTTTGGTGACAAACTTCGATAAAAAAATGTATATTAAATATGAGAATGCATAAATAACAAGTAAGGATAGACAAGGTAAATATATGAGGTATGCGGAAAGTATTGATATGATTTTACCCATTTTTGGTACAAGGGCAAATATTCTCCCTTATTTTAAATACTAGACCTCACAAATTGACAGATTGATATGTTCGGTAAAAATCAGCCATATGCAATGGGGTACACATAATTGGTGTTCGGGTCCTTGAAAAGTTGTAATCGACAATTTTTGTGCATAAGATGAAATATGTATGTATGTAGCTAGCACTATTAGTGCAAAGTTTTGTTTTCATAATTTCATTGATGTTTGATTTGTATATTGTGAAGTGAAAAAATTTAGCAAATCCAATAAAGCGTTTGCATTCACTACTCCATTTGCACCTACAAATACTTATATACTGTGTATATATCTACTTTAAATATTGGCGTCATTTACATATGTACATTCTGCATGTGTGAATTAAATTTACGTGACATTTAAACACGCTTAAAATTTAGCTAGAATTGTCATGCGATTTGAACTCGGTTTATATTAACATATGTATGTACATATATATAGTTTTCTTTATATTTTCATAGGAAACGTGTGGCTGCCAAAAATAGCGCGTTTGCCAGCGGATCCTCAGCTACATATGTACATAGTTGCCATAAACTCCAACTACGCCGTCACTTGCCAAAACATTAGCGACCAACAGCAAACAATTCGCGAAAATATGCTTATTGGTAAGATCAATATTTGTGACAATGTTTTGTTTTTTTTTTATTTATTTTTGGCAACGCTTGACGGCCGCCGGCCTGCGTTTTGAAATTAACAAATATTGCCATTCAATTACTTTCTATTTGTATAAATAATAAAGCATCATATGTTTGGGTAACTGTAAAAACGTTATGGCAATCAAATCGTCATATCAGTAGGAGGTGAAATAAATAATAGATTGTATAATTTTGCGTTTATATGCAAATTTTGGCAAATATGCGTTGCTATTAGCAGTGGGGTGACAAAATAAGCGACTATCAAAATATGTGAGTCATCTTGCGCGATTATTTTAAATGTAAAAACTAAGAAGAGTAATTGACTTGATCCAGTAATCTTTGTAAGGTCCGATCCGTGCTGGAGAAAACCTAAACTAAGCTTACATATTGCATTATTTTATTTGAATTTTTATATCTTTTTAATTTACATATTCAATTAGGTAAAAATTTGCGCTTTTGCGAAAGCTTTATTTACGAAAAAAAAGATGTAATTGCTGTAAACTATTTCTATTGTAAAAGTATTTCTAATATCGCCAAAGACAGATTTCTCTAAAAACTTAAAACCGTAAAATACATTTTTTGATTACATTTTAATTTACATAAAAACTGTAACAGCCGTTTTTATGCAGGCAATTAGAGTAAACATGTTTTTAAAGCTTTTAATTACACACGTGCCAGAAAAAGTAAAACATATATAGGCAATTCCCAAGCTTCGTCTTATGTCTTATGTCGTATTTCAATAGCTTAAAAAATACGACACTTGTGAGCACCTCTTAATTGTTGTATGTCATATTATGTAATATTTCTACACTTCACCAGCTAGTAAACAAAAATTAAGAATACAAAAATGCCACGGGAAAGTGACAAAACTAAATTAAAGCTTCTTTATGTTGAAACAGCGGCATTTTGTTTCACATTGCAACCACAGAAACAACAAAATATATTTATATTTTACTTTGCTTCAACTTAATTTACCTGAATATCGTGGCTTCCTTCCATATTATTAAAGAAATTGATGAAATTTATTATTATTACTTAAACGTCAACAATAAAAATACAGATACAGCTGATAGAATAGCACACTCAAAAAACACACCTCGCCGTGTTGTATTTGTCGTATTTCAATTTTGTATAGGAAACAACAACAGTGTTGTTATGACAGTCATAAAAAAATAAGACAATACGACGATATGACGATATGACACAATATGACGCCTTGTGAATACCCTAATAATAAATTCTTTTCAACAATTATGCGCTAAACATGTTAAACATTAGACGAAATTTGTAAAATTTTAATTATTTCCCAAAAAAATTTTTTTCTATTTTTGACATAACTTTTTTTTTGTTAAGTTATTGTTATACTACAGAATATTAAAAACACTTGACTTTTACAAAATTATTTTTATTATTATTTAATTTTTTATATATTTTTTTAATAATAATCGATGATTTTAAATTCCATTTCGAAATTATTTGAAATTTTTAATTGTGTGCCTTAAACATGATTTTCTATTTTTGTCATATTATTTCAAATTAGTAATTATTTGTTACTTCTGAAAACAGTTCTTGTTATTGCACTTTTGAAAATAATGTTTTTTAATACTTAGAAAATAACTTTCATATTATTTTCCTTATTTTATAATTTTTATTTTTTATTTTCTAAGTTAATTGAAATTTTTATTTTATTCTTAAAACTGTTTTTCTATTTTTGTCTTACTTTTTGCAAATTAGTTATTATATGTTTCAATTAATTTTGAAAACGCTTGTTTTTTTTTGCATTTTTGAAAGTTGTTATATTTTTTTTTTACTTTTAAATAAAATTAAAATAGCTTTTTTATTATTATTGTAATAACTTTAATATAATATATTTTTGAATTTTATTTATTTTATTTTTGAAAAAGTTATTTTTTTAATTTTATTTTTTTACTTTAAATAAAATTAAAATAGCTTTTTTTTATTTTAATAACTTTAATTTAACTTAATTCATTTATTTTCGAAAATGCTTTAAGTGTTTTCCTAAAAAATGTTTTTATTTTTTTAAAATTAGTTGTTAATTGTTTCAATTACTTCTAAAAACACTTGAATTTTTTAGAATTTTTTCAAATGTTAATTTTTAGCTTTAAGAAAATATTTTTTCCTTAATAATTTCCTGGTTTTGTTAAAATTTTTAATTTTTTTAAATATTAGAAATTTTTCTGAACTTGTTTTTGTATTTTTTTAAAAACTCATACTTATTTAATTAAAATATTTAATTTTAAATTGTTCTAAATTCTTAAAAGACATATACATATAAATTATTTTAAATTTTTATAATTATTTTTAATATTTTGTTATACTTACGACATGGTAAATTTATGAACGCCATGATATTGGTTTTGGTGGTTATATAACGAGGTAGTTGTGTTTTTTACTTGACGAAGCGGTGCGTCGTTTAATGTTTTCAAGCAATGTTAGCAGCTCATATCAACAAATTGGAGTTAGAATACGCTTTTCAAAAATTCTGAAAAAGAACATGAATACAAATTAAGAGATTTGTGTGAAATTTGCACTATTTTGTTATACTAAATATATTTTTTAAAGTTTTATAAATATTTCCAGATCGATCAAAACCAAGTTCTTGTATGGAAAACTTTTTTATTTCACCAGATATTTCACGAAATTTGTCACGGATTATTGTCCAAGGCAAGACTGTAACCTCTGTGGAAATTGTTCAGATCAGCTTACAGCTGTCACACAAGCTGTACTAGCAAAATCAAGATAAAGAGCTCTTCATACCCTTTTGTGCTATAAGAAATGCACTTGTGAAAGGTCTTATACAATAGTTTCGGTGTAGCTGAAGTTAACGGTTTTTCTTATATGCTTACATGAACACAATTAATTTTTTGTAATATTAAAAATTTTTCCATTTAATTTTAAATTTTTGATGCACGCTGCAGTATCAAAAAGTGATTAATTAAACGACTTTAGATTATAAATCAGGTTATAATAAGCCGAGAAATATTTGCCTTACTAAATCTTAAAAATTATGTAAATAAATAGAAATGCTGCTGGGCATTTGACGGTACTTCATAAAAAATGTGCGTCTATACGTTTAACCCCCAGAATGTTAATGGATCCATAAACCAAAACCGGAGCAGCAAACGTTTTATTGTTTTTTAATTACAATTGTTTTTTCCTTCTATGCAGCAATAAATTGTTGCAGGTACATATGTACATATATAACTGTGATAATTAAGTCATAAATACGTTCAATTAATAACCGTAAGAACCGTAAGGAGCGTGTAATTATAAATACAAAAGATAATCAATTTCGACATACATAATTATGTGCCAATCAAGAGCTCTTAAAATAATGATTTATGAAAGTAAAACTTCCTTAATTTTGTGACTTTGTTTAATTGCTCAATTGGCGTTTATCACTAGAAATATTTCATATCACAACGACGCGTGCACAAATATTTGAACAACAAATATACATATAAGCGTGTGTGTGCTGGATACATACAATAAAAGTGTGGTTTAACCGTTATCAGCGGCAGCCCCTACAGAAGCGTCTGTTTATAAACATACACACACACACACCCACGCATACACACTCAACTTGAATTGGCGGTCGAAAAGTTTAAAATTATTTGGCTAAGTGTCGGATTTGCTGACATTACAAGATGTTTACCGACATCATTAATGTGTGGAATTTTTTCTCGCGTTTTTGCTCACACGCTTTTATTTACATACATATAAGTAGGTACGAGTGCACGCAAAATGCGAATACGCGTGTCATTTAATTAATGAGTTAGTCTGATGTAATGGGAAAGTTCGATTTACAGTGTGCCACTTTTTAATTTCACCTGGTCCATGTGACCGCGCTTGAAGGAGTTTGGCATGCAGCCATACATAAACAAAATGACTTATGCTCATATTTTATACGTCATTAAGCACGCAGACAGACATGCTTGTATATTTACATCTTTTTTTGAGTATTTTTTCTTTTCTCATGAGGATTCTCTTGTAGCGTTACAAACTGCCGTCTCAAAACACTTATTCTTTTGCCTTGTGTAAATGAACAAGTCATTTGCGTATTTTCAAATTAAAATTTACATACATATATATAAATTTAATTTATGATGAAATTTTTGCAAGAACGTCAAGTATTATATAAAGTATTGTATGCGTATAGTATTTCGTTTATCTCCGTTTGGAGCTTAGAGCCAGTGCGTATCACGTTCTAGAACTTTCTGTGAAAGTTAGTGCCTTGACGATTCAAGTAATGCAATCATAAAATACTAAAAAGTAATCCATTTACAATTGACAAGCAGCTGAAGTGTATTGCATAGCATTTATGTGTGTATACATACATACATATTTCTAACTGTAATCTTCAACTTCAACGCTAAATAAGTTAGTATTAAGCGTATTAACTGTCGTCTGATTACATTGTATTAGGAATTGAAAGAGTTAAATAAAAAATCCTATAATGATTAGATGTACTTGCGGTTATATGCTGAAAATGAAAGTTAAAGTTAATTAATTTCTGAATATATTTCAATATAAATATATATTAATACATTATTAAAAGTACTTGAAAACTTGAAAGTTACGTTTACGATGCAGCATTATCAAAAAAAAAAAAAAGACGTAAACTTTGTCTGCACCGAAGCTTTAATAGCCTTCAAAAATACAAAAGACAAGAACTTGATTTTGATCGGTCAGTTTGTACAGCAACTATAGGCTATAGTGATCAGATCTAAACAATTCTTTTTTCAGCGATTGCATCATTGTCTTAAACAATAATATAAGCCAAATTTCGTGATATCTTGTCAATTACACATGTTTTGCCTACAAGAACGTGATTTGGTTCGGCCAGTTTGTAATACAGAAATAGCAAAAAATGTTTAAAACACCTTTTTATTATCTAAATTAGAAGGTTATTGAACGCAACAATAGTTAAATTTATAGACTTAAGAAAATATTTCGTGTTTAAAAATATAAAAATGTATCGAATTGTGTAAAATTTCTTGGGTATACTAAGTGCTATATATTACTGAATTGCTTATAGTTTACCACTAACATAGTAAGAAGCATACATTCAGGCGCACTGAGCACTTGCTTATATGTTGAAGACAAAAAACACATATAATGCATATAATGAGCGAAAGACAAACTACTGAGAAGAAATATGCACCAAAACGTCATTAAAATTTATGTGATTAAATCAATTTGCATATAATAAATGTGTTTTAAATATATTTTCAAATACATATTAAGCAAATATCTATTAATTATTATAATTAATAATATTTATTCACTAAATCTTTTTCATGCTGTTATCATTTGTTTTTCCCCTAAGTTAACTGCGCCGTCAGCCGTCAATAACAGCAAGCAATAGTTACGAAAAATAATGAGTATATAGATATGTACATACTTATATAATATATAGTAAATCAATATAATGACCTTCGCACATTTTTCGAATATCATTAATGCTGATCTTATCTTCTTATAAAACTTAATTTATAATAAATACTTTTTTATTTTGATTTTTAGTAGAAAAAACTAAAATTTATCAGATCACGCAAATTTGAAGCACTGGATATTTAATCAAACTTAGCTCTCTAACTATAGCCGATATATTGTATATTTACATAAATCTTTGCCGACTTTTTTTTGTTATCATCAAATATATTGTAAATAGTTTGTGGTTATAGCACACGATGCCCAAACTTAAAATTCTTAAGTTTTTTCTAAAATCTCTCATAACTAAGTTGTTTTAAGAATATTTGTAATACAGTAATAGCAAAAAATGTTTAAAACATTCTTTTATTATCTAAATTAGAAAAATTTTAAGGTTATTGAACGCAACAATAGTTAAATTTATAGACTTAAGAAAATATTTTGTGTTTAAAAATATAAAATTGTATCGAATTGCGTAAAATAAAAATATATTACTGAATTGCTTATAGTTTACCACGAACATAGTAAGAAGCATACATTCAGGCGCACTGAGCACTTGCCTATATGTTGAAGACAAAAAAAACACATATAATGCATATAATGAGCGAAAGACAAACTACTGAGAAGAAATATGCACTAAAACGTCATTAAAATTTATGTGATTAAATCAATTTGCGTATAATAAATGTGTGGTAAATATATTTTCAAATACATATTAAGCAAATATCTATTAATTATTATAATTAATAATATTATATTTATTCACTAAATTTGTTTCATGCTGTTATCATTTGTTTTTCCCCTAAGTTAACTGCGCCGTCAGCCGTCAGTAACAGCAAGCAATAGTTACGAAAAATAATGAGTATATAGATATGTATATACTTATATATAGTAAATCAATATAATGACCTTCGCGCATTTTTCGAATATCATTAATGCTGATCTTATCTTCTTATAAAACTTAATTTATAATAAATATTTTTTTATTTTGCTTTTTTAGAAAAAACTAAAATTTATCAGATCACGCAAACTCGAAGAACTGGATATTTAATCAAACTTAGCTCTCTAAATTTAAAGCACTTTCAAATTGTGTGCTCATGCATCCAACTATAGCCGATATATTATATATTTACATAAATCTTTGCCGACTTTTTCTGTTCATCAAATAGTTATAGTAAATACTTTGTGTTTATAGCACACGATGTCCAAACATAAAATTCTTAAGTTTTTTCTAAAATCTTTCATAACTAAGTTGTTTTAAGAATATTTCTAGTATAGATTAGAAAAACTTAATACGAAAGAATCAGAAAGAAAACTAAAATACTTTTGATAAAGCATTATGTAATTTGTCATACTGGGCTAAACGCGCTGGAACTTTTTCATCATACACATCTCCTTATAGTTGCCAGAGATGTGATTGCGAACCTTAGTCTATGCTCTTCAAGCATATGGCTTCAGAGTACCTGTAACCGATACACCCATATATATATATATATCAAACTATAAAAGACTTGTGAGCTATTTTTATTAAGAGAACAACACACCAGAGCTTTTCTTATAAAATATATTTTTATCAAATCAGTATGATAGGGATTACTGATTTGATAAAAATATATTTTTTTTAAATATAGTTTGCGGCTGAAATAACTGCAACTCTAAATTTCATGGTTTGTCTATATAAAGTCAAATTTATAGCATAATGCTATCTTAACAATTTGTAAAGAGAAGAATGAGAGTGCGTTGGAATATTTAGAACTTTAAAGCCTCAATTCAGACATTATTTGTAAACTTCTTAATGGAACAGAAATTCTTTTGAAATTAAATTGATTTCTAATGTTTTGTAAAATTATTTTTCCATAAAACTCTTACATTTTTTAATTTAATTTTTTTGAATTTTTGTATTACGTTATTGCTTAACAAGTTTTAAAATGTTTATAAATACATTAATAATTTTAAATATTAAATTGTTTTGAAAGTTATTGTTATTTATTTCAGACTGCTTTGAGTTCAAGCACTCCCAGTAAGTTCAATTTTAACAGACATGTGTTTCTCAAGAAAAAAAAAATGTGTAAAAAAATGTTTTGAATTTTACAGCCCGTTATTTATTTGTGTCAACTCGTGATCTTTTAATTAATGAACTTAGCCGAAATACGATAATACTGTAGGGCCAATTATCGGGACACATGCTTGAATATTTGGCTTCTTTTGTAAATAAAAAGTAAATATGTAGGATAATTTTTTTTTTAATATATAAAAAAACGATGCGTTGGACCGTGATAATTTAGGTAGTATAATTAAGCAAAGATTTTGTGAATTATTGTCAGAACTTTTGGCGAATTTATCTTATCGTTGAAAAGGAAGATATAGAGAGAAAGTTCTGTAAGTGATAAGTATTTTTTTATTGAAATGCCGTTATTCAGCTTGATACCTGAAAAATGCTGAATAACACAGCGCCCGAAAAACTTGATATGAGTATGTGGATACACGTTGTTAAAATTAATAAGATACTTAAAATATGACATCATTCGATGATAGTACAATATTTAAGTAACAAACTTTTAATGACTGGCGAGTGTATTATAGCTATTAAGAATTAAGCTTCGACAATTGAGACAATTTTCGGACATATTGCTTTAGCGTGATTAGCAGTATTGTTTTTTGCAACTTTCTAACATTTTGTAGTGTGCTTGTAAAGTTAAAAATATAGAAAAAGAAGGATAAGGTACATTAAAACAACCAAATATAAATGTATGTTCGCAAAATGATGCAATTTAAAAAGGCTTTAATTTTTTTGTGATATTAAGCTCTTCACATTTTGCCTGTAGTTTGAGTGCACTTAACTTATTTGTACTTATGCACTTAACTTACTGTCGAGTATTTGAAAATCTCAAGTTCAGAAGACTAAGTGTCGGAAAGTGTCCTTCGGCGGTTTAATAAGTCAGTGAATTGTTTGGCACAAAAAAAAATATAAGTGACAACCTTTTTAAAGATACCACAACTTCCTGGTAAGCCATTTCAATACCCCTAAAAGTGATTTTTGGTCTCAGCTTTGTTTTAGTGTTATAGAAAGATTGCCGAACCTGTTGAAATAACGCAGTATGCTTAGAATTTGACAGCTTGCCATTAATCTTTAATTGAGTACCATGGATCGTGTTAATTTAAAATTGCCCATATATATTTAGTTGAGTCTTCGAAAACACTATTAGTTGTATATCCTGAACAGGGTATATTAAGTTTACCATGAAGTTTGGAATACGCAGAAAAAAACGTCCTATAAAGTATATATATAAATGAATGATGAAGGAACCATGCCCAAAGAAATGTAGAACCGCCGATATCGGACAACTATAGCATATAGCTGTCATACAAACTGAACGATAAGAATCAAGTGCTTTTATGGAAAACTTTTCAATTTGAGAAGGTATCTTCGAGAATTTTGGCAGAGATTATTATCCAAGAAATCGATACAATATTCGAACAAATTGATCGAACTGATCGATTGAACTCAAGTCCATGTATGAGAAACTTTTTTATTTGTGAAGATATCTTTGCGAAATTCGGCATGGGTTACCGGCGAAGGCAACGCTACAATCTACGAAGATATTGTTCCATTTGGAATATTTTAGCATATACTTATGTATAGCCATACAAAATGACCAATAAATATTAAGTTCTTGTATGGTAGACTGTTTTTTTACCAATATATTATTCAAAGCAACGCTACAATCTCTGAAGAAATCAATTCAGATCGAATCACTATATCATATAGCTACCTTATAAACTGACCGATCAAAATCAAGTTAAAGATCTTCTTCTACCCTTTTATACCCTATTATAACTTCGGTGCAGGCAAAAGCTATTTGGTTTCAAAATCTTTTTCAATATTTTTCATGTATGAATTTAGACTCAGGACTTCACAGATGTGCCCTTAGAGTAGCAGTGTTACTTGTATGGTCACTATTGTGTATAACTCAAAAGCCAATGTGATTATCAAACGATCCTCGTACATCCACTTGCGTGACGGAAGCCGCAGTGAACATTGTTGTCAAGTCGAAATGTGCATTTCAACAACATATACAACAACACTTAATGGCAATTTGTGATTACTATTAATTTGGTTATTTTTTGTTGTCATTTTTAAAACGAGTGTGTAAACTTAATTAAAGGTTTTGTTTTTGTAGTGCAAAATGCACTTGATTGATTTGCCAATCGAGCTAATGCAAGTCTCAGTCAAGTGGGTAGTCAAACGAACTAAACTGTAATTACAACAGTTAAAAAGTTTCTAAGTGAGTTGTATATGCAATTACAGTTATACCTACATATGTACATACAAATATACATTGCAGTTAACTATTTCGCTTTACTTAGTAAGCGGTTACTAAAAAATTTCAGCATTATTTTAATGTTGATTTTTGTTTTAGTTTTTGTTGCATTAACTATTTTCAAACGCAATGTTCTACGACGTATACATACATACATATGATAGCATAGCTTAGTAAAAAAAAGTTATATAAAAAATAATCTCAAAAAATTAAAATAAAATTTTTTTTAAATTTTTTTAAGTAATTAATTTTTTTTTTTACGTACACGTACACGTACACGTTACACGCTTTTAGTAACCTACAATAAAACTTCAAACAAAAAATTAAGCAATAACAGAAAAAACTAATAAATAAGCGTGCAATCTTTTTCAATAAAGCGGAAAGCTGAAATAATTATGCAACACCAAAACAGTTCATGCAAATTCGCATTGTCTAATTTTGTATCGGAACATCTTATTTTGACTACACGCACACACACACATGCATACATAGTCACATGCGAAGTCTCCAAGTGTTAAATAAGAAGACTGAAGCATAAGAAACAAAAATGGTGTGTAAAAGTGCAAGAAATTACAAATAAATCAGCTGAAAAAAGTTAATAGATTATAAGACGCAGCACGTATTGGCCCAAACGCACGTGACGTACATTATTTATTGACAACCGTAGTAGGCAAACGACTAAGCAACCGACTAAGCAAGCCCGTGGCGCTTGGCTTGATCTAAATATTTTCGAAATAATTCACTACCAGTACGAAATATACCCAACACAACGAACTGCTAAGATTTCGTGTGATAAAATTTCATAATTAATTTTTATTTGTTGTAGCATAAAATAATACATATATTTCAAAAAAAAATTTAAATATATTTCAAGTACTGAAATTATTTATGCGTATAACACATCAGAGCGAACAAATAAAGCACAATATTTCAACTAAGTAAGCGATTCCGGCAGAATTCACGGCAGATAGGCTACCAAAGGCGCCTGTGCAGCATCAATCTTGTGAGTATCACTACTACTACTAGAGAAAGGAAAGATGCGACAAATGAGTAGAAATATTTCGATTACTGATATTTGTAGGGCAATTGTACGTGGCTGGATCGAAAGTACTAGCAGAAGAACCTCTGATAGAGTCATGGAAACCACTACGGGCATAAAGGCCGCAAATAGAAAGCGTAACACACCGCCTAGGAAACTGAAGTCGTACCGACGCTTCGTAGACAAAATTTTGGAGCGCTAGACAGACCGAGTAGGTATCTGTGCAGCACGCTGGTACGTTAACGTGAGCCTGATATTTTATGAAGATTTTTATTCTGATTTCGATCGCTACATGCTATAGTACATATACTTAGCAAATTTATACATACATAAATACGTATAAAAATTTATCAAAAATATTTGTTGGGTATAGCGTCTAAACAAATGTAAGTTTTTATATATTAACATAAATAAATATATTTTTATGGCATTTATTTTGAAAAAATTATGTTTTAACTGCTTGTGACAATAGTAGCAACCCAAAAAATAAGCAAATAAATAGTAGTAGCAAAAATATTTCAATGTCAATGAACTGAGGCGATGTAGGTATAAAGCGAATAAAAAAACATATAAAATTAGTCAATGAAAAACTACTAGCAGCGGGTGAATTTTCAAGACTTATTTAACAACAACAAATATTTGTTTAATATTTGCACTCGTCTAGCTAATTATGTTATAAACGAACCCAACTATTTACAATTACGCTTAAAATGATCTGTTTGTCAACAGTTACATTTTATAGCACGAGTAATACGGCGAAAACCGTTAAATGCATCACTACTACGCGCTAAACTACTCGTATATACAAGTGTGTGTGCATGTGTGTATTTGAAACTATCGCAGTTTTATAGCAACATGGCACCTAATCAGCTTATTATTTTCGCTATAAAATCATAAGTAACTGCACATATACTAGTTTGTTATCACTCAGTAAAGTCACAAGGTACTGTGCACACGTACATACATATGTATATGCTAAGTTCTAAATATATTATGCATTTTTTATATTGTATGTATGTATATATTCATATGTGTTTATGTATTAGCACGGTATATTGAAAACATTGTGCAACAAGGTAAATATTTATTAAATTAATGGCAGCACTCGACCATGCTAAACAGCCCATATGCTACTACTTACTTTTTTTCGCTTACAATTTCTGATCTAACAAATTAGTTTTATTTAATTTGTTTTGTAATTATTCCATTAACTTTGGCATAATTATATTTTTAGCGGAAATTAAAAAAAAGCGCTTAGTTACAAATCGTGTTTATTTAAGGCTTTTAATTTACAAATATGAATCATAAAATTAATTAGTGCATTTGAAATAAAAACAAGCGTGTCTTTTTTTTTATTTGTGTGAAAAAGAGGTTTGGTATTCGCAACCTATATTCAGATAAATTTCGATGAAAGTCCTTAAGTACTGTTAAAGTGTGAAAGATACCTAACCTGTATTCTCAAACTAAAATCTGATAAATGTGGATTAAAGTTCTTGGAAGCGTGTGAAAGAGAGGACGAGAGGTTTAGATACATTTAAAAACAAATTATTCAAAGGTAATAGATGAGCGTAGAAAAACAATGAAATTGCTGACAAATTATGTCCTTGGCACTATATCAACCTGAAATCTATAGATGCATAACGTAATTATATAATGCGAGGCCACGTGCAGAGAATTAAAAAAACTTTGAAATCTGTTTAAAAATCTTTCTTAGACTCTTAAAATCATTCCACAGTAACTGAACTATGTGTATTAAGTAAACCCATCCGCTTAAATACCGAACCACCTTAAATAACCAACATTTTAGGGTTTAGTGCGCGCATCGAAGGACTTCAGCGGGATCTTTTAAGCACTCAACCCGCCAAAGTACATTTAATGGAAATGCATAATAACAAAAGAGTAATGGCTATTCTTAAAAAGTATTAAATTTTTTTTTTTTTAATTTAAGAAACTCTCAAAGCAATTTTTTTTTGCCAACCATGTAAATTTAAGAAGTAAAAACAAGAGCTTTACTAACAGATTAAAAGAAATTTATGTACGTTTAACTGTTTACTCATAAACTGTCTCCTACATATGCCCATACATATGCAAACATTTAGCGGTAATTTGAATTTGCTAACTATTTTTTGTGCCACTTTATAATTTATCACATGCACATTAATTTAGAGTGTCAAGGAAAATCAATATTTTGTTTTAATTACAACGAATTAGCTGGAAAAAAAATTCCCCCAAAAATGCGCACTTGCATACAAAGTTTAATGGATTTAAGTGTTTGGAGAATCAATAAGTTTAAGTATAACCGGTTCATACCTGCGAATTTCCAAAAATTAATATAATAGACAAGTCTGCTGAACTAAGCTGGCAAGATAATCATCAGAGCAGACAGGGTATTGCACATGTGAGTGTCATTGCACAGATGTATACATACATATATGTATGTATATATATTTAGGCATGTACAAACTGATATATATGGTATTTTTGTGTGCGCATGCGCAGGTGCCTTGGTAAAAAACTGACTGGCATACACAATACTGTACTAGTATTAAATAAAATATCAACTAATTTAATATATTTGGTTATTTTAAACAAAACCTTGAGACAAAAAAAAAGTACCAAGAAAGTATTAAAAGTGCATCTACCTGTACATTAAAGTGGCCATTAACGCAGATGTGTTAAATATTTTAGATCCTACTACCTGTACATTTTAGATCCTCAAGCGGTTTTCGGGGGAATATTGCTGAAGAAATGAAACTGTCTGGTTTGAAAACGTCTGGTCATCCGTGGTTTTATTTAAAAAAAAAAATTACTTAAGCAAACCTAGAATATTTCTCTCATATAAGTTTCTGAATAATTAGTTATGAATATAAAGTACGGGATATACATATATAAATATACTGCGCTTATGCCACAAATATTAAGTAAAACTCACAGTTTATTAAAACCCGCAATTAAAAGTCATGATGAGTGTATATTATTCTTTCAACGCTTGTATGAAGAACGATGCTTTCAGGAAAACCAAGCAACTGCATTTTCAGTATCGCTTTATACCTTAAGCAGGGTATAGTAAGTTTGACACGAAGTTCGTAACACCCAGAAGGAAACGTAGGGTCTGCGAAGTATATATAAACTATCACCGTAACGGAAAGCTGCCATACAAGCTGACCGATTAAAATCAAGTCTTTGTATGGAAAACTATTTTATTCGACCAATTATTCTCACGAAATTTGACATAGATTATTATCGAAGGTAGCGCTACAATCACCGAAGATTTTGTTTAGATTGAAACAATATATGTTAGCATATAGCTGTCATATAAATTGATACATCAAAATCAAGATAAAGATTCTGTTATGCAAGCTTATGCTATAAAAAATGCACCTTTGAAGAGTATGATAGCCTCGGTGCAGCCATGGTGAAAGTTCTTTCTTGTTTCTTTTCGATCATAGAGTTATGCCTCTTACCATATATTGTAATTAATACGATATTTTATTAGCTTAGTTCTCTGGTACAGTGACTTCAGAGCAGAGAGTTAGATAGATTATACATTTTTTTAGTATTTAAGTCACTATAGTGCTGGCTAAATAAATCAGGTCAATTGAGTTTTTGTTAATAAAGATTTGGTAAAAATGTCTCGATGACTAACTGACGTTGTATATTTTGATTCTTGAAATCATGCTAAATGCTTTGCGGCATTCGGTTTATACTAGCGAACTACTGAGATGGGAGTATGTTGGGGTCGAACTTCACCGTCATGGAATTACAGTATCGCAAGTGCTCTATTAAGACATCATATCATGAGTGTGGGGGATTTCAGCTAGTATGGATGCTGTTTTTGGTATAGTTTTAGTTAGATCACTGTAGAGCTGCTTTAGAAGATTAAACACGGTTCTTAAAATGTTGATAATGTACTCAGCGTAGTAAAATTAGACTTGAAACTGACTCAAAATACCTGTTATAGCGAGCAGCTGTGCTGAAATATTTCACCACGGTCTACTACTGACTTCAGTAATAAATTTCCTCAAACATCACGGTGAAGACGCAGCCTAACCGGGTTCGCTAGCATCTAAGCTCATGCATAGATATACATATATATTTATTATCATTGTGTATGTGTGCTTATCAACAAGATTGCATTGAAGAGATGTGAGCAGCGCGACTTGCCAAGCTTTATTGACAAGCGTTATTCGCTTTGTTGTGTTTAATTTAGCTTAGCTCGCTTGTGTGCTGTTTTATTCAGCACTTTTTTTTATTGCTATTTACTGTTTACCGCTACTATCGGTTAAATCTGCTACACTTTTACGCATGCATCCGCAGTTGATCGTCTCCGAGAGCTGGCAGTAATTAACACGCGGGTGTTTTTGGTGTTTTAACATGGTTTTCGCATCTAATTACTTAATTTGAATGGCACTGCCACTCAAAAATTCCATAACAACTGCCGACAATACGAATAGCATTGCCAACATGCACAACAACAATACGGTGCCTTTTGGTGACAAAGCTATAAAAATTATAAAATTATAAAAATTAAAAAAACAAACACAAAAAGACAATAACAACTTAAAAAATGTGGCATCATTTATTTTATCTTCGTTTTTCTTTTGTTTAATTTTAAAGTCACAAATCAAAAAAACTAGTTGGCATTTTATCTTTATTATTATTATAATTTGGGTTTTTTGTTGTTATTTTATTGTTTTTTTGGTTTTGTTTTTGTTTGTTCAACAACATATGATTGTTGATTTCTGTGTTTTAGTTTGGCAATTTCTATTTCGTTTTTAAGTGATACTTGAAAAGCATTCAATACCACACACCTGTAAATGTACATACATATGTACGAGTATATTTACCCGTGTATACCAACATACATACATACGAGTAAATATGCATAGCATTTAACTGCACGCTGGCACTGGCAAAGCAGACAGCAATCAGGAAATTTCTAGTAACCAATTATGGCACACTCTAAAACACCGTTTTCGGCGTATTTTAATTTTGAATATCATCGCCCGTCATCGTATCGAATTGACCAAACGTGCGCTTACATAAATACGAGTACTGGGAGTAGTAGCAAAGCAAAAAACACAACAAACAAGACACTAGAATATTCGCTAATATTATGCAGAGAAATTCGTTGTTATTAACTGCAAAAAGTCGAACGAGTTTAAAAATGTCCTAACACTGCTCGAACTACTTTCCATGGAACTAGTATTGGTTGTAGGCGAGTTTAGAATTTTTGGAAATATGCGAGCGCATCATAAAGACTTTTAAGACGCGTAAAAACATAAAAAAAGGCTCATTAAAACTCATTTTCAATGACAGAATTTACTGTTGGTAACAAAATATAATTGAAATAATGGATTTGACACGACATTATTTTCGGTGACGTCACATTAGCGACATTCTTAAAGACAGTATTATGCTAATTGCGAACACCAAAACTCTCAGTAACGTCACCTTAGCGACGCACTGAGAGACAGCCATTAAAAGGCTGTATACTAGTAAATGAAAACCCGATCAATAATTTTTCTTTAAAAAATTAAATATTCGTAGTTTTTTTCTAAATTAATGAAAGTGCAGATTATATTTTTGTATAAAGTTTGCTTAAATTTATGATAAATTCATATACCTTTAAGTTCTCAAAACGATATTAAAGTCTATCGCGAATTTATGCAGAACTATTGCCAAGTGAATGCAAATTTCTAGTACATATATTATATAAATAGCTTTAAATAGATAAATTAAGCGAATGTCAATTAGGCACAAAAAAGTTAAATTTATAAAGTAAGTATTATATTGATACAAGTTCTTCCAGAAGTGTATCAAATTTTTAGTTGCATAACATTTAAATTTAGCTTAGTGAAGAAATTATTATTATTTGAGTTATTGTTTTAGTTTTAAGCGAAAGAAATAAAATAAATAAATTGTATATGTATTTGTAGGTTAGAATTATCAGTTTTAAATATTGTTTAATATTTTTCTTAAAACATTCAAAATATATTTGTGATTGTATTTATTATGTAAAAATACAAATATATTTATGTATATTATATATAAATATAAATTAATTAGCAAATTAGCAAACGTTAAACGATTTTTATTTCTAGAACCATTTGTTTTGCTTATAATTAGTTTATTAGCTCAACTGTGTAATACGTAATAGCGGTAATAAATTTTTTTTTATTTAAATAGACGTAATAGTACTCCTAAGCACTTACAGTAATGTTTCCAAAACTGTAAAAAATAAATTTTGTTTATTCAGTTTTTAAATTCGAAAACTTTTTTTGTAAACAACTGTTCAGTTTATTTTTTTTTTTACTTCACATATAATAGCTTGAAGACTTTTTAAATTTTATTTTCGAAGTTAATGAATCAGGTTTGAAGCAAAAAGTTTTATATTATCATTTATAAACATTTAATTCCAACATTTTACTCCTGTGTACTGCTACATGTGTACAATGTACATAATTGTTAATTATTTAGTTAATATTAAAAATCGTTTAGCTAACTTATAATTTATTACAGCTTTTGTTAGTGGTCACAAATATCTAATTTAACCCATATATAATTATAATTGCCAAGCAAATTGTTTCGCTTTGAATAATAACTGTAAACGCAGCTGCAATGACAAAAAACTAATAATAATAAATAAAAATTAAAAAGGTGTAAAATTGCTTGGTTAATTAAGTCAAATAAGTGTAATTATTGAAATAGGTGAATAGAACAAATATTTAAACCATTTTGGTATGTTACAAAGCCTAACAGAAAAAATTCTTTAATAGGAAATCTACATTGCAAAAAAAAAAAAACTATTAAATGAAAGAGTGTAGAAATAGTTATACATTTTGAAAATAAATGGATATTAGAAACTATATTTTTTTTATAATCAAACACTAATTTTATCGATATACAAACATATTTATATATTTTGCTGTAAAAAAATAGACTTAGTAAATATTATTTCCGAATAATACTTCACATAATATGCATATGATATATGCATATTTTGTATTTTTGCATGTAAATACATTTGCACACTAATGAGGACCTCACACCACAGCAATGTCACTCATACGCCATGTAGGGAAGTTTTACGAGCGTGCTTATTAATAGCATTTTAAATTTTTTAACTGCATAGAACATTGTAAAAAACGACATAGCGTGCAATAACGGTTTGTTTATGTTTTTGAATCGAATTATCTGCTTTAAAATAGGAAAAAAATATTTTTTTTTTTGCAAAATAGTAAAAGCTTTCAATAGCTATATCTGAATGTATGTGTATATGTATAGAGTATGTATGCATGTGATATTAACAATTTTTTGCCGTTTTATACCAGAAAATTATCACAAGTAGCTGATATTTAATTCGAGTTAGCTCACCAAGTTTTATATGCATTGTTTGGTTTAGAAAAATAAGTTGACATTCAAATTAATAACAACCTCGTACTTTTTTAATTAATTATTGCTTATATAATACTAATGAGAAAATTAAAAGTAAATCATATCGATTAAAAATTTTGTTTGTGAAGCAGATTTAAAAAAATAAACTTCAATAAAAATTAAAAAAAAAAAAAAAGTAAATTCAATAAAAAATAAATAAAAAAAATTCATTTTAATTTTAATAAAAAAGCAAATCTCCGTAATAATTAAAAATAAACGTATATGTGCAAACACACAGTAGAAAAAATATAAATTCCACGGTATTTGCCCCATGAATGCAAGCGTTAGTTTTGTGACGACAGTTTATTATTTATTGCATAAATATTTATTTAAAAAATAAAAACTTCGACAAAAGCATTGGTAGCTTAGAGATAGTAGAAGCTGAATAAATGTATACATATATAACAATATGTTTTAAATTTTATTTGAAGAAAAACACACCTGTTTTCAAATATATGAGATTTAAAAATAAAAAAAAATTAAGCAAATCCATTTATTTGAAACTTTTTGAGGTTTAGTAAAACTTATGAAAGTTTTCTGCTAATTTTAATGTCACATAAAGTGTTAAAAATATATAAAAAGTTAAGTAGATAAACAAATTTATCTGCTACTTCAAATTCTTATTCAAAAGTAATTTTATTTAAGCCACACGCACTCAGCAACACAGCACGCACTTATATGAAACCAAACATTTGAAATAAAAAAATAATTTCGTTGTACGAACGTTCAACTAAACGCTTCTTCGTTCACTTGCAAAATATTTTCCAACAAACATATAGGCATGCATTATACTACTTGACAACAACACTTTACCTTCTGCACACTGCCGAAGAGACCAAACACCTAATTATTACACTATTTGACGCATTCACACGTCGGTTGCTGATTTTTTTACTTTGGTATAACTGTAACACACTTTAGACACTGCTACGAAGCTTGTAAGCCAAACCACCGCACGCTATGAATAGTTCAAACGTACTGCGCGCTGCACTTGGCAAACTTTTATATTTTACGGCTCAATTCGACTAACGTTTTCAATTTTCGCCAAACCGCCGCGATTAATTGACTGCCAACGGACAGCGCTTTAATTCGTGCGCTCTTCCAACAATACTAACAACAATACATGCATACATATATGCATAGGCAAGCATGCGCTTGAATATGAGAGCCAGCGCAAATGCGAAACTCGGTCGAAAACGAAAAAGCCACTACACACACACACACATATATATATATATATATAACTGTGTATCCATAACGTAAGTTGCGAATTCAAAGCATTCGGCGCAGCCGCCAGAAAGCTACAGCGCTGGCTGTTAACGTTGACGACGCCAGCGGCTCACGGCACCCACCAACTGTGTAAAGAAGAGTTAATGAAATTTCTTACGTTACGTCGTGCGTGTGTGTGTGTGTATCTCATCAGTTAATCATTCATAATAAAAACAACTCAAGATTGCATTATAAAGCTCATGCGGTTAGGCATGTTACTAAGTATATAATAAATATCAACATAATACGATAACTAGGATCACACTGATATGCCCATTAATTATATCGTAGTAGAATACGCGCATTAGGGGTGTTCTTTTGCATTCATTTTGAAAGAAATTTTGTGCAGCGCAAAAATATATACGATGGTTCGAAGAAATAAGATATTTATTTATGGATCGTTTCAAACTAGCCACTACTGCAGGTAGTTAAGCCACTGACTATGGTTTCAGTAACTTGAATGGTCGAACTGCTTACCAAAATCTTGCTTTATACACTGTATAGGGTACATAAGTTGTTACGTGAGTTTCCTCGCGTCAAAAACGGACAATTTTCAATAATTTTTTTTTCGCATAACAAATGAAATATTTTATTCGAAGTTTGTATTATTCCTAAGATACATATTTTAAAGGAAAATATGCAAAACTCGGCCATTACGACGTCATTTCTGGCAGTCGCAAATTATTTCTTTAGTTGTGTTGAGTAGTGTTATCTATTTGCATAGCCTTTATGATATTAGGTTAGATTAAGGTTACAACTGATCCGCTCTCAATTTTTGCACAAATTTGTTTGGTTACCTCGCATTTTTTATCGAATGGGTTCTTATGGTTTTAGTAAATAAAAATACAGCTATTACTGTAAGAATGCCTTCGAATGTATTGTAATAATTAAATAATACAATGATCAAAAACATGGTAGAGGTAAAACTAACAGAGATGCCTGAAAACAATTCGCTTTGGGCAGTCAAAGTGGAAAATTAGAAAGCAACAGAGCGGTAGAAGCAATCAATCAGCAGAGGAACCAAACTCAAATATGATTTTTTCCGTGTTGGCCACTCAGCTGAAAGCGCTTACCGTATTCTATGATTATCAATTAGGAAGTATAGTATACTTATAACACAAAAAATAAATTTTAAATCTCCGAGCTGAGTAAGGTAATTTCACAATATTTATAAAAGCTTAAACCCGTTACCGTTTAAGCGCTTTTATTTATAGCTCAACTCTTACACAACTAGCTCGATTTATGAATCGAAAACATATTGACACCTATTTACCTATTTACATATATGCACCGAGACGTAGCGTGATAACGAAAATAAATATGGTAAAATAGCTTAAAGTCTTTAGACCGTAAAAAACTTAAAAAAAAAAATTAAATCAAATATGAATGGTGCGCTCAAATTGTCAAAGTCCTTCACTCACTATACTGACTGCTTTGTCATTTTACGCGGTGATATTCGATACACTTGAAAGGAGAAATATTGTGTAACATAGTGTGTGTTTGTGTACATGCATTCGTTGTAATTTCGTAATGAGAATAATTGTTATAAAAATTTTAATTTTTACGATTTTTTTATCTTTTTTCTTTAAAAAAAACTATAAAAAAGAATCAATCGTATGTATTTGCAAAAATATAAAAATATATTTAGTGATTTGTCAACTTCCTCTGCTTCTGGAATTTTTGTTGTTGCTTAATACACAAAATATTAGCCAAAAGAAAAAACAATCTCTTGAGACCGATTTTTTTTTCATTATTTTTGGCCAAATACTATAAATTCGATAGGATTACCTAAACAGGGTATATTAAGTTTGTCACGAAGTTTGTAACACACGGAAGTAAACGTACCACGTACATGTCCCTCAGTTTTTGAGATATTGTTCTAAAATTTTGAACGCGTCTTTTTATCGCCAAGAAGCCGCTATTTTATCGGAACCGCTATAGGAACCGCGCTGCCATACAAACCGACCGATCAAAAACAAGTTCTTGTGTGGAAAACTCTTTTATTAGACGAGATATCTTTACATTTCTTCTTGTTTTTTCTACAACTTTATTTACTGACAAAGATAGAAATTTAGTATTAACTTAATTTTTATTTTGTCTTGTTCATTTTTCCAAAATTAAAATTAAGATTAAAATAAAACAATAACATTTTTAGTAAATATTACATAATAAAAAAAAAACTATTAGTTCAAAATAAGCATAAATTTAGCTAAACAGTTCAACTGTATTTTTAGAAATTATGCCATACATTCAAATATTATTTACAAATATAAAGTTAGGTATCCAACTTTAAGTTTTGACATACAGCATACGATGGGCCAGTGATTTGCCGACCAGTTTGCCATATTCTATTATTAAATCGCGATCATCATTATCACCAGTGATCTGTAATTTAAAAAATATTTAGTTAGAATTCAAAAAATTATAGAGATTATGCAATACAAATAACGATAAAAAATAATTTAAAAAATTTAGATTTGGTATATTCTTTTTTTCAAAAAATAAGCAAAAATTATGTATATAATGTTTATGTTTGCAAATGTACATGTGTTTGTACATATATACATATGTATGTAGGCATGTACATATGTTTGTAAATAAAATACGTGCAATTACCTTTTTGTAAATTCTGCTCCTTATGACGTCCAACATGTTGTCAATGCTGGGTATTTTCAATGACTGCGCAATATTTTAAACAACATGGAAAAGGAGCAGAGTTTTCAAGATATACCAATAATTTTTAAGCGAAAATGTTATGAAATGGCAAAGAGTTCATTTCAACGAGATTGCAAATTTATGTTGAAGCAATAATATCTAGTGTTTTAATTTAAATTGGGCGTTATTTGAATAAAATTTTAACTTAGCATTACTAACGGTACAAGCACAAGTACACAGCCTAGTAGCCAATAATTTGTTTAATAAGAAATATTAGATTTATACTAACTTAAATTTGCAACAACATTTTGAAAGTCATTACTTAATAATGAAATATTTGCCATAGTAATTGGTAATGAATATAAATATTTAAAACAAATAAAAGCGTTAACTACGGCTGCACTGAAGCTATAATATTATACCTTCACAGGTGTATTTTTTATAGCATAAAATGGCATAAAAATATCTTTATCTTGACTTTCATCGATCAGTTTGTATGGCACCTATATGCTATATTTGTCCGATCTGCACAATTTCTTCGGTGCTTATAGCGCTGCCTTTGATGATAATTCATGCCCAATTTCGTGAAGATATCGTGTCAAATAAAAAAAACTTTCCATACAAGAACCTATTTTGATAGTTCAGTTTGTACGGCAGCTATATGTTATAGTGATCCGATTTGAACAATTTGTTCGACGATTGTAGCGCTGCCTTGGATAATAATTTTTGCCACATTTCTTAAAGATATCTTGTCGAATAAAAAAGTTTACCATAAAAGCGCTTGATTTTAATTTTTTGTATGGAGGCTATATGCTACAGTGGTCCGATATCCACCATGCCGACAAATGAGCAGCTTCTTGCGTAGAAAAGGATGTGTGCAAAATTTCAAATCAATATCTCAAAAACTGAGGGATCAGTTCGCGTATATACAGACGGACACACAAATAGATAGGTCTAAAACGACTCAGCTCGTCACGCTGATCATATTTATATATAATTTATAGCATCTCCGACGTTATCTTTTGAGTGTAACAAAGTTCGGCGCAAACTTAATATAGCTTGTTATAAAGAATTACGGTTTATTAAGTAGGAAAAACAATTTTAAAAGTTGCCGTTACAAAAACCAAAACCAAAAGTTGTAGGTTAGGTCAAAATAAATCAACTTAATTTATTTAGTTATTTTATAAATAATTCGATTAAAATTATCCCAACCGCTGCTGGTAGTTAATAAAATATTCTTACCTGTATATACTGTCGATAAGTTAAATAAGTGTTGTCGTATAAGAGCACAACTTTGTTTAAGTCCGATTCTTGAAAATCATCCGCATCTTTAGCAACGGCATTCTCATTAAATCGTTGATATTTATTTTGGTTTAATTTATCACGAATTTCTGTAATATAGAATTTAAGTAATCTGTTACATTTAAATTTAAATTAAAACTACCATCAGTCAATAGATGCCATGTGTACACCTCAGGGCATAGTAAATATGAGGGCGTCAAACGGCCCTTATAACGCATTTTGGGGCAAGAATGTATGTAGAAGCCCATGTAGTAATATTTAAGAGCAGGAACTTTATCAGCCAATTGTTGGACAAGATCGATTTCTCTGTAACGATAATAAAATATTTGCATTTTTTGCATATACACCAACATATACACTTCTCACACACCTCAACGAACCATAGGTACCCAGTGACAAGAAGCTATAGTCTGGATCATAGAAAAAGTAAACTGAACTGACACAATATGGAAGTATGTCTATAACAGCTACCGCTATAAGCTTATCATCCAACCAATATTGTTGATGAAACGAACCATAACCGACAATGGGACCATCGCGTGTTTTAGTGTGCTGCATACAATAGCAAGAAGACAAGTATAAATAAAAATAAAAATATATATAACTTTTTGTTGCAATGCAGTTAGTTTTAAAATATACATATGTTTGTTAATAGAAAGAATTAATCAAAATAATATTTGACAGTTTTCCATTAATTTAACCTTTATTGGCGACTCTTGTAAAAATTCCAAATAATCGCTAATAAGAGTGGGTGGATCATTGTGTACGATTGTTTGATACTTCTGGTACAGCGCATATGTCGAGTCTAGCGTATCCTTAAATTGTTGGCTTTTAACATGTACCAGTTTTAACTGTGAAATATAAATGAGAAATCAATTGAATTACCTTAACAGGAGATTTGTAACAAAAACGCTCTAAACTAGATGGTGTTAGACGATTTGGATCGTCATTGTGTACGAGCAATTGGTATTTCTTATATAAATTGAATGCTTCATCAGTAACGTGCTTTTTATTCGGCGCTATTAAAATCACCTGTAAATAGCAACAACAATACAAATCGAATCGAGAAAAGATCGATATTTTATTTATGTAGTTATTAAACGAGCTTGCACAATTGTATACTGTAAATAATATATACATACATATGCTTAATATTTCTACCAAATTGCCAGTACAATGATAACCCATATGCCGCAAATAATACAAAATGAAGCAAATAATTCTTTGAAATTGTTACATACCTCCAATTTGTGTTTATCATTCGGCTGGACATCGGTAAAATAATCGGAAAGCGTCTTTTCTTTACCGTTTGTTTGCTTTTGTATTGTCACATTTTTATCTTCCGGCACTTGTACACCTTTAGCGGCAATTTTTGCTTGTCGACGTTCCAAACGAAAAATTTTCGCTTTCTTCCGTTGTACGTTTATGCCATCGTGTGCTGAAAGGATATGAATATGTATTAAAAGTAATTTCTAAAAAGTTTACATTTGGTACATTTCTTTGTTGCAATTTGACCATCTGCCACATCCGCACTTTCCGTAGGTATGGTATTAATGCTTTGTGTTGGCGACACTGTCTGATCATCGAAGTGCTCGTGTTTTTTACGTGCCGCCTCATGCTTTTCAGGATTGGAGGCTGCAACAACTGCTAGATCGACATCAGTTATAGGCAAATTTGGTTCTCGCGGTTCGTCATTTATTCCACCCATAGTATCCATTTCATTATCTGCACCGCCAACGGCACCATCATCTTCGTTTAACTGTTTAGCAGCGCTCGTTGTTACAGAACCTTCGTTCTTATCTTTTTTACCATCACGAAGAAAACGCGTCATGCGTTTCAAAATTTTTTTATGTGATTTAGTCAATTTGAATTCCAAAGCATCGCATCTGTAATATTAATTATAACTTATGAATGCCATGAGAAAATAATGCCATAAACAATATAGTTACTTTATTGTATAACAAGGACAACAGGTTTCATGATTTAGTGGTTTATAACAATAAAGACCCGAACGGCGCCAGCCGCGATCTATCAACTCCTGATAGTCTTGTGGAAACATTGTGTATGAATGCATGCCTAAAAATTCAAGAAAAATCGTCTTTAAACGTGCTACACTTGATTTAAACAATTATTATTTTTTTAAATATACTATTCAATTATGATTAGAGGTATCCAAACTGATAAAGTCGTACATGCACTAACAAAAATATAGCAAGTATAGAAAATTTGAATGAAACAATTTCTTAGAAATTCCTTATAATTACTCATACTACTTTTGGTGTTTATTCGTTGTTTAATATGTCCATATGTTAGTATATTATTGTAAATACCATTCTATACCAACAGTCTTGTAACTGCATAAACCGGTTTGTTTTTTTAATTCCTTTCAATTACTATAAGCTTTTAATATATTTGTAGTATTGATTTATTATTCAATATTTTGTTGACAAATCAATATACATACATACATATGCATATCATTTCATCCTTAACGTTATTTAAAATTCCAAACTTACCATGGGACACCGATGATTTTAAACCTTTGCAATAACCACAGCGGCTATTGTGCTTACTGAAATAATGATTAATTGTAAATTCCATCTTTTACTTTATGAAATTCAATAAATAATCCTAGCCAGAAAAACTAATGTAAAACAGCCGCAAAATATCTCACAAAATAAAATGCATAGATAAAAATAAAGAATAATAAAAACTTCTGACAGTCACCAGCTGGCCGATAATTCATGCTACCAGATCGAATGATTAAAGTAAATTGAACGATTTTTATTAAATATGAATATAAAATTTATTTGTAAAAATTGAATACTTGTTCTATATTAAATCTATTATTAAATTATTTTTACTATATCTAAATTATATATATTGTGAAAAAATAAGTTAAAATTTATTAAAAAATTGCACAAAGAAAAACTGAAAGTACTTATATACTCTTTAAATTATTGCAATTACAAAAACTCTATGCATGTTGTACGCTCTGTGTGACTATAAAATTGCTATTTCACCACAAATCAGCTGCTCGGCACATTTGTTCTCTTTAAACTTACCAGATTGACCGTATTCTATCAACACAACTGTTCTGTTCACTTCTTATTGGATTTTCAAAGAAGTCGAATGTTTTTATGATTCGGAAGTTAATAATCGTAAAATAGACAGTTTTAAAGTTACGTGGTGCAGTAATAAAGTGATTATATATATGCTTATATTTGAATGCAAGTTAAAAGGTTCGGTTTGACATAACAACTGATTGTAATTGTTGAAAATTGTGTTTAATTTTTATTAGTAGTGAACTCATACATATGTATATACATATATATGTATGTATAGTGCGAGTGAATAATTGCTGTGCGCAAGTATTGTTTTTACAACAAGCATATGTATATAACAAAATAAACACAAATTGCTAGCATACATGGGTATACACTAATATACATTTATAGCATTGATTCATTGAATATTCATTAACATTCTCTGGCAAAAGTACAAATATACATATACCTTTTTGAACGCTTTCCCGCGTAACACACTGAATTGATGACATATAGTTGGCTTCGAAAGCACATGTCCTTCAATCACATAGTCGACTTTTTATATGTAACCAGTACACATACTATACAAAACAAATATTTCGAGCTTCAAATCAGAAACAATAAGTTAATAGCAGAAATTTAGAATTGCAACAAATACTAGAAAATATAATGCATTGAATGTCCTTCCAACTTTCAAATAGAGTGTTTATCAATATTTCAATATTAAATTAAATTGTTATTAAATTATCAGCGAATCATGTTCTGTCAACAGTTTTTTTTTATATTTATTTAATGACCGCAATTCTGATGAAGTTCTATTAAATTGTTTATAAATTTGAAAAAAAGTGCAATAACAAAAAAGTTCGTGAAAAAATTAAAACAAGCGGGAATAATTGTCATAAAGTAAAAATGTAATCTACTGTAATGTGAAACCGATTATTAACATTGTAGGTAAACAGAAAATATGCGTGCATACAGCTGTGTTCAAAAATTTAGTAGTGCCGGTAAATTTTTAGCAGTTTCAAATGTTCTCTTCTGAATTTTGTATATTCTTGCAACATGTTGCTACAGAGTACAATAGTTTTGTTTATCTAACGGTTTTTAGTATCACCTAAAACTAATCGACATAGATATGAAGTTAAATATACATACATTCGTTCGTTCGTCTGTCTGTGCAAGTTGTAATTTGAGTTAAAATTGAGATATCGTAATGAAACTTGGTACCGGTGTTCTCAGAAACTACTCGAACGATATCGACCAAATTTGGTACGTAACATTATTTTGACATTTCTATGTTTCAGTGCAAACAATCGAAATCGGACTACCACGCCTACCTCCCATATATTTACATTTTTTTTAAATTTAAAATTAAAAGATATATTATGTATAATTAATATTTATAAATTTAATTGCCTTATTTAGAAAAACGAATGACTTTTTTGTAATCGGTATAAAAATTCTGATATGGTAACGGTTTTTTATAAAAGAAAGGTATAGGTATATAAGCACACATAAAATTCAAGACAATACTTACTGATTTATCTACTTAATTTTCTCCGTTTTGTAAGGTTGTATTAATATTTATCTACATGCATCGATATACTACATATACGCTCATTATATTATTACTCCGATATCTTAGCAATAAATATGTTTTCTATATAATATAGAGATATATGCCAGCTGTAATTGGGAACACGAAACCCAGACTTCGCTTCGTCATTTTACTTAATTTAATTTGAATAATCATTCATATATACAATGGAGCCCAGTTTTGATGGTTGGGACTTTGCGGTGCTGATCGTCATATTGGCAATCTCAGCTATGATTGGCATTTACTATCGGTATACAGGAGGGAAGCAGAAAACAATCAAAGAATACCTATTGGCCGATCAGAGTATGACCACATTTCCAGTAGCTGTGAGCTTGATGGCGAGTTTTATGTCCTCCATCACGTTACTGGGTGTTTCTAGTGAGAGTTATCAATTTGGCACCATGTTTTGTATAATCAATTTATCGTACATCATAAGCACACCGATTGCGGCATATTTATTCCTACCGGTTTTCTATCGTATGCGCACAATGAGCGTTTATGAATACTTGGAGCGTCGTTTTGGACATTCAACACGTCTCGCCGCTTCGATTGCCTACTCCATACAGATGATACTTTATATGGGCATTGTACTATATGCACCAGCGTTAGCACTCGAAGCTGTTACCGGTGTGAGCAAAGTTACCGCTATATTGGTTATAGGTTTAATTTGCACCTTCTATTCGACTATTGGTGGCCTAAAAGCTGTGCTTATAACCGATGTCTTTCAATCGATTTTAATGTTTGCATCCATTTACTCGGTAATCGTGGTGTCGGCGATCAAAGCTGGCGGCTTAGCACCAATTTGGCAAGTAGCCGAGGAGCGTAATCGTTTCTATTTCACGGACTTTTCTTTGGATCCCACTGTGCGACACACTTGGTGGAGTCTCATTATTGGTGGTATGGTGACATATATGTCATTGTACGGTGTCAATCAGGTGCAAGTACAAAGATTATTGAGTGTACGTAATTTGGAGAGCGCACAATTGGCTTTATGGTGGAATTTACCTATTTTGAGCACACTCAGTTTCAGCACATTATTCAGTGGTTTAGCGATGTTCCACTATTACAGAAATTGTGATCCCCTACTGGAAGGTAGAATACAATCGAGAGATCAATTGATGCCTTTATTTGCGGTGGATACAATGGGTAAGAGCAGTAATTGATTTTTAATTGATTGATTGAAAGCATAATTAAATGAAAAGTCAACATACATATATTTTAATTTAATATATTATGATTTATATCGCAAAACGAATATTAGGGTGATACATTAACTAGCTATTCAAAAGATTTATAATTATTTAACTATTGAGTTATATTATACACATTCTACAAGTAAGAAAAAATTTGGAATATACGTTTTTTTTCAACCAAATCATAAAGCAGATCACACCATTTGCCATCGCACTTGGGGGAAGAGGACCTCATATAGGCAATGATATGTGAACAACGAAGTATTTACATATATAGATTTATTATTTTTTTAGACATATGCAGTCGCGACATATGTATACATGTAGATAATCATATGTTCTGCAAATTTGTAGTACATTATTTTGTTTTATTATAATCAATAGTATTCGCAGCGCAGGCTACGTAAGGAATTTTTTAGGTAATTTTTTTTACACCTTGGGTTATATTATTGGCGGCTTAGTAAGCATCCCTAGCTTTTTTGAAAATATAATAAAGCCTATGTGCACCGGAGAAAGTGTAGCTTCCCAACGGTAAAAGAATTTTTTAAATTCGTCAAGTGGTTTCGGAGCCTATTCAATTCAAACCAACAAACTATCAAATCTTTCCTCCTTATAATATTAGTATAGTTATGTACTTGTATATCTAGAGCACAAACTATTTTAAAAGAAATTAATTTCAATAAATTCATGCAAAAGAATTGAAGTTTAGGTTAAGTAATTATATATAATTACAATTATAGTAATGAGAACTACACATTTCTTCCAGATCAGATGGTTATGTTAGAGATTAATGTATAAGGTCTAGTAAAACCAAGGTTATTTTATAATGCCACAGTCATAGAAACGCTCGTCGCTATTGACAAAAAAATGGTACCTTCAATTTTCATAATGTTCTCTTGAAGCGGATTTTTCACCAGCAAAATATTTCGCTATAGACAGGAACAGGTATTAATCACTTCATCTCAGGTCGAAGGTCAAAACTATAATTATTTTTATAGTAAAATTTCTAGATACGGCTTGTACGTCCTTAGGTTAGGTTTGAAATACTTCATAAATCTCATCTCATCCGCTTTAATACTCAATCCATAAAACCACATCATACACCACAAGTGTCGAAAATATTGTGTTATTTTCCCACCACTCTTCCAATCACAGGTCAATATCCTGGTTTATGTGGTCTCTTCGTATCGGGCATCTTTTCTGCCAGTCTTTCGACTGTTTCATCAGCGGTCAGTTCATTATCGACTGTAACGTTAGAGGACTATATCAAACCATTGTATAAACACTTTACGAAAACAACGTTACATGAAACAAAATCAACACTGCCGAGTAAGATTATGGCCTGCATTTATGGAGTTGTCTGCATTGGTATGGCATTCACGGCCAGTTCTATGGGTGGTGTTCTACAGGCATCTCTCACCATTTTCGGCGTAATTGGTGGACCATTGTTGGCACTCTTCACGCTTGGCTTATGTACGACGCGTGCGAATCAACGTGGCGTACTTTTGGGCTTACTAATCGGTTTGATATTCTCCTTCATTATCGGTTTTGGTGGTCCGAAACAACCGCCAACCACCTTAGATTTTAAAGATGATGGTTGTCCAGCTGCTGGTAATGGTAATATGTCTTTGGTCGCCGCGGCTCTTACACAGGCACGCAGCTTGACGTTTAATATGACAACCGCGCAACCAACAACAGTGTCGCCCGCAATCGAATATAACTGGTTCTATAGATTGTCATACTTGTGGTTCTCCGTAATTGGTTTTTTGATTACATTAATTGGTGGTTATGCTTTAAGTTTGCTATTGGAAGCCCTGAAATGGGCTGATAATAAACAAATTTATTTAGATTGTCAGCAAATAGATGTAGACTTATTCATACCACCGCTGGCGCGAAGATTAAGTAGGCATGCCGCTGGAGAAATGACAAACTTCTAAAGCGCTTTCGGAGCTATCTTCGAAATAACAAATTACTTATTTATAGATGAAAGGTCTAAGTAAACATAATTATGTATATAAATGAGTAATTAATTTCAATAAGCTTTAAAATTTTATCACAATGTAAGTGTGCTTAAGTTTTTAAGTTCAACTTTTTGCTTTAAGTTGTCCAAGTAAGTAGAATTTCTAGCGAAATCGTTAAATACTTAAAAAAAATGTCACTTTTAAGATTAATTAATTGATTGCGTAAAGTTTGAGCTCTCTTCAATGCATTTAATCAAAATAAATTAGAGCCAAATTAACTGTTTACCCCAAATTACAGCCATTTTGAGGTTTACACTAGACAATTATATTAGTTATAATTAATAGATGTACATTTTAATGTTCAAAATTTGTATTTCATGTTTAGTTTTTATAAAATTTATTTGGTATTAATTAAAAATTAATTTTTATTTACCATTTTATTACCGCACTTAAAAAAAATTATATAATTTAATTTTACGGAGGTTTTACTTAATTATTAAAATTTTTGCAGTCCAAAATATTGCAAATAAAGTTTCTGAGCCTGAAAGCTTTATAAAAATTTTTATGAGTTAAAGCTAAAAGCTTACATTTTATGTTTACCAAATATCGGAAATTACGATTATATTAGTTACACATTTTTAATTACTTCCAAATTGTATGCTGATAAATGCGGAATTCACACAGAAATGCGAGTATATCTATCATATTAGCGCCTTTTTTGAAATGCGTTTTACAAAAGTTGTATTGAATAAACTTGGTACTTAAACTAATTTTTTGGCATGAAGCTCTTCTGTTCCTCTAAGCTGCCATGTTTGCAATATATACATACATATGTACCATATATACAAATAAACATCCCCAGCCATAATTACTGCGTGGTCTACGGAAGACAAATAATTGTATTTGAAAGTAAGTGATTCCATTAAGTACCCTATATTTCAAGCAGTTTTAAAGAATTATAAAAAAAACATTCAAACAATATAACTTTATGTAACATAACTATATAATAACATTCAAAAAATATAACCTTAATGTATAAAAGTATATTCTCAGGGCCAGCTTAACCTAAAAATAGTATAGGTTATGCAAAATATGAATATTTGCATTAAGGTTTCATCAAGTAATCATTACAGTTCGTTTTGTGACTACCTCTAATTATGGCTAATGGTCTTTCTAATAACATATTGTTTCTTATCGAAATAAAATAAATATGCAAATATAAGTTTATATTTTTTGAAATAAAATTTTAATTTTTTAGTGTTATTTATATTTACTGAAAAGAAATAATATTTTTAGTGTTATTATAATAAATATACTCAAAAAAAATTGTTACATATATATTATATTTACAATGCTGCACATTTATGTCAGTTATAAAAGGTCTTCCATTTTAAATGTAGTCAGCTGAAAAAATATTATAAAGGTTTGAATGCTGATGTGCTGTTAATAAACGCTGGTCGCTATTGATGCTTTTGTAGCTTTAATTTTCATAAGCAAAGCATAAATATTATATACTAAATTTTTTTTACAAAAACAATTTTTTCACAAATAAAAATGTAATATTCTTTACTGGATTGCATTTTTTTTTTTTAATTAAGGCAGTTTAATATTTTTTAATGAACAATTTATTTTTTATGAAACAAAATTTGTCTGGCAATTCATTTACACTAAATATTTTATCATGTGTATATTATTACTATTATTATTACTTTTTTTATTTTTAATTTAAATTTTTATATTTATTTTATTTTATAAAATTTTTAAAAATTTGTATTGTTATTTTTTTAATTTTTATGTTTCTTATTGCTTAAAATATATATACATCTAAGTGAAGTAAAATAAAGCAGCAATTATTTTCGATCACATATGACTCTTATATGTACGAGTATGTATTGTATATAGATTTAAATATAAAAAGTCTCATCAAATACAGCCTCCATACCAGAGAACATCAATGAATAGAGAAGAAGCAAATGTTAAATGAAATCTTTTTGAGTACTAATTTGTAATTCCAGATGAGGGAACATCGAAAAATATAACTATTCATTGACTTTCTCTGTCCATACTGTTATCAGCATAATGTTGTTCTTTACCAGATGATTTTTAGCATAGTGATAGTAGAAGTAATGTTATTTAACAGATTATTTACATAGGTGAAACGGTATTTGCTGTAAACTGTTTATCAACAATAAACAACTCTTTTTATAATTAACATCAAAAAATCACTATGAAGTATTTCTAAGCAGCGCATAACTACAATAATTTACAAGCAGATAAGTATGTATTTATAAAAATAATTATTATGAACCTTAGCAAAAAAGAAAACTTCAAACTGTATTTAAGAGCAAATGACAACATGAAAAATATACAAAAACAGTATAAAAAATTGCCAAATGCAACAAAGTTGTATATATGTACATATGTGTTAAAAAACCTATTAAAATAATCTATTTTTGATGAAATCTCAAGACCGCGTGTTTGAATATTGAAATCAAAGCATATAAATTTAATTGTATTAAAGGCCAATTGTACATACATACATATATAAGCGCTTGCAAATCTTAAATAAATATTATACTTGTGTTTATAATAAAAATGTAAATAAATAATGCAAAAAAAAAAAACTAATAAAATATTAACTTAAATTTAATTCGTTTTTTAAATATATTAATATAGATAGTGCAAAAATCTGCTTTAAATTTATTACAACAGTTTTCGTATAGCATTTTAAATAATTTTTGGCATAATTTAAAAATTTTAACAACAACTAAGGGATCCATAAGTCTATCGATTAATGAATCATTATTGAAACAATCATAATATAACGGTACTCTCATAGTGAGTTGGTAAAATCGTCTCAAAATCTATCAAGAAATCGTCTATGTGTGAGGTGCTGCATGATTATAGGGTAGTTGTGCCCTCAGTGATTTCACATCCTACCTACATAAACTCATGCTACCAATGAGATAAGAAAATACAATAAAATCACACAATTTCTCTTGGCACATTCGTTCATTCATCTTGCTGTTAAAATCGTACTGACCTTGACTAAATATTATTTGCAATTTTTTATTATTATTATAACTTTTTACTAACGAAGTGCTAGTTCAACGCAATCATTCTATGATTTCTTTTATGATTAATCATTGAGAATAATTCAGATAAGAAGTCGGTTTTTGACGTTTCGTCAACAATTATTGTATATGTACTGTTATCTCTCAAATAAGCATTTTTTAAAAGAACTTCAAAATTTAATAAGCTTGAATTCTCATTTTTCAGAAAAGTTGAAATTTTGTATGTACATATATATTTTGAATTATGCTAGAAGAGATTCTTAAATGGGTTCGAACGTTTTTCTGTGTCCAGTTATAATTTCATTGATATCTTCAGATTTAGTTTTTGAGTGAAAATAAACAAAATGGTCAAAAGTAGTTATATTCACTTGCAGGTCAGTAAAAATGTGTATTTTTGTGAATTTGTATTATTATTATTATTTTTTTTTTTGAAGCGGCATTTTAATTAAAAAATATTATACATTTACAGAATTTAATGTACATAGTTACTGAAAAAATCGTTGACTCATTTTGAAAAAATTTTTGATTCCTTTGATTCCATAGTCGATCTTCAGAAAGAACTCTGAAAAAAAGTGTCTGGCGATAAGGATGCTTAAAATTTTGAATTACTGTAGAGAAATTAATGAAAGAATACTCAAATGTTTGACTTTTGACAAAATGGTGGCTTTAAGAAAAAGTAGATTTTTATGAAAAAATTTACACTTCAGAGTGGCTTAAAAAATCGAAAGTATGAAAAAGCTTGTTCTTTTATTTATTTATTATATCTAAGAAAGTCGTGTGCAAATGTCAAAGAAATCGGTCCAGCCATTTCGGAGAAATTGTATGGGGTAAATATAACCTTCAAATTAATATATTTTTCTAATTTCATTACCATTACTAATGGCATTTGAAAAAAGTATTTCTTTTGAACTAAATTTATTCATATCAAAACAAAAATTTTATCGTCTCAAGAGCAGTTTTTACATTCCTTTACATTTTTTCACCACAACTCAACACAGAGAAACAAGATATGGATTGGTTTACACCTTTAAGGTGGCTAAACACGACACAAACACACGGTGTTTACGATCGGTGTGTTGGATTGTGGAAAACAACGCGAAAAAACAAGAAACTATCATTTAGAAAACAAAAAGCGTTAGATTTAAAATTAATAAATGCTGGAGTAATTTATAGGCGCATTGTTAAAACTGTTGCTATTTTAAAAATTTCCATGAGAATTACAAAAAGTGGAAATACATTAACCGCTTGATTGTTGCGCAAGTTTACGCTTTGAAAAACGAACGTTAAATGCATTTGTATGTCCTGTTTAACGAAAGTAGTGTTTATCGATCGGATATACCCGAAAGCACTTAGATACATATACTTAAGTACCATGTACATAAACTAATTGAGATTACATTAATTCTTTGCATACATTGCGCTCTATGTGACTTTAGAATTACTAATTCACCACATATCAGGTGTTCAATACCTTCGCGCGCTTTAACGAGTTGAGTAACGAGTTGAGAGTATGTTTTCAATACGAGCGCTCCGCTCACTTCTTATTGGATTTTCGAAGAAGTGGTACGTTTTATGAGTCGGAAGTCAATATTCGTAAAATATACTGTTGTAGAGTGGCGCGATACAGCAATAAAGTGATTATACGTGCATATATTTGTATGTACATATGTCAAAAGATTCGTTTTGTTTATGTTAACTGTTAATAATTGATAAAAAATTGTGATCAATTGTTTGCAGTTAAATTATTAATAGTTTTAATAATCATATGTATCTAAAGTGTGAGTGAAAAATTGTAGTGCGCAAGTTTTGTTTTTTGCAGCATATTTATATGTATACCTACTAACATATAAATATGTACACGCATAAATAAAGAAAAGCATAAACAAGAATTGTTTGTTTGTATATTATTGTATATATGTGTGTATATTAGTAAAAAAGTAAACAAATATATGCATGTGTACTATATATGTATGTACATTTTGCTGAACGCTAATTTGTGACGTAATAGTGGCGGACAGCACGTGTTCTTCTACGCAACAACAACTACGTATGCCGGCAATTTTTTATATGGCTGAGTGACTTTGCCATACAAAACAAATATTTCGAGCTTTTATGTTAGAAATTATTTTTACTATTTATATTTAATTATTATTAAAATATTTAAATCGCGCGATAACTAATATTTTAATATTCAATTAAATGATTATCAAACTATTAGAGCATCATGTTCTATTGTGACCAAAGTTTTTTTTTTATTTTTAATTTTTTGACCGCAATTCGGATCAAGCTGAAATTACAAACTATAAACATATAAAATGAAACCGCAATTAATTATATAAAAATCATTATAAAAATATTAAAGTAAGAGGAAAAATTGTAATCAAGTAAAAATGTGGTCAATCGTTACGTGAAACTGAATATTGGCACAACAAGTTCACTGAAAATTGTTGGAACTTAAAAATTGACTGTTTTTTGCAATGCTATTTTACTGCAATAGCGTGCTTTGTGGGAGAATTACCATCACGCGCTTTATACGATCGCAGTTTTATTAGTTTAAGGAATGTCAAATCCGCATTATTCCTCAAAGATACTTAGATACATATGGATGAATGTATAATCTGGCAATACAAGAACAGCATCTCATAATTTCTTCAATGAACAATCCTTCCTACAAAGGCCGGCTACTAACCAACAAAGCAATGTCATTGCAATAAACTCATATTTAAACAAGAAAAAACGTTTACTTTCGCTACACTGACCTATGATACCCCTAACAGCTGCTTTTCTTATAGCAGAAAAGGCTATAAAAAATCTTTATCTTGACTTTGACCGGTCAGTTTATATGGCAGCTATATGCTATAGTGGTGCGATGTGTGTTCGAAGATGGTAGCGTTGCCTTGGACAATAATCCCTGCCAAATTTCGTAAAGATATCCTGTCAAATAAAAAAGTTTCCCATATAGAACTTGATTTGGATTGATTACTTTGTATATAGGCTATATGCTTTAGTGATTCGATATCGACAGTGCCGAAAAATGAGAGCGAAGGACGTTTGTCACTCCAGATCGTTATCTCAAAAACTGAGGGACTAGTTCGCGTATATACAGACAGACAGACGGATAAACAGGTAAATCGACAGACGGACGTGACTAAATCGACGCTGCTTGTTTCGCTGATATACATAAACATGTATATATTTTATAGGTTCTCCGATTTTTTCTTCTGGGTCCTACAAACTTCGTGGCAAACTTTACTACTTAATTTATTTAAGTTTCCCAATTCATGATATTATCTACTGTTATAATTTTTCTTGACATACTCATATCTATATTCATGTATATTCATGCTCATTATACCATATTAATATTCTGATCTCTTGGCAATAAATATATTTTCTATATAATATATAGATAAGTACATACATATGTATGTATATGCCAGCTGTAATTAAACACAAAATCCACACTTCGCTTCGTTTTTCTCTTAATTCAATTTAAATATACAATCATATACACGATGGAGCCAAGTTTTGATGGTTGGGACTTTGCCGTACTGATTACTGTACTGTCAATTTCGGCTTCGATTGGTATTTACTATCGCTATACGGGCGGAAAGCAGAAAACAATCAAAGAATACCTCTTGGCCGATCAGAGTATGACCACATTTCCGGTTGCTGTGAGCTTGATGGCGAGTTTTATGTCCTCCATTTCATTACTGGGTATCTCCAATGAGAGTTATCAATTTGGCACCATGTTTTGTATAATCAATTTGTCATACATCATAAGCACACCAATTACAGTATATTTATTTCTACCGGTTTTCTATCGTATGCGCACAATGAGCGTTTATGAATACTTGGAACGTCGTTTTGGTCGTTCAACACGTCTGGCCGCTTCGATTGCCTACTCCATACAGATGATACTTTACACGGGTATTGTGCTTTATGCGCCTGCATTAGCACTCGAAGCTGTTACCGGTGTGAGCAAAGTTACCGCTATATCAGCTATTGGCTTAATATGTACCTTCTACTCGACTATTGGTGGTCTAAAAGCTGTGCTTATAACCGATGTCTTTCAATCGATTTTAATGTTCGTTGCCATTTACGCAGTAATTGTGGTGTCGGCGATCAAAGCTGGTGGTTTGGCGCCAATTTGGCAAGTAGCCGAGGCGCGTAATCGTATATATTTCACCGACTTTTCTCTGGATCCCACTGTGCGACATAGTTGGTTGAGTCTCATCATTGGCGGTATGGTGATATATATGTCAGTGAATGCTGTCAATCAGGTGCAAGTGCAACGGTTATTGAGTGTACGTAATTTGAAGAGTGCCCAAGCGGCGCTTTGGTGGAATGTACCCATACTGAGCGCACTAAGCCTAAGCACATTATTCAGTGGTTTAGCGATATTTCATTATTACAAAGACTGTGATCCCCTGCTGGAGGGTAGAATAGAATCGAGAGATCAACTGATGCCTATATTTGCGGTGGATACAATGGGTAAGCACGAGAATAAATTTTGTAGGGTTTCGGCGAATGCATCTTTTTCGTATATCAACTTTGTTTCAAGCTCTAACTCTTGGTTAAAGTGCTTGTTAATATTCCGGAAATTGTGAAACATCTTACCATAGAGCAAAGTGTTAAAAAAAATATAATTTGAATAAAAAACGTTCACAAAAATTTGATTTTAGTAATTTCTCAAATCTTCAAATTTGTCTCAGCTGGTTTTAATTTACTTTTAGAAATATCTTTAATATAAAAATTCTTAACTTTCTACATATGTAGACTAGATTTCAATATTTCATAAACCAAGTTCTTTAATCTTCAATCCATAAAACCACATCACACATCACACGTGTCAAAAATATTTTGTTATTTTTTTCATCACTCTTCCATCACAGGTCAATATCCTGGTTTATGTGGTCTCTTCGTATCGGGTATCTTTTCCGCCAGTCTTTCAAGTGTTTCATCAGCGGTTAGCTCATTATCGACTGTAACGCTAGAGGACTATATCAAACCATTGTATAAACACTTTACGAAAACACCGTTACATGAAATAGAATCAACACTGCCGAGTAAGATTATGGCCTGCATTTATGGGGTTGTCTGCATTGGTATGGCATTCACGGCCAGTTCTATGGGTGGTGTTCTACAGGCATCGCTCACCATTTTCGGCGTAGTCGGTGGACCATTGTTGGCACTTTTCACACTCGGCTTATTTACGACGCGTGCAAATCAACGTGGCGTACTTTTAGGCTTACTAATCGGTTTGATATTCTCCTTCATTATCGGTTTTGGTGGTCCGAAACAACCACCAACCACCTTAGATTTTAAAGATGATGGTTGCCCAGCTGCTGGTAATATGACTTTGGCCGTCGCGGCCCTTACACATTCGTTCAATATGACAACTGCGCAACCAACAACAGCATTGCCACCAATTGAATACAACTGGTTCTACAGATTGTCTTATATGTGGTACTGCGTAATTGGTTTTTTAATTACATTAATTGGTGGTTACGTTTTAAGTTTGCTATTGGAGGCCCTGAAATGGGCTGATAATAAACAAATCTATCTAGATCATCAACAAATCGATGTAGATTTATTCATACCACCGCTGGCGCGAAGATTAAGAAGACATGATGCTGAAGAAATGACAAAGTTCTAAAGTGTCTAGAAAAATAAAAGCGCCTTCAGTTTTATGTTAAATTTGCTACTTAATTAGGTAGAATTTTTTTTTCTAAATTAATTAGTTAATTGACTTGTAACATCCGAGCTTGCTTCTTTGCATTTAGTTTTAAGAAAGTAGAGCCAAACTAACTGTTAAATCATATTATAGCCATTTTTTAGGTTTATACTGCATAAATACTTAATAATTGCTAATTTTTAATGTTTAAGGTTTTATAAAATTCATTATCAATTAAAAACTGCACTTTCTGTACTTAAAAAGAATATATAAATATTATTTAATTATGACTAGTTCTACTTAATTATTTTAAATTGTCAGCTTTAAATTATTGAAAGTAAAATCGTTTAGCTGTAAAGCTTTATAGAATTCTAGTTAGCTAATATCAAGAAAGATCTAAAATAGTTAGTTTGTCAATTTTAAGCACATTACTCATAAATGTATAATATATTAGATTTTAAGTTTATATCTCACTCAGGAAAATGTTACTATTTTTAGAGTTATTTACAGAAACGAAATAAAAACTCTAAAATAATTGTATTCGAAATAAATTGCTAAAAATATGTATTTACTAAAATATCATACATTTGTGTCAGATATACAAGAATATATCTCACTCTATAAAATTTATATTTACATATAAAAAAATAAAAAATATGTACCTTAGAAAAAAAATAAATAAAAATGGTTTTTTAAAAGTAATGACAACAGAAAAAAATAAACAAAACCAAAGTTGCCAAATCGAACAAACTTATATATTGTATATGTATACCTACTCAAAATCGTATAAAATATAAATGCTCTATTTTTGATGGAATTTCCTTGAATCTACAAATCTACGAGTATACAAAAAATTATCTAAAATATTTAATTGTGTTAAGGTCTGCTGTAAGCACGTGAAAAACTCAGTCAGACAAATATTAATGCTTAACAGCATAATGGCTAGGAAGCACATATTTACATACTTACACATATGTATTGATACATAACTCATGATTTTATAAAAGCAAATTTACAATAAATCAGACTTATATACAATTTTTTAATAAATAATCTCTGAAAACCAGTAAAGTATTAATTTGAATTTGTTTAGAATATCGTAATATTTATTGAGGAAATATCTGAACCAAATAAAATTAACAAGTGTGTCTAGCCTATAAGTGATAATAAAGGCGACAATAAATAATTTTCTCATGCTCATATTATGCCGACATCAGAATCTGTTAATAAATCGGTCATAATACAATGTATTTATAACAGAAATCAAGGTAAGTGTGCGAATATTTATTGGAATTTGACGTTTTTAGAGTACTTAGAAAATAAAAATTAATATCGAATTAAAATTAACCCTCGACTCGGACAAGAAGACTCGAAGAACACTCAGCCTATCTCTCCAAGTTAAGTGTTTTCTAAGCAATTTTAAGTGCGCACAAGTAGTCTATATTAAAGGCCTGCTAAGTGTTTGAGAATTTATTAAAAGCCATACCGTTAAAAGTTGCGTCATCTATCTATGTTTACGTTGACGCAAATCGAATATAATTATTCGAATAATGCCCTATCCGGTAATCCAGTTAGTCGATTAGTCGAATACCAAGAGCTCTAATTTATACATATAATAAGAAAGTAAAATTTATGAAGAAAAAAAATTATATAATTATCTGCTATAAGATATTGTCCGTTCAATAATCTACGGTAAAAAAAATAAAAATTTTAAGATGAATTTCACGCAAAATTTTATTCGTTTTTGATCAGATTAAAAACTTGTAGTTATAATATTGAGAATTATATATAGAGAGCATGCAGAAATGTGATAGTGAGCGGATCGTTTGTCTCTAAAAAAACATTCAAGCAAATTTAAAAGGGTAGTTTTGAGAAAAACGCGTTGATAGATAAACTGTTTTAAACTGCTTATTGGACTGCGCGGCTACACCTTGGAAGGTTGTAACTCATAAACTACTTCTTTGTGATATCGATTTATTATTTTAGTATTTTTATTTAAATATATCGTGTATATCCTAGCTCATGCAATTTCGATCTCATTTTCCTTTATTTGTCACATGGTAAATCGGACTGTTACGAGCTCTTGGTACGCCCATATTGCACAGAGCTTTCACATGTTGTTCCTTTGAAATCGTTAGAGTGTCAGCTATCTCGTTCAACTTCATTTAACGGACAATCAAAATAATTTTCTGCACTTTTGCTTGATGTTTTCGCCCATAATACCCATTTTTGAACACGCGCTTCAAACACCTAGAATGCGTGCTATCAATATACAATTTGTTTAGTTGGAACTTTGAACTTCCATACTTATGCTTCGTGCTAATGCTGGTTCAGCTACTTTATCGAAAAAGCGAAACAATATATCAAAATAAAATACAGTATATGTACATATGTATGTGCATATACGAATATTTAGTTATGCTACGATTTTTGATGATATGACGTGTTCATTGACCTTTAGCAATTTGCAATTAAAACTGTGGAAATATTTCTTTTCAATTGTCTTTTTAATGAAAAATGATTGTGCGATCCTATCTCGGATAGTTCTATCAAATTGAAATGCGTAAACTATGCTCTGAGTGGGTAAATAGAATCAATAGAAATGCAACTCAATTTTGAAATATCGATATGTATATATATAAATAGATACATACATATGTATGTATGTATGTATGTGAATCTGAGTTTCACTTAAACTTAATTTGTAAAAGTTTAAATTGCCGGCGAGACGCTTTTGTTTGATATCGAGTGACGCAGCGTATGTAGATGATAAAATTAAAGGCGCCAAAGGTCTACTTATATAGTATATATTCTAAACTACATGAGTATATCGCAGATATGTAAGTATATACTTAAATGCTTACATTCTTCATTGCTGGTGCAAAAAGCTTAGAAACACGCCATCAAAACCGCCATTTCTAACAACTCAAATATATACATACATACATACATATCTATATGTATATGTAAATATGTTTGTACGAGCATGTATTGTGGTTTGTTATTTGCGCTATTTCTGCTTTTAACGCTCGTTCGCAGCATATTTACTTTTTGCGCTTTCTTAGAATACGCAAAATTATTTAAATTAGCGTGATTTTCATAATATTTGTAACAAAATTCATAAATAACTGTAAGATTTCACAATGTGGGTCAAACACGTTTGTCACTGAAATGCTACTCACAATGGGCACTTTCTAAATTTGTTAGACAACAAGTTCAAAGTGCATCAACAAACCGTACGATAAAAAAAGTAAAATCAAATTAAATGTTCAGCAATGACGCATGTACCCGCTATTCTTGAGTTATGCATATGTAAGTATGTGAGTAGAAGTAGAACAGATAACTATATTTTGCTAGGAGGCAGTACATGGTATTCCAAAAACAGCTAACTAATGGCCAATAGAGAAATGTAGTAGGTATCAAGTAAATTAGATGAAAAGTGAAACAGGAATGACAAGAAATATATTTCTGCTTGTACACATGTTATTATTAAGCTTGGAAGTACCTGTTAATTAAATTTCAACCGGATTAGTCCATTCAAGCTGATAGTGTACGTGTTCTCGTCAATGCAGGAATATATTTGATGGCAGTTTTCAGATTGTAGAAAACTTGTCGCATATTAGGCGTCCATCAATCGCTATAAAGATATATAGCTTATGCTCTAGCCAGTTTCGTATACATAAATTTTTTCGAAAAGAACATCGAAAGAGATGACAGAAGTGTTGCTTGTCAACTAAATCCAACAAATCAACCGTTATTCGGTAGATAAATTATTTCTTCGAGTATTTTCTTTAACGGAAGCTCAAATACAGTTCCGTGAATTACAACGTAAGTCGATTAAAGTAATACCAAGCAACTCCCTGAATTAACAAAAAATTAAATTTGGTTAAATTGAAAGCAATTGTATTGATAAGAAACAATGTTTAGTAAATTAAAAGCAATAATACATAACAGTCAGAGAATAAATTTATGAAATGTAAGCTTTTTAAAAGAAATTTAAATTTTTGAATTTTTGATTGATTCGATTTTTGATTGAAAATTGGGCTTTTTTTCGATATAAGGTTTGTTCAAAAAGCATATTTTAAGGCGCTTAATCTCCTTATTTGAGGCGCTATCTTTATTAGATTTCAATTAAAATCAAAAAAGGGTAATTCATAATACAGTTAGGTCTATGTAACCGATACGGACTCTGATTCCTATCCGTTACAAGCCTTTCACATTACTTGTAGAATGTTATCTGTCGCTACAACAAAAACTTAACTGCTTAATTTTTACCGTTACAACAACCATATCAGAGGATTCGTCGTATGATATATATTCTTCTGTCTTCGACAGTACCTTTTGAAACTCAGTACTGGAAGGTGTTGCTCGAGACCAGAAGACACAATGAAAAAAATTTTTGGTTGCTGAGAAATTTTAAATCCCGGTTTCTTGTTCGTTTTTATCTCTCCTATAATAATTCTTAATCTTTATCTTTCTTTTCTGTGACCTTAGTCTTTGTAAGTAATTTTTAGAATGGAATTTTTTTTCACCTACCACTGTATGTATGATTTTTTCACATCCTGAGTATATTAAGCTGGTCACGAAGTTTGTATTACCCAGAAGGAAACGTCGGAGACTCTATAAAATATATATATATAAGTGATCAGCATGACGTGCTGAGTCGAGGAATTTGTTCAGATCGGGCCACTCTAGTATATAGCTGCCATATAAACTGACCGTTCAAATTCAAGTTCTTGTATTGAATTTTATTTATTTCCAAGGGTATTCTAGATTCGTTGCAACCGAAGTTAATGTTTTTTTGTTTTCAATAAATATAGTCATCTGGTCACCTTATACAGCAATTAAGTACGCGAAAATGATTGATCAATGATGTAAACAAAAAATTGCTTATTGCTTGAGGCGGGTTATGTGAGTAATAATATTATTAATTTTATCTCTATTATAATGCTGAATAATATATTTTTACTTGCAGATAACTAACTTTTGATTTTTCTCACATTATACTATAATACTGGCAGCAAACGAAATTTTTGCTAACGCTACTATATTAATTTACCGTATTGCAATGTTTCCACATGCGATTAACGGTACTCTAAAATCTTTAAATGAATTCGAGGTTTATTTAGCCAGTCGAGTAGATTATATGTAGTGTTATTAGTAATACTACTTGTTTTAAGTAGCGTAACTAATTAAAAAAAGTAGTTAGCAAAAGTCTCCAAATGCCCTTTTGCTATAGACCGACTTACTACAATGGTCACTATGCTACTTTCAAAACCCTGCACTATTTCCATTTATTTTCAAATCCGAAAAACTGTGCATAGTTGTTTTACAATTAAAATACTTAAAACTCCTTAATTTACCGGAGACTTTGTGTATCAAAATTTTTTTCTTTTTAGTTTCCTAAATGTTCGGGAAAAAAATTTGTACACCCTTAATAAACTAAAGCTACATTAACTAATTTCATTACACTCACAAAAGTAATAACAAACATATAACACACACTTCACAATATACAACTCAACCTCAAAGTATCAAAACTACAGATCATATCTGATGATTAACACATTAGCTAACAGAAGAAAACAAAATTGGTTTAAATAATTCACATTTAATTATCTGTTTACGTTACTGAATTCATATCAAAAATTATATTTTCAGTTTCACTTTTAAGCACATTCATATTCAAGAAAGAATACGCATGAGCCGGGAGGAAATTTAAAACAAAATAAACCAATTGGCAAATGAAGAATTGTTTACTTCTTCTTCGACACACCGACAGTGCGACCGCGACGACCGGTTGTCTTGGTGTGCTGACCACGCACACGCAGACCCCAGTAGTGACGAAGACCACGATGAGAGCGGATTTTCTTCAAACGTTCCAAATCTTCACGCAATTTCGAATCCAAATAAGATGATGTCAATTGGGTGTATTTGCCATCAATGATATCCTTTTGTCTGTTAAGGAACCAGTTGGGCACTTTGTATTGCAGAGGGTTGGAAATGATGGTGACAATCTTGTCAACCTAGAAAAAATATCAGATGTTTAGTTTTGCATAAATAAAAAATTATATGTTACATTACCTCCTCCTCAGTGCATTCACCAGCGCGTTTGGTTAGATCGACATCGGCCTTCTTCAAAACAATGTTGGAGTAACGGCGACCCACACCCTTGATAGCGGTCATGGCAATACCAACTTTACGTTTGCCATCGATGTTCGTATTCATAATACGAAGAATGTGCTGGAACTTATCAGGTATCACAAGCGACTGTAAAGCAAAAGAAAACACACAATTAGTACTATGAAGTAATTTTGGTTGCATGTCTAAAAAAAAAAAACTCCAAAAATCTGTGTCGTACTAGACATGAAAGTATTTATTGATTCTCGCAACCAAGTCCATTTTGGACGATATTTCATATACACTATATATTTTAATAACACAATTTGTTTACATATTTGTGCTTCGTTTTGCACAACACAAAATCTCAATTAGTTAATAGATGTTTCTGCATTTTTACGATTTTTAAACGTCACATACCATTTTGCCCTTTGTTAAGCGACCGAGTTTAAGCTGAAAAAGACAGATGGCAGGAAGCAGCTGAAACGTCAAGCAAATGCAACGAGTGCGCCATGTCTATTTCCATGACAGTCGAGTTAATAGCCCAAACAGTTACCGACATTCCATCGTTCCGTACTTATCGCCCGTATCAAACCGAATTTGTCAAGAGTTGTGCCCGTAGTTGGAACGCAGAAATCAGTTGTTTTCATTTCACCAATGTTGTCATTGTTTTATTTGTATACACGATTTTTTACACATTTATGTTTTAGTTCGAATATTTCATAATGTAAAAGCTCAATACAAAAATCCAATTATTAAAAATTGTTTACCTATTTATAAATAAATTTATTCGACTGTGATTTTGAGTTATTTTAAGATTATTTCAAATATATTCAAGATTATTTATTAATTACTACAAAATATGGAGATTGGCAACCCAATTTTAATGATACGGAGGTAAGTACGGAAGGGAGGAATGGCGGTGACTGTTTGTGCTATAAGTGACCGGAACCGAATTTTTATCCGGCCAAGGACAGTCAACTGGGAACCATTCCCAGGGAACGTATATCATATATACGTTTTCTGCCCTTCCTCGAAATTATTTTAGGAATGTTTTCTGAAGCCACAACAAGAACAGTACGCCATGTTGTATAAAATTGTACTCGCTAGTTTTCGAGTAGTGAGTTCTTCTTTTTCTTTTAGGCGTTGAGCGTGTTCACGTGTATTGTGCAGGCAAATTTGGCCAACAGATGGCGCTTGTTAAAAGTAAATAAATATATTGAAAATTAATTAATATAAAATAAATGGATATTTTACTGCTTTTGTTTATGTTTCTCTTTAATATAGATCTATTTTATTTACCTCATCGTAGTTAATATTTTTGTGACAGTTTTAATATCATTATTATATTATTTCGTTTGAATTTTTAGTGAATTTACTTGCGTAAATTTGTATTTATTCGCTCAATTATATTTACATATGTAACTGCGTGTAAGTACTTGCAGCGATTTTGACATATCAAAATTTTTGTATTTTTTTTCGAACGCAGCTGAGACAGCACAGTATTTGATTACCAAAGTTAAACAATTGCCGGATACTTTTGAAATTTAATGAGCTTAAGTGCCTTCCATTGTCGCTCTGCCGAGTGCTAATCGCAAATATTTATGTACATAAATATCTACATATATATTAAAAAGTACTTAAAGTTCGCAAATACATGCACGTGTCCATATATATGTATAAGTATATCCATGCAGCGTATTCCACCCAGCGCTTGCTCACGAGAACTCATACACTTGCTTGCGCCAAAACTTTTTATTTTGAATTTTTTAAACACTGAGCAGGGTATTTTAAGTTTGCCACGAACTTTGTAAAACCCAACTGGAAACGTTAGCGACCCTATAAAATATATACATACATACATACATATATAAATGATCAACATGACGAGCTGAGTCGATTTTGATCTGAAATTTTGCACACAGAAGCTGCTCATTTGTTATATAAACTGATCGCTCAAATTCAAGTTCTTGTATTAAAAACTTGTTTATTTGTGAAGGGTACTATAGCTTCGGTGTGGTTCACTTCAGATAAGTACAAGATTTATCCTTAACTGCCGTGAATTACCTTCTCTTCAAGAAAACATGTACTTATGTATGTACGTGCATGTTGCCCAGCAACATTGTTGCAGCAATCTGTTGTTGCTACTCATCTATCTTATTGGCAATATTTACAAATTTTGCAATTTATTATTATGAATGAAATTGTTTACGCACCTGCGCACTCCACACGTCCGCTATGCCGCCACGAACCGTAGCCGGCGTCGGCATGTGTCACGAATCTATTGCTGCCGCTTCAGCTGACCGTTGGTGGAAAACTCCAAAATAATCGCAACACGCTTTTCCACACACAGCTTCGCGCTATTGGCGCCAGTTGCCGCGGAGGCATTCATCAATGCACTTCTTACACTCCGATGAGCCGGTTACGCGCGTACTGACAGCGAAAAGTAGCGTAAAAAGCAAAATAAAATTAGTGTTATAAATGTGTATAAAAAAAATATGACCGTAGCGCGTGTATAAAATTGTCTAAAAAGTGCTGTGCAGAATTTTCCAATTAAATTTTGAATATTTTTGAGCTATTGCCAAATTTATGTAAGTTTGCGTATGTCGTAATTATTAATACTATTTACCGTCGACATTTGAAAAAGAAAGCAAAAAAAAACATTAAAAATTAAACAGTTTAAGCGAATAAATCGGCAAGTAACAACATACCTACACATTAAAATTTTCTTGTTGCATTGGCGGCAAGTGTGCGTGGTGTCAAAATTTATTATAAATTCCTAGTAGCAAAAATAAATTTCATTAAGCTTGTAAAGCGAAAGTAAACTCATACATACATACAAACATATGAAATAATGAGCCGAATTTAGTGTAAAGTTCATGTGCGCTGTGTTAATTGATATTTTAAGTGAGTATGCTAAATTTGTAAAAAATTTTGGATACAAAAAATAAACTAAATATTTTTTTTAAATTTTGAAAATTATTGTATTGAAAAATTTTTGTGACTTGAACTCCAAAATTTTCGAAAAACTGCAATATTAAAACCAAATTATTTTTGAACTTATATTAAATTTTTCATAAATTTTATTTAAAAATATAATTTTTCAAAAATATAACTAATCAAAATTTTTTTAATGCTAAAATAATCTTTTATTTGAAATTGCCGGAAAAATAAAAAAATGTTGAGCAATTGTTAAATTATATAAAAGAAAATTTAAAAAAAAAACATAATTTAATTATTTTTAAATATTTTTGAAATACTTTTTAACTTAATTTGCTGTCGAATACGTGCTTCAAAGTGTGTTTTATTTTATTTTACTTTACATACAACTCAATGTGTAATAAAAAGTTTTTGGAAATTGTGAAAATTATTGTATTGAGAAATTTTAGAACTTGAAACCACAATTTTAGAAAAACTGCAAAATTCAAATAAAAATTTTTATATTATAGCAAATTTTATATTTCTTTTTTATAAAAAAATATAATTTTTCAAAATCCTCAAATATTTGTTTAGTTACATATGTAGGAGTGCAGCTTCACCGTACTCGATTACCGTTAGAAACGCCATTTGGAAAACATGCATATATTAAATACTCGTACATACCTATATTATTTTTTAAATTCGGTAATAATTTTATGCATATTTAGTATCACTACTCTATTTTAGTTTAAATAAAACTTTATATTGTAATTAAATATTTTTGGCAATTTTGAAAATTTTTGAATTGTAAAATTTTGAAAATTTTGTATATTAAAATTTTTTAAAAATATTTTTCATTATAAAAAGTTGTTACTGAAAAGTTTTGAAAATTTTTGTATTGAAAAGTTTTGGAAATTTTTGTATTGAAAAATTTTGGAAATTTTTGTATTGAAACATTTTGGAAATTTTTGTACAGAAAAATTTTGTAAGAAAAGTTTTAAAATCTTTTCTAATGAAAAGTAAAAACAAATTTTGTTTTGAAAAATGTTTGGCTCTTAAACACCGGAATTTTAGAAAATTATAGTTACATTCAAATTTTGATAAATTTCATTAAAAAAAAAATTCCAAATTCTTCAAATATATAATATACATGTCTTCCCACATACAATACTTTTTCCGAGATCTTCAAAAAAGGGAGAAAAATTTTCTGTTTCTGGGGTCAAATATGAAAAAAGTTACAACAAATTGTTTAAGGCGCGCCTTTCAAGATTGAAAATCAACAGTACTGCGGTAGTATTTGCTATACTTGGCATCGGAATAGACCCGTTTTAAGACCCGAAATTTTAAATATCGACTATATACATACATACATGTATGTATAAGTTTTGGGTAGAAGTAAATTGTATTTTCTCTCTCCCGCTCTCTCTTTCTGTCGAGTACAATGAGACAAGCTTCCGATTGCTCGTCTACAGCAAAATAACCAACAAATCTTTTACTACAGTATTAATATATTAAAAAGTTTTGTGTAGGCGTTCGTATTTAAAGGACTTCTAATCCTAAGGTCACGCTGTATCAATGTCAAAAGCCTTTTTGCTGAGGCATGCAACAGCAACGAAAGCAAGAACTCAAACTACAAAAGTAGCAGAACGTTCATCAACTTTCCTAGATTCGATTTGAAATTTAAAATTACTAAAATTTATTCACCTTGAAGGTTGTAAAGTTAACGGTAATTACAAATATTGACATTTGCTAACAATCAGCTGCGTGCCACATACATACATTACATACGATACATACACAATTGCCAATTTCACTAAAATTTTCACTAATAATTTAGAGCAAAGTGAGTTGAAGAACTAGAAGTCCTCCTAACACACACACACATATATATACTTGCATACACTGTGTTTTTTATTTCATCAACATAATGACTTTGTGACGTTTCCTGTTCCTTTGTCACAACAATTTGAAATAACCTAATTGAACAGCAGTGTGCGGCGGCACAGCTGCAAGGAAAACATACAACGTTGACCAAAGAACACACACAAATGATAATAATGTTAAAGTGGAATTAAATGAACACAAACAACAGCATGAAATTCTCACTTGCGGTAGCAAACACAGAGCGTTGTCTTGGCTTTTGTTTTGATTGACCGAGCAACAGTTTGCACATTTTCGGCAACACAAGAAAACTAAAACAAAAACAAAACGCCAATTTCGGCTGCACAAACTTATAATACACCCTTTACAGCTGCATTTCTTATAGCATAAATGCGTTTAAAAAATTTGTATCTTGCTTTTAATCGGTCAGTTTGTATGGTAGCAAGTTAAAAATGGCCGATCTGAACAACTTATTCGTCGATTGTGGCGTTGACTCTGTACTAAATTTCATGAAGATATCTTGTCAAATAAACAAGTTTTTCATACAAGAATTTGATTTTTGGGCGGTAATTTTATATGACAGCTATATGCTATGGTGATACGATCTGAACAATTTCTTCAAAGATTGCAACGTTGCTTTGGACAATAATCCGTGATGAGTTTGTATGTCAGATATATATATATAATCGACTCAGCTCGTCGCGCAGATCATTTATATATGGTAACATATATAATTTATAGCGCCTCCGACGTTTCCTTCTGTGTATTTCAAACCCTCGTTTCAAACTTAATACATCCCGTTCAGGGTATAAAAACCATTTGTATTAGCGATGTGTGACATTTTTCTCATTGGCTATTGACACGCTATACCTATAAATATAAATACAAGCAAATATAGACGGTTAGTCGGCTTTTCTCTAGGGTACGTTTAAGTTTTACTATGGCGCCGGCTCGTATGCATCTTAACAATATAACGGTTAGTAGGTGGGGCCTAAGTACAAGTGTGTACATCATAGTGAAGAGCCTTGAATTGTAGAAGTTATAATTATAGTTATTTTATTTAGATATTTAATAACACAAATATGCGCATTTAAGTAAGTTTACTTGTTCATTTTAGCGTTATGCGCCT